AGCCGCGCACACGTTTTTTTTTCTTAATCGTCGTCGTTGCACCGACCGCGCGCTAGAAGTAATTTTACCATAAAAGACGTTGTAATCGTAAAAAAAGAGAGAGACGTTTCCATTGGTAGTCGAGATGAGCGAACGAGCGAGAAAAGTCACCCCTTTAGCGATGGTCAAATACATATGCGGTACATGTTATTATATATATTTTTTACAACCTATATCGTTGTAAAAGAAGATAAAAAATACAAAGAAAAAAATTGTCACGCAACCGCTTACAGAATGGCACGTACGCGTAACGCTATCGTCTTTCCCTCTTGCTCGGTCAACTAATTTTACTTGCAGCGTAAAATATTCTATCCCCCTTTCTTTTTTACATCAAAAGCGCTCCCGCGTCATCCATCCGACTGACCTCTCAACGAAAAGCCGCAAATACACGCAAGCCCCTCTCGTATACGTAAGTAAATCCAGCCAAAAGGCTCGGGTTCGAGCGCGCAAACAGAGAAAGCACTTTGCATATTATATATATTATAGAGCCGCGTGAACGCAAAATACTTACAACCACTGGCCACTAATTCTCGGCCACTAATGTTCAAGTCACATAAACATTTTGAGAAGTTTTAAAATGTTTTCAATATTTTAGTTGTGTTGATTACTTCTCAATAAATGTAGTTTATGTCTTGCAAAGTGTTTTCAAAGTAAAACAATGAAATTATATTATAATAAAAAATGGCTGAATATTTTCAGAAAAAGATTTTTTTCACCACAAATGTCTTGATACTTTTTTCTTTAAAATTATGACATTTAAAATTATTTTTCTCAAAATCTTTTTGTGAATTCAGATAGATAGCTTCGACGGTAATCTTTAAGTTTTTATTATCAAAATAAATGATGTAATTATTTATTATTATTGAACAAGAAAATGGCTGGGTAATTAGATCATCACATCTTAACTTACTGAGTATTGGTATATAGTCACCCTATTACAATATTTCCCAAGTCTAACTCGAGATGTACGCTAGACGGTTATGAAATGTACACTTGAATACACATAGTCTGTAGCTCGAGTTATCTGAATGATTCATCCCGTAAGTTTGTAAAAGTTTGCGAAATCAAATGGAATTTCACTTCTTTCATTTACGGACACTGAAATGTCCGACATGTGCGGTCGCCTTGTCGATCAATTCCATGTTAGCTTAGTGGCTATCGTGTAGAAGTTAGGTACACGCATATTTGGCGTTACATCAAGTCTCATACCTATGTACATGGGCTTTGCTGATCGTAGCTCAATAAGCCGGCACTGAAAGCAATTTGAGATCGCTGGTGTCTCACGGTGAACGAAAAAAAGTTCATTTGAATGTTTATAGTCAAATTTTGAACAATTACAATATTCCCTTATTGAAAAAAATGAATTTTGATGAAAAATTAAAACAACGTTAGAATAATATCCAAATACCGACCGCTGCAAAATCCGAACTGCGAGAGAACTCAGTGTAAACGTCCAGAAATCTAGCTATTATTCTAGAATCTTGCTACTATAGTATCCTAAATGCACAGAGGGTGGTACGGCGACGGCTCGACGGCGAGCTTGCCTGGTTCCAGCATCAGGACAGGCCTTCGTCGCTTCCAGCACACCAGAAAGCTTCCAGGAGAGGTCAAAACCAGCTTTCATAGTGGTTTTAAGAGCAAGGTTTATGATTCTGTCTGATCTCGTATTTTTCGGCACGCTGTACGAAGCTCTCCAACGCTTATTTCAGAAATCGGGGCCCTTTCCGATACTGATGCAGGAACGATCTACCGGGCAATGACCGTCGAAATAGCTCGTTGTAACAAGTCGCTTGATCGCCTCAGGAGAGACATGACCGTGTAATTCATTGGTGACATTCTGTATGGTTTGCTTCATATGTCTCGGTCAGCCTCGTTGCATAGCTGGATTCACGAGTGTGAATAGGTGTGTGCGTGCGCATCTGACTTTCCATTTTCAGTGGACCAAGCATGCGCATGAATAGTTCCATCTCCATTCCTTCATGAATCACCATCGACGATTTGACATCGAGTCAAAAGCACATGGTGAATTGTCAAAAGGTTACAAATACAGCGTAACCTTAGAAGGATGCAACAGCAATAGCAACAGCAGTTATAAGTAGTGTACATTAAGTATTTTTTCTATCGAGATCTATTTTTACCATCATCCTCAAATTGTCCCTTTGGACCATTGGTACTTATAAACAAAATACTGAGGCTTTTAAAGAGATACCGTTGACATCCTATCTTATTCAAGTGTTCGTACAGTAGTGCTCTCGGCCACGTGCTCGGTATTCAGTGATTAGTGTTAACGAGTTAATTTTATCAACATTTAAATTCAAAATGATAATAAATAAAGAATTTGAATGTCGTGTAAATAAATTTGAAATTCGTTTAAAAAGTATGAAAGAAGTGAGCGATAGAAGAAAAGAATTTTGCCGTTTATATGAAGAGTGCTGTTGGAGGCTTGGCATAGCAGGCTGCAAAATTTTAGCAAGGTTAATAAACAACCGAACTCTGTTTCCGACGGTCGAAGATGAACAATTCTTTCTAAAATATGCCCTTGAAAAGCAAAGTATGGTTATAATAAAACGGTTGGAGAAGAAGAGGAGGTTTAAAATACATGAGGTTATATTTGAAGATGGAAAGTCTGCTTTGCATTATGCAGCTGAATTGTACGGATCAACAGATTTATTTGACCAAAAAGCATCGACCATGGAATACATTAAATATTTTTTTGAGAATAATCCACGGAAAAATTACTGTGACTATCACGGCTACACGTATTTTCACGGAGCTTGTATGATAGGTCATGAAAGAGCAATAGATTCACTCTTGAGGCAAGGCGTAGACGTTAATCTTGACACATACAAGTGCTCACCATTGCATATCGCTGCCCAGTATCGGCTGGAAACTGTTGTAAAAAAGTTATTGGATCACGGAGCCGATCCAAACCAACGGGACCACGAGAAATCGAGACCTTTACACGCACTTGCGTGGATGTGTCTATGCGATTGCGTGTCCCGTACGGACTACTGCGATCACAGACGACCAGTTGATAAACTCGTTGAAATGCTCCTAGATAAGGGAGCAAATATCGAACTAAGGAATCGTCACGGGGATACACCTTTACAGTTGGCAGTATCTCGTTTTGACGTTGAACTCACTAGGTCGCTTTTGAAACACGGTGCGAATCTAAGCAGTTTGAACGAGGATCGTATGTTCATCCAGAATTTCTCATCGCTTGAATTGAAGTGCTATCCTGTCACATTGAACATAATTGAGGTGATGCGATTGTTGCAGTCAGCTGGCTATAAAATGGACTTTTACACTAAACTCAGAATGATCAAATGCTGGATAAAAGCTCGAGGAAATGATATGGACTACCTTGTCCCTGAAGATACTGGTATGTGATTTCATTTACCCAATAGAATAATTGTAACGTGATTAATTTTTTTTCTTTCGTTTAGGGGATGATGGAGAAGATATACATATCTACTTGCATATTGGGGTTCGCATGATTATTCTAAAAAAATTTGGTTTTTATATGAAACAAGAAGTTATTGATTACTTGAACCAACGATGCGAGAAATTAAGATCGAGAGTGCCGGCTCGCTTTCATAATTTTGAGCTCGACCAAATTTTAATTGCACATTGCAGCCAACAATTGGAGATAATGAAAGACATTAAAATAACCGAAGATGTCTCACTCTATCAACTTTTCCAAATGAGCCCTAGTGAGGGTTACTCGGCATTGAGAAATTTGAAGGATTGGCACGTACCAGCAATGGATAATTTACGGTGTATAGATGATTTTTACAACGTTAATTACATGACAATTATTGCAAAAAGGAACCTTGCAAACATTCTAATAAGGCCATGGTTGGACTTGGAATTGCTCGCAGCCGATCTTTTTATGACTGATTATTGCAAATTGAATCTGCCGTATCACGTTTGCCTCAAAGTTGCTCAAAATATGAGTGACGAGGATCTATTTCATTTGTTTGACCAGACAAACATTAGTGATATAGAACAACAACACGAGTGCGACGTCTGCATGACCAATGTCAGGTTCATCAGGCTTGCATTGTAGCATACATTAAAATTTTCTCCGTTGCGAATGAGAGAGAATGTGTTAGAATACAACAAGTATACGGTTGATGCGCTGATATGTACCTGTAAATTTTGTCTATATAATATGGATAATAATTCATAATTCAGTGTGATAATATTGTACTTGATTGTAAATAGTCATTATTTGTATGCGTGAATTTATTTTTTAATAAAAAAAATTTTCATTTCAACGAGTTTACTTCAATACTAAGAAGAACCAACCCGAGTGAAATTGTGTTTTTTACACCAACGGGACATCAGAAAAAAGTACTTTCAGTCAATTACAAAATAAGAAAAGGGTCATCGATCCTCGTACATCGAAAGGGCCTTTTACTCCGATATGCTTACGATGCGTTGAATAGCAGAGAGGACGACTTTGTGCTACTATGTCGCTACTTGTTTTATTTCACTTTTTCAGCTTTTTCTTCTTTATTATCTACTTTATCGTGTAAGCTATGCTACGCTCTATTAACAATTAATGCAAAGTATATGAGAACGCGTTGTTTATAAGGAGCGTAACGCCGCGACTCTCTATCTGCTATACTTGCCAGAAGGAGCTCGAGCGCACTCCTCGACGATGCGGCTTTGTTAGACAGGTGCACTTATTGCCCTCGATCTCTATGATCGCGTGAATTTCTCGCCTGAGTTTATTTAACACGAATAGCGGAACTATAAGGGGATGTCGAGGAAAAAAGAAAATGTATATTAGTTCCGATACGGGGGATGGGAAATAGGATCTATAATCGGTCATACAACGTCAACTCGATAAAGAAACACACACATACTCACAGCACACTCGTTGCCAACACAAATAATAATAATAATGAATATGAGGCAACAATTAATGTACTCGAATGGCGATGTCGTTGCAGGACGTGGCGTTCATCAATCCGGCCAACGTCGTGTTCGTCTACATGCTGGTGCGCGAGCTCGTCGACGGCAAGGAGGCGAGCGAGCGCGAGCTCCAGGCCACGGTGCTCACCTGCCTCTACCTGTCCTACAGCTACATGGGCAACGAGATCAGCTACCCGCTGAAGCCGTTCCTCGTCGAGGACAGCAAGGACAAGTTCTGGGACCGCTGCCTGCTGATCGTCAATCGGCTGAGCGCCAAGATGCTGCGCATCAACAGCGAGCCCGGCTACTTCACCGAGATCTTCTCGGAGCTGAAGGCACGTTGCGTACCCGCGCACGGCTCGCGACCCCATCGCAACCGCGATTACAAAACCGCTTACAAGGCTCTTTTCTAATTACGCAACACAGCAAAATCCCGTATTCCTTTTTTATTATTTTGTCTTATCCCCTTTTTTGGTTTCATCCACTATTTCTCCTTTTTTTTTCTTCTATGCCAAGCGGATCGCGAGTGGGAGATATACGTATAGAGGAGCGAACTTTTGCATGCGAACAACACGAATTTAGAGTTTATATGTACACCGACTCGTGCATGGCCTTTTTTAAAACTTGGCTGAACTAGTGCAGGATTGTTCGTGTGCAGCACGACGAAAAATTACAATACATAAAAAAAAAAACAGACTTAAAGTGCATTCTTGCATCCAACGATCCTGAGAAAGCAAGTGTTTATCTTTTTAGTCTTATCATTTTTTGCACTTTCATTATAATTTACGCATAAAGTATATAAAACTCCATCTCAGTTGTATTTTTCTTCTTATTTGACCTCATGGTTACTGCATCATTTTAAACGAGTACTTTTTTCATTATAAACTTAGAAATTTTGACGAATCAACTGTCGCTAAGTATCGGATCAATCGTAATCGAAATCGTATTTTATGTTTATCATAAGTATAAAAGCATGTACATCGTAAATTTAGTACCTGAATATATCGACGTTGTCTGCGAAAACTAAATCTTCAACTATTGACGTTAAAAAATAAGCTCATCAAAGAGTTAATAATAGTTTTCGCAAGCAGCCGTTGATAAAAATGAATAAAGAACAGTGAAATCGACTAACACGAAGCCCTGTTGCGTGCGTGCTTGGGGCTATGAATTTTGCAGGGCTATGGAACAACGGACCGTAGCAGCCTGGCGCCGCCTGTGAACGGCCTCGAGCGAAACCTCGTTGTCTCCGGGGTCGCAGTCCCAACCAAGGCAGCTTGACGGAGCTACACCCACCTGCTGGTGCGGATCGCCAGGCAGCGCTGCGACGTCACGACCCTCTGACAGCGGTCAGCCAGTCGTGGAAAAACGGCCCACGCAGCTTGACCTCAAAACTGCCTCGACTGCTGCTACTGCGAGTCTCGATGCAGCTGCGGCGCTCCCGTCGACCTCTAAGTCCTCGGCCGGCGGTGAACCGCTGCAGCTGCTCGACTCGACCCTCGACACGACGATGACGAGCGACGGCGGCCACGAGGCCGACGACGAGGCCGACGAGGACGTCCAGAGCCCCGGCGACGACGGAGCCACCACGGACGACGACTCGGAGCGCTGCCAGGACTGCGGCCACCGGCGGCCCCTCGAGATCTCCTACACGATCGAGGACCTCGACACGCTGGACCAGCGCCAGCGCCAACTGCGCCAGTCCCAGAGCAGCGGCGGCCTCGAGGTCAGCAGCGACGGTCGGCGCTGCCGGAGCTTCCTGTCGCCGGACGACGCCCTGCGGGATCTGCGCAAGCACGCCAGCCAGGGCGCCGAGATCCGCTGGGAGCTGCACAGCTCGCGCAGCGACGTGGGCCAGGCGACGACCACCAGCACCACCTGCGGCTGCCACCGTAGCCAGAGCACCCTGACGCCGAGGAGCCATCCCCAGCGGGGCGATCTGCGCAAGCATCACAGCGCCGAGAAGGACAAGTGGTCGCTCAAGCCCGAGTCGGAGCACGATCTGCGCAAGCACCTGAGCGACGACTGCCGCATGGCCGGAAGCAGCCGCGAGCCCCGCTGGACCGAGCACCTGCAGGTGCCCGAGGTGCACGCCAATCCGCGCCAGCGCTGCACCTGCGCCAAGCGCCTGGGGCCCGTCTCGTTGTCGCCCTCGCCGAGCGACGAAACGCCCGAGGACAGCCGCAGACCTTCGCTGAGAGCCTCGAGGTCCCTGTCACCGGAGGACTTGCCGCAACAGCAACAGTTGCTGCAGAAACGGCCGAGCGCCACCGACTCGCGATCGTTGACACCGGTGCCGCAATCCGAGCAGCAGGCCAGGACCCCGTCGCCGCAGCCACAGCCCGAGGCTCAAAAGGCCAACAGCAAGGCCAGCAAGAAGGACAAGGCCCGAATGGCCGAGGAGCGTAAAGCCATGCGATCCAAGTGGGCCGTCAAGCCGCACTTCTCGCTGCCGTCCGAGCCCAAGGGCCACAAGCTCTGGAGCGACAAGGACCCCAAGAGCAAGAGCTTGAAGGAGCGGCCCAAGTACAGCGTGCGCCGCAGCCTCTCGCCGGATCCCGACCCGCGCCAGGTCTATCGCCTCGACAATCGACTGGTGCGCAAGCTCATCTCGCCCGAGGTCAGCCTCGTCGACGCCAAGTGGGCTCCGTACGAGGGCCACTCGCCGCTGCCCAACGTCGGCATGCGACGACGCGACACCAAGAAAGTCGTCCACGAGATCCAGTGGCAGCCCTACGAGTCGCCCATTCACATCGGCAAGAGCGCCAACGCGGCTGCTCCGGCTGCGGAGAGCTCGGAGGGCCCGCTGGCTTACAGCACCCTCGAGAAGCAGGTGAGCATCTACGGGGCCGAGGATCCACCCAAGCCCGGCGACGAGTTCAGCAGCGTCACCCCGACGCACCTGCCGCCTCCGATAGCCACTCCGCAGCACGGCGTCAGCAGCGGCACCGACGACGACGACGAGGCCTTCCGCATGCGCATGCTCAATCAGGTCTCGGCCTTTCCCATGTATCAGGGCGCCTGGCGCGAGGAGACGCCGCCGCCGAGTCCACCCGCCCCGGATCTGTCGACGCCCGTCTGGGCGCCCAAACCGCCGACTCCGCCGCCGGTGCGCAAGCAGCAGTCCGTGCGGGCGGTGACGCCCTCGCCGCCGCCCGAGAAGCGATCGACCTTCAAGCTTCGCTCGACCAGCAGCAAGAAGAAGGCGGCCATGCGAGCCAAGTCGCAGGAGAGCACGCGACAGGACAAGCGACGCTCCACCGTCAAGCACTCGACGCGTCGCGGTGATCCTCGACTCGACGACCAGGACATCTATCAGCAACAGCAGCAGCAGCAGAATCAACGTCGCAGACCACAACTTCTGCGCTCGAAAGCTCTGCTGCTCGAGGCACCGACCATGGAGGCGAGCAAGCGATCGCTCAGCGAGGAGGTCCGGCCCAAGAGGCGCACCGAGTCCAGCGTCAAGCGGGGCCTTTACTTCCGGGCCAAGAGCGAGGACGCGGCGCGCTACAATCCTTGGCTCAGCGGCGACGAGGACGACTACGAATACGACGAGGGGGTCGACCTCGAGGCCGAGCTACGCGAGTACGTCACGACGGTCTGAACGATCATCCCGTTCGCCTATGACATAGCAGCAGCAGCAGCGGCAACGAGACTAACGATCTTCTTCATGCCAATTTCTTTGAGAGTCAAACGATGAGGCCGAGGCCGTAAACGTCTTTGAACGAAGTTAGCGTTAATTATATATTTAATGGTATCATTACAATATATTGAATATATATGATTCGATGCAGACGATTAAAAAGAAAAAAAAGTTAAATTAATAATAACGAGGGGCTGGATGCAGAGGCTGTTTCGTTTTTACGTTGGCCGCGACGAAGCTTAAATAGAAATAAAAATAAACACGACGACACACAATATATAAAAATACATGATACGTAATTTGCGCGTAAGAGAGGATGCACGCGACTTCTCGTCTTCAACGACATTCGTTATAAATAATAATTACGATTATGGATTATTATTGATTATTATTGATTATTATTATTGATTATTATTACTATACGATACGTAACATTTACGATTAATCGATATAGAAGCGAATAAAAAAAAAATTAAGATATCGAGCTTAGATCGTAAGTAGTCTCCTCATTATGTACGCGATCATTCGCTATATTATATATAAACGAAAAATTATGTGTATTTGAGCTTGCGAATTTGCTCACACAAATAATCCCTATTGATACACGCCCACCCCCACACACACACACATACATACACGATTACATCTACTCGATATAATATAGCGAGAGAATGCAGTTTTGAGCGTATACGAGCGTACATAGTAATTAATTATAATACACATTAGTGCACCTCCCCCGCGAGCGAGTGCTTAGAAACATTATAATACTATTATTGGATCGACGGCGAAAACAAAAAAAAAATAAATAAACGTCGTCAGCCCGATATGAACGCAGTAATATGAGAAAAAAACTCGGACAAAAATATACGCATTTGCCGAAACACCTTCTTCACGTATTACACTCACACACGTACGCAACACGCATTATAAATATGGATATAATGGATAAAAATAGTATCGACAAATATTATATTATATATATATTATACGACAGAAAAAAAAGTAAATGATAAATTTGCACGATAATGCAATTATTGATATACAGACATTAAATTTAAACTCTTCGCGATTCTTGCGTGGGTGGGTGGAGGTTCGTTCCGAGCCTCTCCCCCTGTCGCATGCGAGCGATGCCGGTGCGTGCAATATAACGTGAAAAATAATTAGTCACTATTGTAAACAAAAAAAATATAGATGAAAGAAAGAAAAAAAATCCATGAAAATCAACGGAAGAACGTTTGAATATATAATACGTATATGTATTATAACAAAGACTATCTCGAGACTCTTTTGCATCGTTTGCATTATGTAGCATATTTCGTGAAGCCGATTATCATCTATTATACGCGTGTTCGTTTAATCTTCTGTCGATCGTTAATTGGACCGAGTGATTCCTACGAACAAGCATACGGCCAATTTTCAATTAAATGTATCATTGCAAGCGCTGAGAAAAAAACACGAGATTGTTGTTTGTTGAATTATGGCAATTCACTTTTAGCGAATAATCACAAGCATATAATGATAATTATTATACTTCTTTTTGATTCCTGCCGAATTCGATAAATTCTATTTAAAAAACAAGTTATATATTATACATTAATATAGTCAAACGATCGTCTTGTTTCAAATTAATCATGTATAAATACGAAATGATAATGCAAAAAACCAAAAATACTCCGTTAACGCGAAGGTTTATATTCGTACTCCCCGTATATACAGAGAGACATGTTGCGATAATATCTCTATACTCTTGGATGATGTATCTATAATTAAATGGTATGACACCTTTGTTATTGTTTTTTTTTTTAAGATCATTATTATTCCGATTGTGTGCGCCATTGTGGCAAGCGCACACCGACGTTATTAAATATTGTATACGCGTAACGATATGTATATTTGCGACGACGAAAATTACTCTGTTCTTTTTTATGTACTTGATATAATAATAATAATTATAATAATAATGAGATTATTTTTTACTACTATTACTACTGTTTACTACATTAATAAATATAACTTAACGAAGGAAGGGTGGTGTGTGCATGTGTGTATGCGTAATGCGAACGAGAAGACAATTTGACACGTAATTTTGTACATTGCAAAGATTGCGCGGACGAAATGATAATTAGAAGCGACGAAAAAGAAGAAGTCATTTTTGTAAAAGTCAAGAAATAGCTGAGCAAGTAAGGTGACGAGGCTAATGCAAAAAAAAGGATAAAGAGAAAAAAACGAGAAATTGAACGATGAAAAAGGCTGCTGCGCTACGATCGAGGAATTTATGAGTGTCAATGATTAATACACGTGTAATATCTTGCAACAGAAGATAGATTATTTTTTTCATTTCTTCATATTTTTACCGTGAATTACGAATTCCAAAGATGTTAAACGAGACTTACCGACTTTTTCTCATTAAATATGCCCTTCTGATATTCAAATTATGCTTCTCATGACGCAAAAAAACCGACTGTACAAACTTTTTGAGTGAAACGTATATGAAAAAATTCGAGTGTAGTCGTAAGTTGTTCTTTCGTACTTGTTGAAAACTAATCGAATAATAACAGTTCTAAAAAAAGAAGTTAATCAACCAAGTATATGCATTAGTAAAAAGCATAAACGTTATCTATCTTGTAGTACACGCGACGGCAAATAAAAGCAAATAACCATGTGATGTTTATTAAAGACATAAATGATCGCGTTTCGCCTCTATCGAGGTATACATCAATCGTGATAATGTTTTTTCGTAATGCTCATTCGTTAATACGTGAATTAAATTGACGAAACAAAAAAGGTTTCAAGTGTCAAAAAAAAAGGATAAATGATTTCGCACGAGTACAGTGATACAAGTGTTAATGAAAAAAAAAAACTACTATACCAAACAGCATACATACCACCCGTACGTACATACTACATAATTCTGTATTTTAAGTAGCTCATATTGTATTAGCTAAATTGTGCCAGCCAAAGATAGAGTCAGTGTATATCGTTTTGATCGTTAAAATTTGTTTTTCGATTGCAAAGAGTGACATACGCTAACACAGAAAGAAGCATTTAGCCTTATCCGATTGATACATTTTTCTCCTGAAAAGACAACAAAAGTCATTGACAATTAAATAGCAATATTTTGTACAAAGCAAACGAGAGTCGCTCTTTTTTTAGTGCCATAACTATGTATTAAATACGTAAATGGAAAAAACAAAAGCTAAAGCTCATCATTACTTCTTTCTTTTCGTTCGAAATTTTTAGACATTACGAGCGAACTACTACAAAGTATGATGAATTCAATTCACTTTAGTAAACAATGTATCTCCCAAGTACTGCCATTAGCATTAAACAAAAAAATTACCTCAATCGCAAAAAAAGAGTGAATGAAAATTAATTAAATATTTAACGAATGTAAACGAACGAGTGCGGGTTATGTGACAAATCCTCCCCTCCTTCCCTCGATTTATTTGATATTGTGTAAAAAAAAAATAATAACATAACAAATACTGTATAACGACGAGTGTAATCGCAGCGAGCCGATCGTTACGTCACGACTGATATTTCTGCGCGCCGGAAGAAAGAGCTTAGTGGCGCGAGCGAAAAACGACACGATCGTGGTGTCGGGTATCACGGATTCGCGCGAATGCGATTGTGATTGTGCGACGAAAAAAAAAATTATATAAATAATATATTATAAATGTGTGTGTGCGTGTACGGCACGGTGTGAAACGTGATAAATGTATAGCGCATCATTTCAATCCAGAATTTATAATTTTACTATCGTTTACGATTTCTGAAAATCGTTTCGTTATAAAATCGTTGCTATCGGGCAAATTTTTTGTATAAAGTATGCGAGAGTTGAAAAAAAATATAGCGTGCACACTCATTGAAACAAACAAAAAAAATAACCCAAAGTAAATACAAAAGTACGATTATAAAATTAGTAATATTAAAACTCTTATAACACGAGAGAATATGTGCTCAACCACGTTTTTCTAGTCCAGCGTTACCAATGATATTATTATGTATTATCTAATGTATATTTTTATGCATTACGTGCGTGATCTGATCGATCTTATAATATTAATTGCATGATGCGAACGATGTGTTTCATTGCGACACGTGTTTATTACACATGCGCTCGTATTATTTGTTTTTTGTTTTTGTAAATTTTAAGTGACAAACAATTAAACAGCAACAAAGTTAATAATCATTATAAACGATGTATCCGATGTATCCCCCCTCGAATTTTTCGTGATAATCTGAACTTAATACTTTTAATGAATACAAGAACAAACGGAAAGAAAAAAAATTACTTATAATATAAACGACATGAATAATGTAACGATGACAATTGTAAGAAAATAATGAGAAAAAAAATTGAATAAATATTACTCGACGACGCGAGCGTGTTGTTGGTAGGTTTAACACACGAAGCTAATCTATTAACTTACGGCAATTCTGTCGTACAGGAAAAATTTGCTCTCTGTGCTTTTCCGCATCGACTCATGCAAAACCGAGCGAGATCGAGATTATTTGTGATTACACGCAAAACAAATAAATTAATAAACGACGACACGATATGATATAAACGACGAAGAAAAAAAACACAATAAAAAAAAGGTCAATGTTGATTTGTTTAAATAAATATAAGTTTGAAAATCTAATCAGGTGTTTTGAATTTTTCATCATCCTTTCCCTTTAAAGTTTCAGCTGGATCGAGTTTTTGACACTTGGCACGATTGACGCAACTGTTTTACCGATCGAAACGTAAACAGTTTACTCGCGGGACACGTATGTTGTCTGCAAGTTTTATAGCTGCTCCGATATCAGCAGTTGAATTCGTCGTGTCAAAATGGCTGATCTAAATAAAGAGCTGAACGAGTATCTTTTGAGCAGTAAAAATGAAAAACAATACAAAATTAACATGCCGGCTATGTCCCTGTCAAAGCCCAACATCGGAAAATGGTTTGGCCGGAGTTCAGACGAAGAGAGACAAGAATCTGGCATTTTTCGTGCCCAAAAAGATTGCTGCAGTTTGGTTAGTCCTAAACAGTAGATAATTTAATTTTGTGATTAATTTAAAGATTAATTTATTGAAGCAGTAGGTCTTCTAAAATGTTGAAGAACAATTGCCATAACTTAATGTTTTATCTTTGTGTTATAGACGAGAATGCAAAGACTGACTGCTTTTGGACTGTGTTTTTTCATGGGTATCGTGTGCTTCACTTTTTCTGCTATTTATATTCCAGTATTAATCTTAAAAGCTAGGAAATTTGCTTTACTATACTCCATGGGAAGTTTATTCTTTTTAATGAGGTATGTGATAAATCTTGAATAGATAGTTCACATATTTTGATCCACTAATGATGTATTAATCATGTCACAGCTTTGCATTTTTGTGGGGACCCATGAGTTACTTGAAATCTTTATTTTCTGCTGAGAGAAGATTGTTTTCATTGGTGTACATAGCCACATTAACTGGAACTTTATATTTTGCTCTGCATTTGCAATCAACACCCTTAACTGTGTTGTGTGCTGTGTGCCAGTTGATTGCGATGTTGACTTTTCTAATTAGTGCTGTGCCTGGAGGAACCACTGGATTGATATTTTTTTCAAGAATGTGCAAGTCATCAGTTAGCACAACCTTGTCTGTTTAGTTATTAAATTAAATAACAATTATTGACAGGCAGATATTGTGAAATAATTTTGTAAATAGTGTAAACAATTTGTACAAAATATACAATGATTTTATTTATATGATTATTTAATATATACATTTATTTTACTTTAAATTTACTACATTTTTTCAAACACTTTTTAGTCCTATTTGGTCTGTTTTCATTTTTTTTTACTCTTTTAACTTTTAAAGGTTCATAACTAACAGAACTAGTTGTTTGATCGACAGATTGTGATGAATTGCCTATTTTTCTCTTCTGACCTATATTTTTTGAAACTTTACTTTTATCATTGTCTTTTTGAATAGTAAAATATCTATTGTCATTGCCTTTGCTTGTTTGGGTTTTTGAAGGTTCTTCTTCACTATCATTAGTATCAGAAAACTTGATATACTCCCCAAACTCTTTAACACATTTAGGCTTTGGTGCATCTGAATCATCTGACCATTGATCAAGGTCATCAGAACTAGAAAAGTCTTGACTATTAACTTTAGCGTGGAGATCATCAATAATTTGATCATAGTTTGGATTGTATATATACAGATAAGAAAATTCAGATGTATCAGGATCTGCTGATTTATCACTTCCACTACCACTTTCACTTTCACTTTCATATTTATAATCAAAAATAGATTTTTTGATTATATTAGATTCATTTTTATTTTCAATATTAGCAGCATTTAGTTTAAATACTTCTTTGCTTGACACTTTTTCATTTTTCAATTTTTTGTACATCTTTTGTACCACTGGAATAAATTCACTGAAGAGTTCATTCTGACTTTGGTTTTTCTGTAAAAAAAAAATTATTCATTAATATAACAACAAAAAGACTCAATAACTTTTGAAATTCATAGAAGTTACCTTGAAGGCCATTGCAGCACAAGCAAAACCTAATATATCATTTGTCACTTTTTTCAAAATTGGTGCCATAATAACTGGTATTGTTTGATTTTCACACATAATTACTAAATGTTGTATCATAAAGTAGTTGTCAATAGTGGAGTCTATAACAACACAACAACTTTCTTGTTTTTCTAATAATTTTGCAACTTCGTTGATACCAAAAACTACAGATTGTAAGGGTTTTTCTGTAGAATTTGATATGTCATCAATTTCCATTTCATTAGAGCTTTCTTCCTTCATTTCTTTCTTTTGAAGTTTACGTTTTTTAGATGAAGCTTTTTTAGAAACTTTTGAAAGTTTTAATTGAGGTAATAAACTGAAAATATTATGAAATTGTTAAAGTAATTTGTATGATACAATAAAAATATTAAACAATATTTAATGCAAACCTTTTGCAGAGAGTTTCGATTTCACTAATTTCTTGTTGGTCTTCCAATACCGGCCTACACATAATAAAAACGTTATATATTTGCACATAGAATAAACAACATCCATGAAATTTATCATTATATGTTGCGTGCTACTTACCAAAACTGTTCTGTCGGCTTGGCAAGTATATTTTTAAAACCAGCGGCCTTTTTTCCTGGCTTTTGTGTGCCATTTTTCTTCTGTTTTTGCAGCTTTTTTTGTTGGTTCAACGTGGACATCGTAAATTATTTGTTTCTTTCACTCGTGATCCTTTTACAAAATTTAGAGGTTACCGCACCCACTATTCAAACATGGAACTTTTTAATTACTTTCACTCAATCGAATGCGCATGCACCAAAGTGAAAAGAGCAACGATCATTGACACTATGTCTGAGCACAATTAATTGAAATATAAACAATTACACAATTGTCGCGTGCACACGTGGCTCGACAGGTGTAATCACACTTTACGAACTGTCAGTATGAGTGCAGTAGCAGCCGTAAGACTGAGCTGCAGCTACGTGATGAATTGGTACAGGGATTGTGAGTTTAGATTTGAGTCGTAAATGAAAAGTAGCATTCAGTGCCGACAGAGGTCGCTGCTTGCGCCTTTTCTAAGGCTCGGCCGCTCGACTGTCTGAAAGAAGAAAGCATATGGCAAAATCGCAGTAGTCCAGTTCCGTAGGTTGGCAACACTTGTAGCGGTTTCAATCGAAAAATGACGCAACGCAAGTCGATATTTTCAAAATAATGAGCTCGATCAACGAGACGAACGGTAAATATGTCACCTAATGACTTGCTTATTTGCATGCTACAATTTCGATAAGATCATCGTGTGAATCATGTTATCGCAAGAGATGGCATAGATAAACCTCATTTCGGTCATATATTACTCAATTATCGAGTTCAGTAGACATTGATTTTCTAATATAAATAACTTCCGTATGTACAAATATTTTCAAGCTGTAAACGTGCAGTCAAAGATCGCACTTATCTATCAACAGAAGGGCTGAGTGGAGGCAATCTGCGCGTGCTCTTTCCCTCTCTCTCTCTCAGCAGTCAGCATGCGCGCGTGCACTGCACCGCTATGTAGAGGGTCTAAGCTCAAATCGCAATCTCGCGTGCATTCGCAAGCCCGCAAATCCAAATCGTCGCGTCGGCTGCTAGTAGTACAATAGTAGCGGAAATAATATTGCAGCAGTTTGCGCAGTCTCCTCCTCGTGTCGTCGTCGGTGCAGCTGCTGAGTTAGGTGCTACTAGGTAAAAACATTTCATTTTATCGGCGATTACTCGGTCGTCAGCAGCTCGCTCGAAACGCGTACACGTCGCGGAAAGTCGCCTCTTTCTTTCATTATTACGTAGGAGACGGGATGTACTAATAAGCTCGCTGTCAGACGGAGGCAATCCCTCTTCTATAGATATACGTGGCTTATTCGGCAATGCTCTCTTGCGTTATTAATATACATACATACTCGTTGTTTTTAACGGGATCGCATAACCCAATTTCGGCTCTCGACGGGGATAGGAGCGTCGCTGTGCAGTCCGCCGCCCGAGGAATCCGCCGAGCTTTGACTACTTTCTCTTCGCGAATTGCGTACTACATACTCTGGCCAAGGCGGTACGCGTTATACACCTGTTTCCCCGATCCCTCTCCAGCGCGATATACTTACCATGTATATTTATATAGTAGGGAGTGTCTGTCAAGGTCGCTGACTCTCTTCTTCAATTCTTTCACGAAGTTTTCCAGGCGCGGAGGAGCACACTGGCCGGAGCCAGCATGCACACGCGCGTCAACCGCCACTACTTTACGGCGAGACAGCTCCGCGCAGTTAGTTCGCGTTATGTACAATCGTGAAATCCACATGTAGCTGTTGCTGCTGCGGTGCTCTCTCAGAAACGTTAATGTAACAGTTTGGCCAGTCTACTCTCTACGTCCGAGTCGAGCACATCTCTCTCTCTTTGGCGCGCACGGCGAATATTTACGCACAAACGCATGGTGTAGTAGTAGTAGCAAGGTATAGTCTGCTCGCGCGCCACGGTCGAAGCTCATAAATACGTGCTTTCTTACCTCTATACTTACTCGATCCATACTCTCTCTCTGCTGCAGCTCAGTTAATGTTGTTCATGCCGCTGCAGTGTTTTTGCGCTTTCTCAAGAGCCTCGTGCGTCCAGTGTGTATAGGATATATATGTACCTGTATACACCTGCGTGCATATACATCTATATATAGACAAAAATAAAAAGCGGCGCGCGTGCATTTAAAGCCCCGCGCGTTCGAATAGCTCGTAGCGATCGTTGCGGCGCGCGAAAAGTGAAACGCCGATATCGTTCCAGCTCTCCTTATAGGCGCCTTCAGAAGATTCTATTAGAGAAACGACGACGACGACGATCACGGCAAAGCTGCAATCATGGAAAAACGACGCGACGATAATTTGGAATTCGTGGTCAAGAATCTGTTCGCCGGTGGTACGTAACACAGCAATTATTATTTATTTACATGGTGCTGTCGACCAGGTCATCATCATAAATCGTGATTATTGCGCCATAAACCTTCGTTATTGCGTCTTAAGTGCCTTTGCCTGTAATAATGTATTAGATACCGAGATGACGAGATCGAGAGGGTAAATAATAAAGTGTGTGTCTGGCTTATTATCGTTTTCCCGACGCCTTTCTCGCCTTACATCTCTGGCATATAATACACCTACGGAGTGCGAGAAGTCGCACGTGGATTACACGCGCGGACGACCTTGCATTTTTGTCTACGAGCGCGTGAGCGCGTTCCGCGATTAAAGAGAGAAAGATGTTGTAACGGTGTGCACTTAATCGCCTGGTATCTGTGCTAATAACGATGCAGCTGTGTGTAAGATCGTGTGTACGTCGCACAGCTTGCACAACTTTCTCTCTTCTTGACGTATATTCGAGCACGCACACACATACACACATACACAATCATATAATTTTGCCGCAGGTATCGCTGGTATGTGCTCCAAGACCGCCGTCGCACCACTGGACAGAATAAAGATTCTCCTGCAGGCTCATAACAATCATTACAAGCACTTAGGTGAGAGGTGTTTACATCGTCTTTTTTTATTATTGTTATTATTATTATTAAGATGTATTTTTACGGGTGCGCGAGCGCGCATTTAAAAACCTGCTTCTAACTGCAGCTACTGTTGTTGCTTTCTCTTTGAAACTTTGCACAATATATGTGTGCCTGATGCTTAAACATGTGTGTGGTCTCATTCATAGGTGTGTTTTCTGGACTCAAAGAGATCATTCGACATGAGAAATTCTTTGCACTGTACAAGGGTAATTTTGCTCAAATGATCAGGATATTTCCTTATGCTGCAACACAATTTACATCATTTGAATTTTATAAAACGGTGATTAATTCATTCTGCTCACTTTCACATATCGAATAACTTTCTACATTATTGAAATTTTATTCCTCAGTTTTTCGCAAGAATACCAATTCTTCAGAGTACTTCCCACTTGGATAAGTTTGCTGCAGGCGCTTGTGCAGGCGTAACATCTGTTGCTCTCACTTATCCTTTAGACATGATAAGAGCAAGATTAGCTTTTCAAGTAACTGGCCAACATGTTTACTCAGGAATCACTCATACAGCCATCTGCATTTTCAAAGAAGTAAGTCTCATTACATTGAAGCATTGTTACTTTATCTATGAGAACAATCTGATGTAATTATATTATACTTATTTTTCTATGATCATTATCTTAGGAAGGTGGCCTTAGAGCCCTGTATAGAGGATTCATACCAACTGTGTGCGGTATGATACCTTATGCTGGATTCTCTTTCTACACATTTGAGCAATTGAAATACTTCTGTATGAAATTTTTCCCTACCATTTTATGCAAAGAATGTGAAAAAAATACAGGTAATATATAAAAAATATTATCTATCAAACACATATCATGAAAAAATTTTATTCACATAGGGGGACTTGTATTGACCATTCCCGGTAAATTATTATGTGGTGGTATTGCTGGAGCCATTGCACAAAGTTTTTCATATCCATTTGATGTTACCAGAAGACGTATGCAACTTGCATTGATGCACTCAGATACACATAAATTCAGGTATGTGTCATTAACTGATTTCATTTTTACTGACATTCACAATTTGACTAAACTGCTAAATATTTTAGTGCTGGTATGTTGTCAACTCTTAAGCTAATATACAATGAAAATGGAATTATGAAAGGATTATACCGTGGAATGAGCATAAATTACTTGAGAGCTGTTCCAATGGTTGCTGTAAGCTTTTCGACTTATGAAGTAATGAAACAAATGTTAGCGCTTGATACAGGAATGAAAATATGAAAGTATTCCGTACAACTTTTCTTATTAATAGACAAATTAATTTTTTATAAAAAATCAAATCACCAAAACACAATGAAAGTCAATCAACTCAAATGCTAATATTTTGTTAATTAGCGTACTATTTAGTTTTAAAAAAAACTGACTTAAGAAAGACACTTCTAATGTCGCTATTTCGCATTAGATTTAGTCAATTAATAGTTGTCTAAGCTAAGAAAGAAAACTTGTAAATTTTACATGACATTTAAGTATTTTTGTAAATAATGAAAAAAGCAAGTTAACCGCATGTACAAACGTTTTGTAAGAACGAGCACGTTTTGTTTTTTAAATATTTTAAATAATATTTTTATAATTATAGTTTACACAAAGAATATTACTGTTGAAAAAACTATAAATTAAGAGAGAGAAAAAAAAACATACGTATATATATGTGCAAATCGATGAACGAAAGAATTTCTAATAAAGATAAAAGTTTTGTCATTCAAAGCAACCACATTGTAAGTGTACATATTTTAACAATGACGATGACAGGAGTTGATATAATCAACGAAAAGTCCAAGGTCACGTTTACTTTTTTACATGAATCTTTTATTGTAATTTCTTTTTACCTTCTGATAAAACTCATATCAGACGGCACATTCGATTTTTTTTTAATCAAAAAAGAGAATCCAAATGCACAGCGCAGTGATGGATCAACACTCGCGCTTATTACAATATATAATTTTGGTATAATTAAAACGACCTCTCTGTCTCTCTTATGCGGACAATCGCACGGTAGACACACTCACAAATAGCGCGCGATCATAAACATATGCTCATCATCATTATCATTCAATCGTTCACTCTCAAACGGCGCAAATTGCATTCACCATCGTTTATGGGGGGTATAATACTCTTAATAATAATAATTGATACCGACGACGACATTTTTTTTTTAATAATAAATACGAGCCAGCGTAGAACTTGTTCAACGATTCTCTTTTTCTTTTCTTTTTTTTTCTTTTTTTTTTATCAACTCGCATCAGTGATAAAATTATAGAATATAAAAAGGACAAAGCTCAAATTAAACAAAGGCCCATTCGGCGTGCGGTTTGCAATGGTAATAACAAAATTCAGCCTCGCTGACTGTCTGCCTGCCTATAATGTGCGCGCACACGTGTGTGCAGCGCGCGACATATGCTGCATGGGCTGTTGTCGCACACAATGCTATAGGCATAAAATAGAGAAACAACTGTTAAAGAGAGTGAGAGAGAGAAAAGCTGCATTTAGACACGCTCGCTTGACCATTCGCAGAGCCGCGCGCAGTTCATATTATATTCTAGGAACGGCCAACTCTCTCTAGTTTTTCCTTTTTTTCGCGACAAAAAAATCTCGACATTCTTCGTATTACAACGCGTGCTTGGGCTTTTATACATATTACGCTCGTCCGTCGCGTACATTATGCATATTCCATCGTCACATATTTGCGCGCGCGTACAGTATATGTATAAGATAGGCGCGCGTGCGAGCACGTGAAAAGGTTTTCATTTAAATTTCGTAATAACTCGGTATATACGTTTTAACGTGCGCGTATAATATATATAATATATAATACCTAAGCGAGTCTCGAGAGCGCGTCGTCGTTCATTCATATTTCTGTTAGTAATGCGTGTGTCTGTGTGTATACATATACACGTTATATACCTATATTATAATATTACAAGCCTTTCATTCACACGTGTGCACTGTAGTAAAGAGTGAGAGAAACAGGCCTCTTTCTCCATACGTCGCATACAGAGCTTAGCTTATAACAATATTTGACTTCCGCCGGTTCTCTTTTTTTTCAGTTAGGAAATATTTCTACGCTTGTGTCACTTGCCGATTTCTTCTTCGCCTTTTTTTCCCCCGCTACTTTTTTGTTCATTATCATAATGTAATATTGGTCGCTCGCGAAGTAGACGTGTTCCGTGTTATACAATATTGAATTTTTCAAATGTTTCATCTCTTATTGTCGAAAGGATGGACGCATAAAAATCTTGATTCCGCAATAAAAAGATGTATCCTCTACGTATTTTTTCTTTTTGTGTAAAATAATGAGTGCACGTGCGTACGGTGTCTAATTCTCAGGAGTATGTTTTAACAAATCACACAAAGTTTTCCTCCCTGTTTGGAGCTCACGTATAATGCGCCCAGACAGATATACTAATATTTATCTTAACGTGAAAATTTTGCTTTTTATAAAAAAAGGTACAGACAACACACGAGTAGGTATACTTTTTTTTCTCTAAAGCTTATCACTTTTAATCTTCGAGTCGTGCAACTTTATGTCCTTGTTGATCCTATTTTAATATATTTTATATATCTCTGTAAATATATAGATTCCACATTCATCAGTCACGTCGACCAACGCTCGATAGTTTTTTATGATATAGTTATAGCATTACGGCATACAAGTTATTCATATATTTTTATGGGATAATAATATTGGATGTGCAAACGAGGAAAAAATTTCGCCGAATTTTTAAGATGAAATATTTCAGTGCTTTCTCTCAAATTCTCTCTGACGCGAATTCGACAGTTTTTTTTATTTTTTGCATTGCCCCATGTATCCTTCCTGGCATTCTCGCAATGTACACTCAAATATACTCAACGCATACACATATCGCACACTTGACTCGTTCGGGACGACTTTCACTCCTTTTTTTTTACTCTCTACTTTATAAATCTCGTGCGCTTCTTTCATCGTCGAATCAAACGTGAATGTATCTGTATTATTTGATGCACGTGCAAATCTGATGCGTATACTCAATTACTTTTTCTATCGCTACACGTGTCATTATTTATGTATTCATTTTTATTTTTTAATAAAAAAAGTATGACGTGATTTATGTCCAACAAATACACAAGTTAGCTATACACACTCTTCACTATATGTATTAAAATTTTGCCTTTCGAATTAATTATTTGTGCCACTTGTTGCACTACCAACAAATGATACTGATTTTCCATATTAAAACGATCCTTTTTAGCTCGTTCAATCAATCGAATCTATGGATCTTTGTATAGAACCAAAATGCATTTTCTGCATAATATAACTTCCAGAGGAATAGCCACCACATCCATGCCCTATTTATACTCTTGTTTTTAACTCTATTTTCAGTATAAATGTACAAGCGGTTGTTCATAAAGGTAAGTTAAAAAATTCGAAATAATCGAGGAAGTTCCATGTATAATTCTTGTATATGCTTCTGAAAAAGGACGATACAGGAAAAAGGATATATCGAGATTAAAGTTCATCTTACACGAGATGTGTATATTACATAGTTGAATATTCACCGATTCACAGTCTTGAAAAATTCCTATTAATAGGTGAAGTAAACTACAGTTTTGTTTTTTCTAGACAACTAATTGTTTATTTTCCTCTCACGCTCACTTTTAATCTGGGCACTTGATTTGAATTTATCTTATTTATTTTATTTATTTTTTCAAAGATAACGAGTGCACATATGGAGCGCCGTGTTCTTGATTAATACGCTCGGTTTTTAACCAATATCGATATTTACAACATAAGATTTTTTTTTAATTCTGCAAAATTGTTGCTTTTATTCTTCCTTTTTGGATTCGTAAGATATTTCTCACGCATAAAATAAAATAGGTTATAAATGTCATCACATCAAATGTACAATTCAACAAGTGAAATTGATGAGACAAAAAAAGTGTTCGAGTTGGCTTGAATTACAATAGTTTTTATTTTGTATTTTTTTTTCTTATTCATCAAAGCGTTCATTCTTTTAACCTAATGTTCTTTTTACGTAGTAAAAAGTTTAACGAAATTACCGCGAACAATTTCAACTTTCATATACTATAATTGCCATTCCAAGCATCAGAAGTTTTACATAAGGATATACTTAAAAATCAATTAACGAGGGATTGATGCAAAAGTGTCACGACGCGTCCTAGTCCTCATGTACCGTTTTCGGCATTATTTCATAATATTTATAGCTATATATATATTCAAGGTCTTAAAAAGATAAAAAGTTACAAATTTTCTTCTAAAGCATCGTTTTGATCCACTCATTGAATAATTCGCAGCGCATTAAAAATCAATGTAACACAACATGAGACAGATAAAGTAAATGCCAAAGGTGCGTATAGATACATTAAAAAAGCTTTTTTCTTAAGTAAGTAGAAAACGTTATTTTCCCTTCCTTTATTTATCACTTTTTAAAAGAGGAAGAGACATGAAAGTATAAAACAGTAATTTTCGAATAAATCGATCAGACAATATATCGCCATTTATCTCATTGTATAAAGGTTCTGTTTGATTAGAGAAACGTGTGGTCCACTGTGGCTCCGATTTTCATGTAAAAAAATTTGTCTTAGGTTTCAGTGGATTAATCCACAGTATTACATTTATGCTCTAAGAACACTGTGTTTGACAACCGTGAAAAACAAACTATAATGAGTACACGATGATATATTTTTACTGATGTACGCCAACAAGGGAGTATTGGTGTACTGTGGGATGAAAGTCACTGTTGCATCAACCCTGCATTTTTACGTAAGCTATCTATGCCCTTTCATAAAAAACATTCATCACTTGTCGCTCCATTCACCCCAATTCAAAACACGAGATAATATTTTTCATTTAAATACAGCTATTTTCATATTGGTACATAATTAGTAACCGTCAACGACAGTGATCATCTTGCAGTACAGTTAGGAGAAAAGACGCGTATGTATGTATATATCTTTATCCCTAGCCTTATCTCGTTCTTTCTTTCTCTCACTTCTTCTCCACAGCAAACCATTCCGCAAATCACTCAACAACTTAACATTCATTCAGGAGTTTAAAGAACATTACCACTAACGCTTTTAGCCATTCACAATAACGATGTTACAATTCAAAAATGTCCATGATAGTTTTCATCAATAAAAATACAAGCATACAATGAAAATCGTCAAACTCAATGCTTTTAGGTGAATTTTTTACTCTCAGTACTGTGTACATTATTATTGATTTTCCTTCAATTTTTTGTTTGTTTCTTATGTATACAAGTGTTGTTGAAACTACGTGTATGGTGTATATAAACGCGCAAACACGCGAGCGCGCAATTAGTCTCACTAGGAGACACCATAACGCGAGCCATTATATAATACTTGATACTATATATGGCGTGCAAGGGTAGCTCGGGTCCTTACACTTATACCGATGTTCTAATATAGGTTATGTTTTTGTGGCATTTGTATTAAGCCACCTTCATTCCAATCCCCTACCTTAACTACTCCCATTTCGATTAAAAAATCTTACAGGAAGTAATCTGGTGTTCGCCTGGTGACATGTGGTTCACCACGTCGAGGTGCTGGATCGAATTGAAGGCTGTAAATAAAAAAAACGTTATAGAACATTTCAAAAAAGTAAAAATAATAATAATTAAAAGTATTCTTACAATGAATATTTAAGGGCATCATCAAGCTCCATAATTGCAGCTTGATTACCACAGCGATAACAATAATTGGGCGCAGAGAATATAGTTACAACGTTACGATCGTGACACCTGTAAAATAAAAATTCAATTATCAGTACAACTTTTCATTTTACACAATAAATGTATAGATTACCGAAATAAATTTAACAATAGAATATTGAAAACACATAATATATATCTACTAATAAAAAAAAACAAGCTTTGTGCTGATTTGAAGAATATTTTTACAAAAGCTTTGCAAATATGAGTTTAATAGTTTTACAAAACTCATAATAAGAATTTTTTACATAAACACAAAGTTCAGTATTAAAAAATTAAAAAGTAAAGTCTTACCAATTGTATCCCTCCATAACCAACTGATGAGCTCTTGATACTAGCGTTAAACCATTTGAGTGGTTGAAAGTTTCTGATATATCTTGACCAAAAGTATAACCAGCACCTCTAGGAGAAATGCCCCAACCGCCCCTGTCATCTGGATCTGACCATAACAAGTCACACATGGGTCCCTAGAAATTATATAACAAAATATTATTCAAGTGAATTTTTTCAATAAACCCAAGTAAAACAAATATATGTTTATAAATTTACCTCATGTGGTACTTCTTGCAAACGATCTAATGCACGAATATGATCTAATGTATCAATAGACGGAGAAAGACCACCATGCAAACAGAAAATTTGACCATCGACAAGAGCTGTCAAGGGGAGATAATCAAACAAATCTGTAAAAAACTTCCACACATTGGCGTTGCCATATTTTCGAAGACATTCGTCATAAAATCCATAAACTTGTGTGATTTGTCTTGATTCGTGATTACCTCTCAAAATAGTTATTCTTTCTCTGTACCTCACCTACAATAAAAAAATTAAACGAAAATGGATTAATATTAAAGTAAAACCATTAATGAACTTTTCATGAGAATTTGTTTTTACTCACTTTTAGTGCAACTAGAAGAGTGACAGTCTCAACAGAATAGTAACCACGATCAACGTAGTCTCCCATAAACAGATAATTTGTATCTGGAGATTTACCACCTATCCGGAAGAGTTCCATGAGATCATGGAACTGTCCATGAACGTCTCCACAAACTGTGACAGGACATTTTACTTCCTGTACATTGGACTCCTTTGCTAAAATTTCTTTTGCCTATAAAACACAAAATCATGTGCATTAATAAATCTGTGAGTTTACATGAGTCAATGCAAATTAAAAAGCAAACAGTCAAGTAAATAAAGTCATAGATAAGATTAATTTTAGTAAATTTAATCTTGGCAAAAGAGATGTACATTCTCAGCATGCCTGAATGAGTCATTTTTATAACTAGAGAATTTCATAGTACATAGCAAGAATATACAAGTATTTCATTATCATGTGTAGAGAGCTATGTAGTATGTACATGCACATTCATAGACGACGAAGAGTTGCACGAGTTTCCTGACTCACTTGCGCAGACTTATTAAAGTCAAGCGTCAAATGAACTGGAACGAAGATATTCTATTTCTATAAACCGAAACTCTTGCAGAATCTTCGCGTATGCGTGTATATGTTTGTGTTCAAGTGGAAGTGCATGATCACTTTTGTACATGTGCGAATAGACGAGAGCTTGTCAACGTGTTTGATCGACAAATTGAATCGATTGTAGCGATTATTGGCCTTTCTGAACTCGGCTACTTTAGAATGACGAAAAACATGTGACGCGCCTGTCTACGCGTAGGAAGAGAGAAAAAGAGAGAGAGAGAGAGAGAAACACGCGACGATATAGTCATGGGTGGAGTAATAATGCACGCACCCAAGCGCTACTTGACTTCTAAATAAGTCCACAAGGAAACGATACGTACTATCAAAAAGTATGAACGGAGCAATGGCGAGGAATTCGGGCATATAAATAATAAAAATAATTGAATTAATTAATAAATATGCGAGCGCCTGCTATTGCGAGGCGGCACATTCACCTGTTGCAAGGCAGTTTAATCAACAACAATTCGTGCCGAGGTTTCTCTCTTTCATTATCGATAAACAACATCTTATCGAGTAGACATGTTATATACATTATTTACGTATTATCGTGGCATCGCGAGGCGCTACATTACGTACACACAAGCTCGACGATTCTACTATTCTCATATCTTTCTCTCTCTCTCTTCCTCTAACAAGTATCGCGCTTTCGTGGCTCTATCATAAGTACACTTGAATAATATGTGCTGCTGTTCGCGCGCACGTTGCACGTTATTCGCAATACGAGTCGAAATTGCACGAGAGTGTAAGCATGTGTGAGTGTGTTTGCGATGCGATGCGAGCAGTGTACGAGCATATAATATTCGAGGCTATTCTTTTTTGCCCGAATCACGTTGAGTGTCAATTTTTTCATATATCGCACGCAGGTATATTAGCATCGCGGAAGGTGAGCTCGTGGCTACGACGACGACGAAGCGAGATGCTCGAGACACACACGTACGGTTGAGTATATCGGGATAGAGAAGGAAACAAAATAGGAAGGGGACATCGAGAAAAGGGGGAGGGAGGACGTCGTACACACGGACGACGTCACGCGCGTGTGTGTACATATACAATACGTGTGTACGCGCGCGTACATGTATGAGCTGATACGCGAGACACTAGGTGCCATATATACAACAATATAATCAACAAAATATGTGCGCGACGGTGGCATCAATGACGCTGGTAATTCGGCCGATGACTATTACGGTTTCGCATGCTCGTGTACGCGCGCGCGGCTAGCGAAAAAAAGGGGGCGAGATCCACCCGTATTTTGGTCTCAAATTTTTTTTTGTCGGTCGTCGTCTCGACTCCAATTCTCCGCAACGTTTGCGCGCTGCTCTCGCTCTCTTTATGTCTATGCGCGGCCGACATATACCTATGATGTGTACAATAGACAAGAGAGCAAAAGAGCCCCAGAGAGCTGCGAAAAACGTTGGCGTGCATGATTCGTGCGTAAAGCAAGTGTATGCTATATTTTGCTTTTATATACGAATGGACTACTATTACGGAGTCGAGAACCGAGAGAACGAAAACGGCTGTACACACGCACACACGTATGGGCGATATTCTGCGGCAGCGCGCGACAGCGGCGTCGGCGGCGACGACGACGACGACGACGACGACGACGACGCGTACATTTGGTATGTATGTGTGTACGCGGTGGCTGCTGCTCTGTATATGATTTTGTGTATACATGTGTATGTGTGTGTGAGTATCGGCGAGAGAGGAGAGTCAGCTCGGCGAGAGAGTTGCGCGCACTGGATGTCTATGTATGTGTTCATGCATGAATGTGTATACGAGGCGTGCGAAATATGTGTGCGTGCACGATAGAGCGAGACAGAGCTAATGGGCTAGGCCACGGGTGCGAAGGAGACGTAGACGACCGGCTAGCGAAAAAGTCGTCGGATTCACCGAATCGATGACGGCGGTGACGACGACGACGAAGCAAAGTTGATGTATATTAGGCTCGCTAAGAGCGAAACAGAGATAGAGATTGAATGAGAGGAAAAACGGAGCGCGAGGAGTTGAGGTATCAGCCTGTAATGTATGCTAATTAAAGGAGATAGACGGCTGCTTTTGAGGCTTACCTTGTCGCAAAGAGTCTTGACCTGGCTCTCGGTCAGTTGCTTGCAGTCGTTCAACTGTTCGATCCACTGGTCGAGCTCCTTCAAGGACGCCTTTTCCTCCATGTTATTACGTTGCCTTGTTGTTGCGTCTTGTCTACGTGTGTGTTATGTATATATATGAAAATATATACACGTCGTCGGCGTTGTTGCTCTTCTCTAGGGAAAAAGCCACCTCTTTCTTCTCTTCTTCCTTCTTTATATACTTCACACGCACACTTTAACACACAAGAACAGCGACGACGACGACAACGACGACGGCGACTCGATTCGCACGAAAATGAGGTTATATATAGGCGAGATAGTCGCTTTGCAGTATATGTAAGTAGATGGATACAATATAACGCGCGGATGAGCTAACGAGCGGAGCAAAAGAGATCGTTCGCTACTGCTGCTGCTGCTGCTGCTTGCGTCGGTCGAGGTGCACACTCACAAATTATTTAGACACGACGACGTTGACTCAATGCTGATGATGATAAACACGATTCAACACACGGGCCACACCAAACCAACCGAGTCTCTCGAGAACTGCGCGAGGCAAGCGCGAGAGCGAGAGAGAGAGAGAGAGAAAAAAAGAAGAAAACTGAGTAGCAACAAAAAAACTCGGCGCAACGGCTCTCTCTCGCACGCACACACACGAGGGCTTTCTCAACGTACAACAATTCGTGGTTCTCTTCTCTTTAAATAAAAAAACTATTGCAGTTTCCTTGTTATTTATACACGGGGGGCCGACTGCGGCTGCTGGATGTATCTCGCTGTTATGCGCGCGTGTGTGTATGTGTATGTGTATGTATGTATATATAGGCAGATATATATGAAGTATGTATATGTTATAATACGAGTCGGGTAAAGACACGCCAGCACATTCGCGCTGCAGAGTGGTGTGTACGTAAGCGTAAAAGCTAAGCTCTGCTTCTGCCTCTGTCTGCCTCGACGGGAAGCAATAGCCAACTGCCTGCTTCGGCTGGCTGCTGCTGCTGCTGCCGGCGGCGCTCGATGAACGTCCTCACTTATAAAGCGCTGCCTGCTATTTCTTGCTTGTTATTATGATTATGTTCGTCAGTTTTGCGCGACGTTATATAGGGAGTATGTTATAGGTACTAGACGCACACTCACGCACACAGACTGACTGACTCTATACGAGAGTGGCGATCGCGCGGCGGTGGCGGCACTGTTCTATACCATACATAAAATGTATACCGTGTTTCGGGCCGCAAGAAGCACGCAGCCGAGTTAGCGCAGCACTAGTTTATAATAGAGAGCTGCAAGTTGCAACGCCGATGTCAGAGGAGTGCTGTGTGCACACAAGTACTGTACTGCACTCTATACAGCGCACTGCCAAACGGCACATGGGTTCATCATCTCTCTCCCTTTTGGTCCTGCGCCGCTGCTCCGTTAATAAACGCATACACTAGTCATTAAATCTCAGTCGACGGAGTTCCTCTCTCTCTCTCTCTATCTAGCGCACCTATACTCGCGTGTCTGTGTGTTCATACGTCTAGTCTCGCGTCGGATATAGGTGTTTTTAAAATAGAAAATCACCAAGAGTCGAGCTTGCTCGTTACATGCATAAGAGAACGACTATATATCGCTCCTCGGCTTAAAACGGAGTTATACAGTTATATATGTATCTTATGCGCTGCGTGGTGTGCGTTATAATAGGCGCAGTCAACGCTCGTATGAAATCGCGTTTTATTGTAGGTAATGCGTCGATCGCGTCGAGTGCCGTTCCAAATACTTGCTCCTTATACGTTACATGTATTTACACTCTGTTTTCCCCCGACTCTCGGATCCGCGTATAGGTACATGTTATTGCTAATGTAGTGGCCTCACTGACTGCGGGGTGTGCGCGCGCGCGCGCGCGAGACGAAGCACACGAGGAGAAGAGAGAAAGACAATGTGCGAAGTGTGCAGCACACACTCACAAAATGGCCGAAAGATTCGCGCATTCGTTCGACGACTCGTTGACTGTCGCGTCGAGCTCCGACGACACTACTGCGACAATACAATAGGCATATCGCGAGTTTCTCACCCAATATCCATGTAGCGCGGCTCTTTGGATGACGCGGGGTAACTCGCGGCTGCGATGTGCGGTGCGCAAAAAGTCGCACACTATTACACGATGCTCGTCCGTGTCTTATAGAGTGTGCATAAATACGCGCGCGTTAGAGGCGCTGCGGACTCGGGTGGCTCGTACCTACAGCCAAAGAAGATAGACACGTATAGAAGCACAGAACTATAGGCGCGATTGAGGCTGGCTCATATGGTACCAAAACCAACTTCAAGGGGGCGCGGCGAGCAACCTAAGCCTGTAATGTATAACCAACATTTAGTCCCTTAGTTACCAAAGTCTTCGTGGTCGAGTGGTCAAGCGCTCGGCTTCGTCTTTTGCGTCGAGCGGTCGGGCCTTGGTTCAATCCCAGGCCGCAGATATTTTTTTTTACATTTTTTTCTCAAATTACAAAGAATAAAGTAAGGATTTCGTTTTTAGCTCATATTGGTCGTAAAATTAAAATTGCATTGATAATCAAACGTTTTTTTTCATGTTCTTTTTTCTACAAAAAAATAAAAAATCACATTTAATTCAAACGCAAATTAAATTAAATTAATGTATATTTAGACGCCTCGAAAAAAAATTTCGTGTCAATTTCGTTAAATGAAGTTTCTTTTTTATGAAAATATCTCGGACTCCAATTTTAAATGGACCGTATCGCTTGATTATTATTTTTCACATTTAAAAAAAACCCTTAATAAATAAATTTATCAGAGTATTTTTAATTTTATAAGCAATATTAGCTAGAAGCTAAATCCTTACTTTATTCTTTGTAATTTGAGAAAAAAATGTAAAAAAAAATATCTGCGGCCAGGGATTGAACCAAGGCCCGACCGCTCGACGCAAAAGACGAAGCCGAGCGCTTGACCACTCGACCACGAAGACTTTGGTAACTAAGAGACTAAATGTTGGTTATACATTACAGGCTTAGGTTGCTCGCCGCGCCCCCTTGAAGTTGGTTTTGGTATCATATGAGCCAGCCTCAATTTTTAGTTAAGCTCTGGGCTTCTATACGTGTCTATCTTCTTTGCTATAGCTTTGCTAGTGTGCGTTGTATCGTGTACGAGCGCAATGACTCATCTGCTTCGCGGTTTTCCGCGCGCGCGAGCGGTTCATCGTTGTTGTTGTCGTCGTCGACGTTTTTACCTTTCGCGTGATACACGCACACATCTTGCGCCTCACGGTGACACTACAACGCGCCAAAATTTGCGCGCAAAATTTAAACGCGCGTGAGAGATCCTCGCTGAATGAGGCAAGAAAGAGGGAGAAGGAACGAGACGTTATTCATTGATTATTTATAGCTAGTGAAAATTTTATGACTCAAGAAGAGGGAAGATGAAATAAATCTTTCGACAAATTGATATACTTTCATATTTTATATTTTCTGTTCATATCATTGAATGTATTATATTATTGTTTTTTTTCTTTCTCGAATTTACAGCACGTTAATACATGATATGACGACGCGCGTCAGAGCGCACCGAGAGAAACAACATTTTCTTGCCTTAGTGGGTGTGTAAGTTTGCGTATGTATAAATGTACGTCGGACGCTCGTCGTCGCGCACGCAAGAATTGAAAAAAAAGAAACACAACACATCAATAATAATGATAATTAATGATAATAAGTCATTGATCGCCTCACAACTGCTATATAGGATGGGAGTTATTATTCTCGTGAGAGAGAGAGAGGGACGAAAAGTCGCCGCAAAATCTTCATGTTCCGCACGATAGTTTATTTTTGCGCGTCAAGTGCAGCAGTACACGTTACAGGAGCTTAAAACAATAATTTTAAAGTCGATATTTTTTTTCCTTTTTTTTCTATCATTTTCTTTTTACGTCGTTACGCTCGTGAACACTTTGGCAGTTTCATTTATAATTTTGTTTATTTTTCATTTTTCGTTTATTATCGATACCTTTGCAAAGCATCGTGCGGCAATATTACAAATATGTTGACTTTTACTTACTGCAGATCGCTATTTTAAAAGAATACGCACCCGGCTGCGGCGTAAGCACGCACTCTTAAAAATGAATGTTTGCTTTTCATCGGTAATGTCTAGTCAATCGGTATTACATATATATTATGAGCGAGTCTTTTTTTTATTCTAATGCACACTTTGGTTCTATATTTGCTTATTAAATGACGCAACAACAGATTAGAAAACTGTTTACGCTACTGCTACTTGTTGCTGCTCGTAATGTATATTTGATTCAGACTTTTTTTTAGTCTTTCGGTATATATAATTCGTCGGGTCTTCGTGGAATTTCTTATAGCGAGCAGTGATTTTTTTCATATTGAACACATTGGACTTGCACAAATTGCATTTCGTTATAATGGCCATCTTGAAATGACGCGCTACGTGCTATCAATGATAACGGATAATATATATATTACTCAAATATATATATTGCTAAACAAAAAGGAAAATCAATCTAACTTTAATCTGAAATTAACTTATAAGTTCGTATATCCCATACAAGTACTTTTCCTATATGTTTCTTATTCTATTTACGCATATGATCAATTTACACTTCAAGCTATTTTTTATGCATTTTCGTATGCAAATGCATACAAATACATTATACATCAGATAAGATCGAATTTTCATTCGGTTTTATGTTGATTTTACTAATAAGGATTTTATCAAAATGCTTATGATACACACAAAATTTTTTTCGTCGAAATTGGTATTTATAAATTTCAAAAACTTCCATACTGAGTACATAATAATCTTAATAATATATGTGCGAGTTTTTTTTGATACAACCATATTAAAATTGAAAACTCCCATTTCTTCATGTGAGTTGCAGTATGGAGATTGAAACAGTAATAACTTTTAGTCATCTAAAGTTTGAATACAGTTAAAGGCCCCGATTTTCATAATTATACTATGTGCTTTGTATGCATACACAGCAATAACACTTGACTGTATAAAATTTTATCTAGTAAACATAGCAACCAAAAAACGAGTTAAAAATGTACTTTTTGAAAGTAAATAGAAACATCGTTATTCAATTGTAGGTATATAAATCAAGTGTAATCATACATATTGTCAGAACTCGATTTTAAAACTTCAAGTCAGACTAATCTAGCCCTGCTTGGATAGTGAACATGATATTGGCACATACATAAATTTCAAAAACATACTCAAAATAAAAAATTTATAATTTTGCATTCGAATATGTTTGTGCACCATTTTGTAATCAGATACCATTAAATAATTATTAACTTTTACACTTTTCTACGTATAGTTTGACTTACAAATAAAAAAGTATATCTCAACTTATTTCAAAAATTGCCTGACAACAATACGTTTTCAATTCAATAAGTAAAATCTTGTTTCAAGTTCTATTTTTATTCATTGCTTCAGTCACGGTAACAATTTATTGATTTATGTAATAAATTGTTGTTGTTACGTAATTATTTGTTTGCAACATTCATAAGTTTTTGAAAAAGTTAAAAAATAAAAAATCAAATGTTTAAAATCAAAAAATATAAAATAACTATCATGGGGCATAATATGCATAGTTTCTCGTATAATTCTTATAAAAAATAAATAATTTGTAAGAAAAAATCAAACTGAAGCATACCAGCAAATGTTGAACTGTTGAACCTATTTGTACCTTCTACATAAGTGATTACATCTGAAGATTAGTATGGACATAATTTCATGTACATAATACGTCCACATACTCAGTAAAATTCATTATTTTCAAAAACTGCTTTTGAAAAATAAAAAGATCAACTTATGAATTTTCATGAGGTACAGTTTTCTATCTAAAAGAATTATCTATATCATGCCATTGGATAATTGTGAATTTTTATGCGTATTGTACAAATGCAGTTGATTAGTTTTCTATATCATTGTGAGCCTTAATCGACTAAATTATTTATTGAAAAATTGACCAAAACCATGCAATAATCCAACAGCTTGATTATATTTTACTCTAATCTTTCAGTAGAGTTTATCCTATTTCGATCATTTCTGTATCTTCTATACTTTGCTCAACGCCATTATGCCTGGAAATTTACCAAGTAAAGGTCAGAATAAAGTAATGAATCAAGTAGAAACTGATTGGATTCTTTGTTAATCACTGGAATCATAAACTCACCTGTTGTTTGGTACTTGTGTGATTTGTGGGGCTGGATAGTTATTACTACTTACTAATGTAAATTCTCCCATACTTATTTTTCGGGAATTTCTACCATCAATTACTCTTGGTTTAAAATTGTCTTCTAAAATACTTGGAGCTACATATGTGAATCCCTTGAAATGAAGAGTTTATTGTATTAATTTGTCTACTTTCATTTACAAAACTAGAAACAAACTTACTTGAAAAACTTGATTAGCTGATTCGCTCAAAGTGCATTCAGCTGGTGAATCAATAGGTAATGTTGTAGTGAACCTTTTGTCAAATTGTGAGACATCATCTTCACTTGTTAAAGTTGGTTTAAATGGAGGCACTAGTTTACGTGATATAACATCATCCCAATGGATATGCTTGAAAAATGGATGACTCTTTATTTGTTCAGCATCAGATGGGGCTGAGCCTAATCTGTGAGGAACTTGTCTCTAAAAATTTTAAAAAATCCAAGTATTTTTACAATTCCAGTTTTATTAATTTAATTTATAGAAAAACGAGCAAACCTTCAATAATTTTCTGAGAAGATCTCGAGCATCGGGAGTAAGAAATTGTGGTAAGAAAACTTTGCTTTTTAAAATTTTTTCAATGGTTATTTTTCTATTGTTAGATGTGAACGGAGGCTGCAAAAAATATAATTGTAAAAACATTTTTAATTACTAGACTATTAAATAAAACAGATTATACATACAGATCCTGTTAGCATGTCATACAAGAGAGTACCAAGACTCCACCAGTCTACTGCTTTTCCATGACCACTCCTTGTTAAAATTTCTGGAGCCCTATAAAGTTAATTTTTCAATGAATATTCATTTTAAATAATTTTGTATTTTTATTTAGAAGTCAATACTTACATATATTCAATAGTACCACAGAAAGTATGTGTAACAGTTCCTTCTTTTACATGTTCCTTGCAAAGACCAAAATCAGTTAACTTAATGTGACCTTCTGCATCCAGCAATATGTTTTCTGGTTTCAAGTCTCTGTTAATTATATGATGTTGAGTATTGATGAAGTACAACAATAAAATGTATTATTCTACTATCTTTTACATACCTATAGATTATTCCTTGCAAATGAAGATGTTGCAATGCCAATATTATTTCACACAAGTAAAAACTAAATATTTATAAAAGATTAGAAATTTTCAATGTTTTTTCAAATGAGACATTAATATAGTTTTTATTTACCAAGCTGTATCCTCTAAGAATACTCCTTCATCATTCAAATGGTGGAAGAGCTCTCCTCCACACATGTATTCAAGAATTAAGTATAATTTACCACCAGTTTGAAAGGCGTAGATTAAATCCACAATAAAAGGATGCTACAAAATATAAAAGCATGTTAATGACTTAGCCACACAAGTATTAATCTCAGAAATGAATTATACCTTGACAGCTTCCAATATATTCCTTTCAGCTTTGGTGTGAGCAGTATCTTTTTGATTACGTATAATGGATGCCTTGCGCAAAACCTGCAAAAGCATGGGAATCAAAATTGCGAACTGTCAAAAAGCAATGGGTAATGGTTAAAGCAGCTGTAACGCACTTTCATGGCAAATATGGTGCCCCTGTCATTGCCAGTTGTCTTGCGTACTTGAAAGACTTTGCCATAGCCACCTTTGCCAATGACTTTACATAATTCAAAGTCCTCGGGTCCAGCTCGTTCGCGGCCTCCGTTGACGTTCTGTTCCGATATAGCCACGGTTTCAACATCTTCGGTTCTGAGGTTGAAAATGATAAAAATACAACAGTAGCTATATGGCTCGACGGTAAAATCGGACAGGTCGTATATGTCGCATATTATGATATATACTCACTCGATAATTCGATTGACATCGGGATTATCATCGTAGCCCTCCTGAATCGAGAGAAAAACAAGTGAACAACAAGTTGAGCGTGGGAGTGCTTATACAGTAGGGCTGCAGGTACACACGCTACTATTATTGCTCACGGACACGTAAACACACGCGGTCCAGAGGGTTATTGACGCTCATGAATCTTGACATGCAGTCATCAATATTTTCAATTCATTTTATTTTTCATCTGATCAATCGGACATTGCCGAGCATATGAGAAAAAAGGCAGCAGCAGTAGCAGCGTGTGCATATATCGACATAAAAATGAGCACACGACATTGAATCGTCTCTATCTGTGTCTCATTTTCATATAGCATGACAAGGTAGCGTATATAACACGACGTGCTGCAGCGTGTGGTGCATGGACAGCACAAGAAGTAGCAGAGAGTAAGCGCGTCTTACCTCGCCTATCTCGATGGCGTCGTCCTCGGAGTCTTCGTGCTGCTCCTGGTCGACGTCGTGGAGCTCGATATCGAAGACGGCCGCCATGCTCGCGGACGAATCTTTTTTTGATTGAATGCGCGTAATCTGCGAATACACTGAGCGCGTGAAGTGGAGTCTCTCCTCCGCAACGCGAATGTCTATCGTGCCAATGCTACTCTCCTTCTATTCTAGATGTAGAAAGAGCGAAAGAAAGAGATAGAGAGAGAAAGAGAGTGAGTGAAACGCAGTAAAGACACACGCACGAATTGTAGCAGTTCTCGTGATGAGTTTATAAAGTTGCAAACTGTGCGATGATCGGATTCTCGAAGCACCAAGAGTAGCTCTCTAATTTCCAAATACGCAATGTGTCGCAGGCTTATAAGCAGCAGGGCAGACACTAGGCAGTATAGCAGTAGCAACTAACAGCAGCACTCAGCAGCAGTAGCAGCAGCTCAACTCGAGGCTCGCGCGACGCTGTTATATGCTGTATATATTACGCGTGAATATATCTCTCTCCCTTGTCGCGGCTTCGATTCGATCAAAAAAAAAGAAAAAAAGCAAAAGTTCAACTCTCTCTCTCTCGGCTTATCTTTTTTCAAACGTTTACGTGTAAAAAACGGGGATAAATTTTGCTCGTTGAACGAGTTGTAATCGCGCGCGACTCGCCTTGACGTAAAATCGCTGTATGTATACAAAATGCTGTCTAGTATCGGAGTCTATTTAATGCTGCATACACCTGGCACACTGACACAATAACAGAGAGAGAATTCGACAGTCCACCGCGAGAAACAATTGCAGTCGAGCAGATCGGGACTCTATACGGATGCTACTTTGCTATCCGGAATCGTCGCAATATGTCTCTCTTCTACTATATTCTCTCGCGCTGCTCTATACGCGCGTGTGTGTTCTCTTATACTTATATATTATGGAACATAAGCAGTAGCGCGCACAAGCTGTTATGATGTGTAGGCGAATACTCGGCCGATACATATGCTCATATAAGCATGTAGCGACTGCGCCGAGGTATTTTATGTACGCGACCCCCGAAGTACGTACGGTACAATATACATGCGATGATGTACTACGTCTGGTGATTCGCGGACGCTTTAAACTAGCGTCGTCACGACGCACCGCGTGATTCAGATATGCAGCCTGCGAATATACTGTCACGGCTATATACCTATAGATGTTTATATGTACCTACACACTATGCACGCGCACACATTGCCTATACATGCACACATAAGAGCGCAATAGTGTGGCGTGTTGTTACGGAATATTACTACCATTGGCATCTCTCTCTTTCTCGTGCATAGCACTCCACAGCGGCGCCTGTCTCTGACGCGTGTATTGAATGGAGCATTATAATCGCGCGAGCCGCGACGTCTTTTTTCCATCTCTGTTGCTCTTATAATGTGTATAAATTAAAGCAGCGTCGTACTTATCGAGGGGGGCTGACGATGTGTCTCATATAGCTCGTTTCCGCGATCTTCTGAAACGTATATGCTACTATTGAGTGATAATTTACGTAAGTCGAGAGAGAGAATGTGATCGTCGCTTTTTTTCTGTCTTTTAGCTTTTTTGCTTCGTAAATACCTTACATGGCTCGGCTATCGCGGAACTTTTATACACGCAGCGGTAAAAATATCGTCGTCTGGAAGTGTAGCAAAGCAACTCGATGCAATGCATGCAACGACGCAAGCAGACGGATCGGTCTTGTCAATAGATGCGACATTTGCCATTTTTTTTTTTTTTTTAATTTTTTAAAATAAAAAGTATAATGAGAAAAACAGTCTGTCAATTTTTAATTGGCAGTGGCGACGAAAAAGAGATGGGCGAGCATACGGTTCGCGCTTCTTTTTGAAATGAAATTTGCACACTTGTTGTTGGCGTCACTGCCTGTACTTATTGTATACGCCCCGCAGTCCGCAGATAGCAGTGCAGACCAAATTTGCCAGACTCTCACCTCTGCTCTCTCTTTCTCTCTCCGTAATATGAAAACAACGAGCTGATAAGAAGGCCTATCTTCTGCCTCATCTGTGTAGCTTCGACATTCAATCTGAGCCGTGTATTTATATAAATTTGCTTTTATATATCCAACGAAATACATTTTAAACCACGTGATTGCCCTCGTCATTGCCATTATACTCGGATCATAATCTTATCTCGAATATATCGCATATTATAGCCCGTGGAACCACGTGAAGTCATTCATACAGCGAATATAGATATATATAATATAAATCGTGTACATTCGCCGGTGAGCTCTCGAGTTCATTCGCAGTTTACACTTCGCACCCGGCGTGTTGGATTGTGTATCTCTTTTGAGAGCGTCTCTTCGAGTCTCAACGCTTACTCATACCCACAATATATACCGATCGTGTATATAGCAGAAAAAACGCATCAAGGCACATTCTTTGCTGGCAAAAATGGTCGTGAGGCACTACATCGAGGGCTACGAAAATTTCCTTGAGTTCATCGAGAATTGGGACAGCAACAAGCCGACCTTCGTCTTATTCACCGGATCGAAATTGGAATCTGGCGAGAGCTGGTGTCCCGACTGTGTCGTGGGTAAGTGTCCACTTGTGCTTTTTCTTCTGCTGGCAACGGCCATTGTTGTGTGATATTAAATTCTCTTTACGACCGTGATTAATATCGTCTCTTATCTTTATTCAATTAGCCAAGCCCCACATCGAGAGAGGCTTCGATGCTGCCCCTGACAATTTTCATTATGTTGTTGTTGAAGTAGGAAACAGATCTTTGTAAGTATTTTAGTCATAGTTTTTTCCCCTCATTATTTACCATATGTGACCTTTAAATATCTGTGTGTGTGTGTTTTTTCTTATAGCTGGAAAGATCCAAAGTGTCCTTTCAGATCAAACCCAAAAACACAGTTGAAAGTTTTACCTACACTTGTGAGATGGGGAACGCAGAAACGATTGGAAGGAGATCATTTGTTAAATCCATCCCTCATTAGTTTGTTGTTGAATGACGAAGATTAAATTAAAAGGACAGTTTAACGCTCTGAATAGTTTGTCGCAAATATAAATGAATATTTTTATAATCATGTTTACATTAAGTATCTCAAGCCATTAAGAGTGTTGATATTATACAATAACCACATAAAATAATTATATTTACATACAGTTGTTCTATCTAAGTAAAAAGATATATATATATTTATATATGTATATCACACATCCTATGCCACAAATTGCAAAAATACATGCTTTATGTACAAAATTTTCACGTCTTTGTTATTTATCAGTAGAAAAGTGACAATTGGAGTATAAGAATGGTTAGAAAGCCACAAATCTGGATACGGGTATAAATGTAAAAAGAAAAATTTGATTGGCGAATAGTAAATGTATGTACAAATCGAAGAGGCAATTAAGCTTTTGTAAGGCTAGCCTCATCCAGTGTTGTGGGGGGTACGATTTGCACGAGGTATTGGATTTTCTTGTTCCTGAGGAAGCTGTAAGAGTTATCAAAAACGACGGTATCTGAAAAAGTGAAGATTAATTATTAATTCAAGCTCCAGAAATGAGTCAATTTTTCAATGAGACAGTAATTGTACTCACAGGTTCCAAGAACTTCGCAAGTAACGATACCAACTTCGTGATGTTTTTGAGCATTGATCTTTTTCATCGGACTGATCTCGGTCTGCGTGCCGTCGTTGTTTTTTCTAAAAACTCCGAACTTGATGTCGTGATCCTCCAAACGGAAGTCCCAGCTGTAACATTGGTATGCATAAGTTGGTATGCATAAGTTGGTAAGTTATAAGTGTAATGTTGTTGCGGTTTAGAGTCGTACCTCAGGAGAGATCCAACCTCCGTTGACTGCAGCTCGATCTTGAGCTTGTCGCTCTTCTTGATCACGGCCGTGGTGAACTCATTTTCGCCCTTGTCCTTGTCGTTCTTGTTGACGTACATGGATTTCGGCACCTTTCCACCTTGGCAGATCTGCGTCGATCCAAGTCGGAGGAGAAGGAGAATCGAAAGTCGACGACAATTAGATAAGAGCCAAGAGAGAGTGTGCATAACGAGCTATCTCGATACGCGAGTGAGCGATCGTTACCTTGGAGGCGAGTCGAGTATTGCCGTCGGGATCCTTGAGAGAACCACCGAAGTGCACCGGAAGCTGGTCCTCGGGTATGACCTGGCGCAAGGCGGCCTTCCACTTGGGTGGATCGGCCTTGTAGATCTGGATCTTGGATATGGTGTACTCGTTCATGAACTTCTTGGCAATGGAGAAGGCAAATGCGAAGACCTTGGGAGCTTCATAATGGTAAAAGGGTAAAATCATTAATAGTCTCTTTCTCTCCGATCGATTGGGATCAATCGTGATATACGAACGCAAAGCGATTGATTTCATTACCGTTAATGATGTAGCAGACTTTGAGGATTTCCGGATAGTTGGCCTCGTACATTTGGATCAGGGTAATGACGACTTCTCCAGCTGTCGAAAAAAAAAAAAAAAAAAATAGATTTAAAAATCGGTCATCGCGCGCATCGTCATTAGATCACGTATTATAAACGATCGTCGCCGCGAGCTGCATATTTACCAGGCCGCCACATGTACTGTCGCAGATTGAAGTTCTCCATGTCAAAGATGACGGTGCACTGGCTGGCGTCGCGTCCGTGCTTCTCGCTCTGCTCGCGGCAGATGCGCAGGTAGTTCTCCAGCAGCTTGACCGTCGTCTTGATCATCTCGCGCTTGCTCACCACGTGCAGGATGCCGTAGAGATCGAGGCCGGCGAAGGGCACGATGATGACCGGGGCGCCGTCCTTGTCGTAGCCGCTCAGGCCGTGCGGCAGATAGTCTATCAGCATCGGCGGTATCTCCCAGTCGGCGAGCTTGTCGACCTCCCAGCGTTTCCTCCAGTCCAGCGACTAAGTTTGCGCGTACGTATATCATTAGGACGTTTCCACTTGGCTATATAGATATATCGTTGCCGTATCGCGCGTAGGTATATAATGCAATAGGGGCTGTAGGCGCGCGCGCGAACAACTTTCACGGCTCGCCAATGCTGCTGACCTCATGTGTACACACGCGCGCATACATACTTTCGCATATACTATGTACACATTGAGCTGGGCACTTGCGAACTGTGTTTACTCATCTTTACTCCAGCTAATTCCATAGCGCACGCACAAACGCATCGCGGCATTAATCGGCATTGATCGGTACGACTGTATCGATTTCGTCGTCGCAGGGAGATCGATCGCTTCGATCGGTAAAAAAAAAGGTGAATCGATCGTTATACTTACGTTTCTCAGCATTTTTTCGGCTTCGGTCGGGTCCCATTTTCTAGCTGCAAAAGACGGACAAGGAGCGATTATACAATAGAAATTAAACAAAAACCAGGTGCTAAGTAAAAAAAGAAGGCAGAGCGTCGAGTCGCTGCTCGAGATCAATTAAAGTCCTATTAGGCACACGCAAAACGATACTGTCCCCATGCCGTACGATGATGATATTATTGTTGTCTATTATAATCACCTCGCAACCACCTTAGCAGAAATTGATCGTCATGGCCTGGCTGAATGACATCTTGAACGCTTCTGCGAAACTGCGACAGAGCAACAACAACAAAAAAAGGTAATAAGTTAAATATCGTCGCAAGCCGATCATATGTGTAATAATACGCGCGCCAGACGAAAAACGCGTCCACGTGCATTTGGCTTGGTTCTTTTTTGTGTGCCTTCTCTCTCTCTCTCTCTCTCTCTTTTTTTTTTATTCGAGAAGTCCGCGTGCCGTATACACATAGTACATGTGTACATTGAGCAATTCAATTTCATACTCGCGCGGCGCGAGAGAGCGAGAGCGAGCGAAGGAACGCTTGCAACCGATTTATTCGGTCATTTGCGTTGATTGCACTCGCATGGGATATATTGACCATCGTATGTGGCCGTTGCAGCCACTGGAGTTGCTGCATAGATTGAGGCTTGTTTGTATGTATATTATATATTGTGTACATGTGTGCAGGATACTTAATTGATAAAACAAACAGACGACGACGCTTCGGCTAAAATGGCACAAGGCTATTGATCGTCGATCGTCGTGTATGCAGCTGCGAGACTCTCGAGTCGCGGGCTTTAATGTATCATATTTAAAAAAAAAGGCGAGAAAGAAAGCACGCCCAAGCACTCGCATAATAATGATAAAAAAAAATGAAAAGGAGGATAAAAAATAAAAGTAAAAAGCATCATAATCTCGCGTGCTGTTGTGACGTAGTAAAAAGGAAAAAAAGCCATGTACATGGGTGATACGAAAACTGGAAACGCGCTCGTGCAAGGATATCTCGGCTCTTTCTCTCTCTGGCTTTTATAAAGCGGGCAATAATACAAGGCGAATTGCGTGAATTTTGAGTGGCGAACGGAGCTGCTGCTGCTGCTGTTGCTGCTGTTGGTGTCTGGCCTGGCCCCGCGCGCGCACACACGAGCCTGCCTTATATACCTGCGTACTGACGCAATCGATCGGATTTCTCGATATATTCCGTCTATTGCCGCGGCTCAAAACCATATATCTATCGCGGGGTGCAATTTACGCATAGATATGGGCCCATTAACGGCAGCGGCAGCGCATATTTACAAATGTTTATTAACGTTTCGTTGCATCGACCCGAGGCTGATTAATAAACATTCTGCAAACGTGCAATGCGCATTATTAATATAATAAAACACGAGATAAACTCGTGATTATTATGGCAATCGCGCGGGGTAGAGATTCACCGCAGCACGAAGACGGGAGTTAAAGAGCTCTACACGCTTGAATCGTCGCGCGCGCAGTAAGGCTACTACTTAACAGAGCAGCGTTGCAGTCTCGAGATTGATGCGCGCGAATAACCGATAAAAATTTCGCTGATCGCGAATAAATCGCTGATTATGCGTGGAAGAAAACCGGCCAATTTATACATTTAAGTGCGTGCGCAAGTGTGTGAGTACTCGAGCGTATTTGTATAGGTGCCCCACCGTTACGTCACGCAAAGTAGGTCGTATCATGCGTGCAAAACTTGATTCGGCCAACGAAAAAAAAAAAAAGAGAAGCGAATGCGGGAGCGAGAACAGCAGCAGCAGCAACAGTAACAGCAGAAAAGTAGTCGCGCACCGTTGCACCGTGATTTCGTATATCATATAGATACCGCGTTCGCAAGACTAGTTTTTCGTAGCTCTGTTTTTTCTTCTTTCTTTGGAAGCATGTGTGTCGGTGATTGCCGCACATGCACACACCAAACGCGTGGACGTATAATATATCTTTTGCAACTGCGACTGCTTTGCGACGCGTGAAAGTGTGCGCGTGTGTTTGTGAATGTGTGTGTATGTGTGTGTTTGTGTTTGTCACGATCGGACATTATAAGCATAAAATAATGTATCATAATTCCGAGCGTGGATTATCGATTGCAACAGTCTTATACACCTGTTTATGTTTGCGCGATCACGAATCGATCATCGAATTGAAATAAGTATATACAATATACTCGCGACGCGTAATTTTGACATATTACATTCGTACTTAAATGAATTTTCGTTCGTGAATCTTGCGGTTCACGCTCGAGCGCCTGCACTCATTACGGATAAACAAAGCAACAAAACTCGGTATATGTATCGGACTTATCGAGTTACGTTCGGTAACGAATACAGACATCGAGAAGAGATCGGTATATCGATCGGTATGCAAAACGACGTACCTTCATAAGGGCGAAGCGCTGATCGTCGGCTAACTGCAACGAAGGCGTCATCTTAACGGTGTATCAAAGAGCCGTGATTGCTCTCAAAGTCGATGTAAACAAAACAAGCTTGCGCGCTCGTATTAAATCGGGGAAAAAATCGCGTCTCTCGGTAGAGGCTGGAGGAGTGCTGTCCAAGTGTCCGACAGCTTGGATGGCCGATCAGCGACTGGTAGCAGTGCCTCTCTCTCTCACTCACTCTATCTCTCTTTCTTTTTCGCGAGTCGCGTGCACAGCACACTACAGCACAGGCAGGCAGAGGTATAAACAGCAGCAGCAGCAGCAACAACACACGCGCACGCCGATCGCCTCGCGCTCACTACCTATTTATCGAGGAGATACGTTTAACCGAGGAGCTCGAGCACACTGTCCGAGAGACGTTTGCCCAAGTGTACACACGAATTGGCTGGCCGCGTATAATAATATTATATATTATACACAGAGGTACCGTCGCTGCTGCTGCTGCTGTTCTCCCTCCTCGGGGCCCCCAAAAGACTCTCCGCGGCGGCGAGCAGCTCCAATCTCTGTTGCTTTTGCACCTTCCGCGAGTCCGATTGCGCCGCGGCCTCTGCTGCACCACCACCACCAACACCAACTCGAACGTCGTTTTCGAGAAAAGAGATAGCCTTAGATCGACGCGCAGCCCAATCTAACTACCTCGTGTATTTTTCTCTTTCTCTGCCTTTTCATGCGGCAATGGCTACATCCGAGCCTGGCTCCGTAGCATGCGATATACATAAGTTTTCGTGCTTTTCGGTGCATCGAATTTCAAGGACGATCGGTATTACAACACTTTCGTATTTTTATACGTATATGTATGCAAATGGTCCTCCATGGTCGAGCTATCACCGGCGCGCAAGAGAGAGAGAGGATTCTTCCGTGATGAGTCAAGAGCGCCTCTCGCGTTATTATAAAATGAAGAAAAAGAAGAAAAAAAAGAGGAGCCCGAGCAGTTCGCGACACACACGGTGTCCAATCGAGCAGAGTCATTGTCTCGTTGCACGCCGAGCAAATAATTACGGTCGATCGTGGCGAGCTGCGTCGCTCATTTTCGTACGTATATTATCATGCGGGTGCGCTCGTCGCGAGCATCGATATACTATACACAATAGAATACACCAGTGTCATGCTAACGTTATCGTACGCAAAGTAGTTCGTTTTGATACGATCAACGTATAAAACTGCGCCACTCGACTCGATACCCAAGCCGGTACAACGTTTATAGATAGATATTCGTGCAGTTTTTTTGCTTTGCTGCTCCTACGCGAATATACATACGCGGACGTATATAATTTATGCATAATGATTGGACGAAGACGACTACGACGATTACTACGACTATGTCGTATACGTATACGAATTGCTACTACTACTATACTGCGGTTACTGCTACCACGCAGCCAGCCAGTCTTGGAGTCCTTGAAGATGCAAATAAAATGAAAAGCAAAGAGGAAGAAAAAAAATCAGGCATTGTCGTCGAGCGATCAGCCTTTCGAATCGTGTTCTTTAAATATCGATGTTAATGTCTCCCCCGAAACGCGTTCACAATTATAGGAATATAATCATGTAGCGAGCGTTGCGCGCGTGAGAAAAGAAACTTCTCTTTCTCTCTCGATCGAAATTTGCTCGCGAAAAAAAGAGAGAAAAAAGAAAAAAGGAAAAGGTAATAGCAGCTGCTGCCAAAAGTACATGTGCGAATCGTTGCTATTAAAGTTTCGCACTTGCTGCGATATATCCCGCGCGCGGATATACAATATTACCAACAGCGCGTGAGTAGCAGCGGCAGCGGTAGCGCAGCGCAGCAATCGGCGAAAGTTGTCGTAGTTAAGAGCTCTCGCGGCGGTCGTTTGTCCTTGCAGATCGGGGATAGTAGGTATATATAGGTGAAAATGCCTGCACGCGCCTCTGTCTGCGTGTGTGTCTGTGAGTTTCTCATTGTTTGCGCAACGGACGCACGTACGTATACACGCTCGACGATATTATTATATCCATCTACCAGTCCAGTGGCCCCACTCGAATGCATCGGTAATAATAGCGCCGAATAAATCAGTAAGCGCCCACGTATCGATACCGATCTGTGCGAGCAGATCTCGAAGCTCGGCGTGTGCATGTAGAGCAGATTTTCCGCGTCGCGAGCATGAGGCGCCAACGAGAAAGTCTTATTATGTACTGTACCTAGTGCCGATTACATCTAACTGCGATGCTCTGATGCAGCCCACCGCTGCGTTGCTGCTGCTGCTGCTGCTGCTGCTCTCGTCTGCTTAGCTCGCGAGCACGAGTATAAAAATTGCGAAAGGTGAACGCGCGCAGTTATATGTATTGTAAAGGCGCTGCTCTCTATGCGCACATACAACATCGAGATTAGCCAAGCTTACATGAATATAGACACACGGTTGGTCCGCGGACGCACTCATCCGTTATCGCTACGGCCGAAAACACCTGCTCACGCGCCCGCACCTTTCCCCGACTCTTTTATTGTACGCATTCAATAATATAATATTATATTAGTACGATATCCTTGTAGCACTCTATACGAGAGTCTATATGTATTGCAGGCGATCGCGCGCTAGATATCGCAATTATGATTTCAACTGCGTAGCTTTTCCATATATTACACGGCTACGAGTATGAAACGCTTATTAACTAGATAAGCTACGCTTTTTTAGCCACGCGTGCGCGCGGACAGGCGCGTATATTTGCTCTCGCTCTCGAGAGTTCGGGTCATTTGGCAATAGGCTCGTATCGCGCTGCAATCGCGCATTATTAAATAACGGCCCAGCGCAATTGTACGTGTGCCCCTCCTCCTTCAATCGCACATATGTTTCAACGAGAGCTTATTAATAATAGGCATACGCGCGTGGCACCTGCATACTACACATCTAATCAACTTATAATTCATTTGTAGCGCCCGCGCGAAAAATAGCCGCGCTTATGTATACTTATACAGTGTACGTCCGGACAAATCGCTTTCGACATTCCGCGAATGCGTGTGTGCGCTTGTGTTGCAGCTCGATTCGCATACTTTTATATGTACGCGGGGCTCTGCGTATAAAGTGCACGCGTAATACGATTTATCCCACATTACGGATTGCTGCGGCTAACTTTGCGAGAGAGACGCGGCCTGTGCAGTGCACTGTAATCGCGCGAGGTATATGTACGAGATCCTCGACTCGGCCTGCTGCTGCAGTCTCCTTTCACTCGCGCGCGATCCTGCGGTGTATAATATTAAACCTAAGAGACACCCTGCGTGCAACTCGCGTATATTACTATATACCTATGCTCGTGTGTGTGTGTGTGTGTGTGTGTGTGTCTACCTATGCCTGGACATTACAGCAGAAAGTTGAAAATTTTCCACGAGTTTACTCAATTAAATCCCCTTTTCTCTCTCTCTCTTTCGTTCTCTCTAAATACGTTCTCGAACACTCCGGCTTATTGATTTTCAAGCAGTACACAGCTTACAACGTCTAAATTGAATCCATCTTACGTCTCATCTGGTTTATTATGGTAATACGTTGTCGGCATCAAACGCCTCTATAGTAAACAATATACAAAGCCGCCGAGGATTGAAAATTTTGTCAAGAGCAGGAAGTTACGAGGCAAAATTTGTCGCGCGCGCGGTCGTACTCGCGCGGGATCCTCTTCCTATAATCAAGTCGTAAGCCACAAGATGGAGTACAAGAGAGCTTGGATACTTACTTCGTAATAGATAGGAGCTTGCTAACTGTACGCGTACAGTCATCGCCAACTCGATTCTATTATTACCCGCGCGCAGATTATTACGCGTATAATTGTGCCGGCTATTGACTCGTTACATATTATCCTCGCATTGTAATCGCGACTTGATAATTTCTCGACCCGTACGTCCTGACGATCTTTTTAAACTCGTGGCTGATAATACAGTGCATCGTTCAACAAAAATTATTAATACATGCGAGCTTTTCGAAGTAGAAAGTATATTGAAATCAGAGCTTGCAACCCTTACAAACACCTAGAGCGCTAATCAGTGCAAGACAATCTTATATCATGCAAAAAGCTTAGTCTTAACTATATAATGTGTCGATGTATACGTTGAATGTACGCAGTAGTGTAGGAGGCACGTGCAGCAAATGAGTAAGCTTTAATCGATGTTTCAAATATTTCTCGATAACTGTCAAGTCGATCGAGGTCAAGTAACGCATAGAAAACGACAAGCGTTGACGAACAAGCGTTGAGATAGCAGCGGATAGACATTTGACATAAAATTACATAAAAATGCATACTGGATGAATTTTCATAGGCGACGTCGCGCTCGTTATGCTTTGCCGCTCTCACGATGCAGCTCACGTATATGATATATAGTGTATCACAGACGAGAATCGCATGCACGTCTGCTGCTGGTCAAGAGACATCGCATCGGAGTAGGAGGGATGTGCTCAGCAGAAACAGCAGAAGAAGCAGCAGAACTGCGGCATAAAGCATAGACATATAGAGCGAGTCAGCGTATAAAGTATAACAGCAGGCAGCAGCAGCAGCAGCAGCAGCCGTCGCCGAGAGACTCCGAACTGTTGCGTGTATGCGTGCGTGTGTATTGTGTTGTGTACGATGATGATGATGAAGAGAGCGAGAGAGAGCCGCAAAAAGTCGCTAGTGGCGGCTCCTCGGTGCTCGCGCGTACAACACTGAGCAGTGCCAGTGAGGAGCGCAGGCAGCAGCAGCAGCAGCAGCCGACGACGACCTAATACGTATACGATACGACGACGGCCGACTACGAAACGACCGAACGGCACGCAGTACCAGAGAGCGCAGTAGAGTTGGGGTATCTCGATAGATATATATCGCTCTCGCTGCCGAACCGAGATCGCCTCCTCAGTTGACGTTCTTCTGTTTATTTATCGTTCTTCTTCGGGATTGTTATCGAGCCCCCGAGCGCCACAGTGCAGCGATTATAATTACACGTGCAGCCTGTTTATAAATACTATACAAAGCTCAATTGCTTTCTCTCTGCGTGTTGGATATCGAAAAAAGCCCAGGCACGCATGCGGACGTCCGTGCGCTTATCCGCCACTGCACGCGCGTGTGTGCGTGCACGATCTCCGTTGTCGTCGTCGTCGAAAGCTCCGCGGGTATCGAGATCGAGTTCCAAGCGAAGTGCAGTTCCAGCGCAAGCTCCGTCCGACTGCCCTCGCACCATCTCTCGGGGGGGCACTATGGTGAGTTTTTCAGATAATGAGCGACGAATAAAGCGAGTTCCCGGACTCGAGACACCTATACCGTACACGTCTATTATAACGACGATGCACGCGGATATGCAAGTCCGAGCCCCTGCGTCGCATCTCTCGTCGTCGTTATAGGTATATTTTTACGTACGCCACATATAAGTATACAAAGTATAACGGAGCAGTTGTGATTTGCTCCGGCCGCGTGTGTATACATACAAGTATATAGACGTCGTCGTGAGTGTGCAGCGGCACTGACGTGTCCCCGCCGTGCGTGTGTGCGTGAGCGAGCGAGCGCTGCTGCAAATCGAGTGCAGCCGCATTATATATAAGCTTATAATACGGCATTCTCAGACGGCAGACTCCGAAAAATGGCAACGCGATCTGACATTATGCGCTCGCGAGATTTCTGCCTGTGTGCGTGTGTGTGTGTACTACAATGTGCAACATATACGTGAGTATACGATATAAATGTCGGTGGCGGCGAGACTCGCCAACTCGCGGCCGCTAAGTGACGCTAGCGTCGTCTGCACCGGCACAGTCCTCTTGGCTCCTTCTAGTTCTACCTATATATTATTGGTATATTACCTGCAAAGAGTCGAGCGAGTCGCTCGTCTTCCATGTAGTCACGGACTAAAAACTGACGTAAGCCAACCGTCCGCGCGTGCACGTGTATACGCGATTCCGTCTTGTCGTTCGTCCGCGCACATGCAGATATCGGAGCACATCGTGCATCTCTCGTTATCATCGTGATGTACGTATTGTGATGCCGCCGCGAGGCAAATAATCGGACTCCGTATATGCACACGTATATCACTGACATATATACCAATGCAACGTAATGTATACAGTCAACGTCGTCTATGTATTATGCCTCGGATGGCACACGCGCGCGAGTCAGAGAGCTTATTCTTCTCCGCGTGCAGTGCAGTCCGTAACACACGCACACATGCATCAACGCGATTATAGCCTTGGCCTTGCAGACTGCAAAAACCGGCAGTCTATTATAATATACGATCTCTCTCTCTCTCTCTCGCTCAATCATTCTCCGGTGAAGCTGTCACCGCGCGCGCGATGATTTACAATTGCGCTTCTAATGTACACACATTCGTGTTACGGGGGCTATACCTAGCTTATATACGGCGATCGACCAGGAAACGAGGATAAATTTTCTTTCTCTCTCGTTCTCTCCGTTACGCCGATCGTATACACATCGTTGTACATATTGAATTATGCGCGTAATGTCGTTGTTCGCTGGAAGTGCCGATAATAATTCAATTTTAAGTGAGCACTTTTATGTGCATAGTCGTTGCGCACCTTAAAACTCTCTTTATACTCCGGAGTCGCGCGCTGCACCTGCAACGCAGCAGCATACGGTCGATGCGTTATAACGCCGCCGGCTCCAATGGTAAAGTGTCGAGTCCGCGCGCAGGTAATTCCACTACTGTGCATGCACAGCTCGCAGGGTATACAATACATAATACGTCGGTCATAAAATCCACGAAATGTGCGCGCAGACACACACTACACTCTCTGTGCGGCGGCGAGCAATTATTTAGCCGAGTGGAACTTCTTATTATCTAAGCAAACGCGTATTAATAATGACGGATGATAATACAGACTCGTGTGTGTGTGTGCATTAGCGCGGCTCGAAGCGACTTTGAATAATATAGAATCTGCGCGCGTTATTGTATATGCTACAGCTGCCTGCGGGGCTGTAAAAAAAAATCAAACAAAACGTTGTCGATTCTTTGTACGGTACATATACGCACACACGAAGGCTTCTGAAAACGCTTATTATAACATCGCTGTTGGGATAAGCACTTATCGCTCGTTCGCGCGTATCCGTAAAAATAACCAAGCCACGGATATATTGTGTGTACGTGCGTAATAGCGTGACATAAAGGCGCTCTTCTCTTCGCTACATGTATACATATTTTCGCAAACAGACGTACATAATACATAATATACCTATCCGAGTCGGCTCGTTAATGAATCTTAACGATGGATTAATTGGCCATACGCTTGGAAGCTTCAAATAGATATTTATCCTACGCGCGTCTATGCAAAAGTTCTTCTTATTTTTTGCTCCTTCCTCGTTTTATCGCTTTTCAGAAATTCCATCGCGGCGCAGTTTTCTCGATCAAGATCGGTTTCTCTACTACTACTACTACTACCACTAGCCTCGCTGAGCAGCGTTGAATAATCACGCTTAAATACGTAATTTCGCTTTACACACGAGCAGATCTACACGCGCTTAATAATAATACGTGTGTGTGCTTTATATACGTAACGATGAATTCGTACGGCAGAATCATTAAAAAAAAAAAGAAAAAAAAAAGATTATAAATGTAGTGTATGTATATAAATCGGCCGGGAGCGCACGCGGGTACACGCAGCACGCGAGAGTTTTGACGCGCGCTGCCCTGACCTGAAAAACAGCTGGAAACGCGCGTCGTTGTCGCCGCGATACTCCGTGCATTGTAGTACGCGATACGTAAACGTCCGCGTGTGTATTATTCGGCTTGTGTATACACACACAGACGCGTATACTGCAACGGACGGGCGCGCATCGGATCGGTACTTTAGTCGTATAGCGCGGCTGCAATATCATATAGTCGTCGTCGTCGTTGTTGTTGGCAGTCACCGCGCACGATACATGTATGCAGTTAAAGCCGCGCATAGTGCTGAAACACGACGATCGCGGGCCATTAAAGCGAAAAAGCACTACCGTGTATGTGCACCTACGCCGAGCGAGCGCAGCTAGAAGCTAGCAGCAGCAGCCAACGACGCGGTACATTACAGACTCGATAACCGATTTTTTCTTTCCACCCACAGTGCCATACCGAACGGGTTCGTAGGAACCGGGCCTAATGTCTCTATGGTCGACGAGCACTGGATGTAATCAGCCTACCGGCAAAGGAGATCAGCAGCAAAAGCTCGAGAAACAACAGCAGCAGTCACAGCAACAGCAACAAACGCAGCAGCAGCAAGGAATTGGCGCACTTGCTGCGACGAATTTGCAAGCGAGGATACCCGTGCATGCGTCGACACCGCCGTTATACTCACATGCCCACCTGTACGGGCCCAGCGGACACTGCTTTCACAAGCGGAATCACACCTGTCATCAGGTATTGATTGTGCACTTGCAATTATGCGCCTATACACCTTCTCTCCTTCTTCTTCATTTTACTTTTTTCTATACATTTTCGTAACTCTACTCGTGCATTATTGTGATGTGTATTACACGTATAATCGTACGCAAACCTCTTTTCTATACATATATGTGGAATAATTGGCTACTCTTTTTACACTTACATTTTTCGTCAACACGTCACACATACATATATACCCACATATACACACACACACACTCTCTTTGGACATTCATGCATTCTGCATCGATTGTAACGACTCCCGATCTTTCTCGCGCTCTTGTGGTCTCCTTTCGCTCGGTCGATTGATTTTTCCGGTCGTTACGCTTCCGGAGCATTTTTACATAATCTACTGTAATATATACGCGCGCGTACAGGGTATTGCGACGTCATGAAAATCTTGCGACTGTTGCGAATGAAATTCAACAAAAAAAGAGAAAGAGAAAAAAAAGTTATCGAGCGAATTTTCGACATTTTTGACGAAATCTATAGGTGTGTAGCTAAAGTCTAGCTATTTACATGCTATTATCACGTTCAATTTCTGCTATGGTAAACAAAGACGACAAAGACAAGAATAATATTTATATTCAATATTTCTAGCTTTTTCGGTAGCTCATCGTTTCCATTGTAACTTGTTAATCAGTCCAACGTAATCAATCATCTTCTGTGTACAATAAACATCTACTACATAAATGTGCGTGGATGTCGCCGACCCAAGTCCGTCACCGCAAGACATCACACAATCAAAACGGCGCGAATGACTTTTCTCTCTCCAAAAGTTCATCGATGTTACATTCGGTGAAGGCGCGCGTGCATAAATCAACCTACCGGCCGATCATGTTTCAATAAATACCTACATACACACACGCAGCAGTGTTATACACGTATCAAACGACAACAGAGACACGCAGATGAGAGAGAAAAAAAAGATTGATTTTTCTTTTAATTGTCAGCGATCACTGTCGTCGTTATAAACCCGGACGGCGCTTATAAGTCGCTCGTCTTCTCTGTGTTGCGGCAGCATCGCTCGGTACGTCTCACTATCATGAGCTATGGTCTCTTTCCACTATCTCAGTTTTTATTTTTGTATTATACTTGAAATACTAACTCGCTCAGCTTCCATCAAATTCTTCATGATTAACGACTGATAAAATTCGTGCATCAAGTAGACTGACAACTTCATCGATAATAATACTTATATATGTTTAATAATGTGTAACTACTACCAGAGGGTTGCTAATTTTTCCTTTGCTTTGTTGTCTCTCGCCTCTATACATGTTTGCACACGGAAACTCACGAAGGTCGCTAATACCAAAGAAGAGACGCCTGATTGCCACTAACAGAAGCTGTGTTTGTGTAATAAGTGTGTATAAGATTAGTCGCTTCTTCTTTTTTTTTTGCGCCGTCGACGTTGATACTTTGCCGTGCGCGCTGTCTACACCCTCTCGGCGATAAATCATACCGCAAGCTCTGAAAAGCCAAGAAACTGACGTGAAGTTGAAATTTGTAACATACCATGGATGGCTCGGATAACGAAAATACAGCGCTTATCCAACGATCGGATAGTACTCGAAGCGCCGATTCTCATAATTCTTGCGTGACCGCCAATGGCGTCGACCGAACTTTGGCCAGTAATCAGAATTCGCGCGACTCGGCTCAACCCGACACCACTCCCCTTCTCGAAAACGATAACGAAAATACTAACGACAGATCGGCCGAAAACAACGAATCCGAAGGAGCTTCGAAATGCCTCGAACCGCCGGTGCTTCCATATATTCGAAGAGCTTCCTCGACTTCCACCTTCGATGCCTTGCAAGGCAGTGACACCAGTTCCGCAAGCTACAGAACGATTCCGATCTGGGATACGAGGATGCGCGTCAACAAACTTACGTTCTCCTCGTTGCCCGACACCTTTCGTGACAGAATCAGTCGAGATTTCCGGCGTGTCTCGTTCTTCGAGCAAAACATTCCATTACCTGAACTGTCTGAACCTCCAACTTCTGGGAGTATCTCGGAACCTTGCGGTCTCGATCAGCCCTCATCGACATCTATCCCTGACCAACAGCAACAGAATGAAAGTAATTCAAACGGTGACGTAGCTATCGTCGAAGACTCTTCAACGGTTCGCTTTTTGCGAGGAATCAAAAGTTTTTTCTCTTTTGACGAAGCTCCCACTGACCACACTATCCAAGCTCCCGTTACGCTTCACGAAACTGAAGAAAACGAAGCTATTAAAGCACAATCGTTACCTTGCCTGATTCACGAGTCTCCGAAAAATGGAATTCTTCAATCGAATTCTAATGAAGCTGTTTCGTTATTTAATTATCCAACCCCAAAAGTTCCAAAAGACGAGCCTCCTTTGGTTCCTCCTAAATCCCCGGTTCGCAGAACGAGAAGAAATCCTTCGGGATGTTCGCGGTGTTCTCACGCGTCAAGAAGTCCTTCGGTGAACTCGTGGCGTTCTCATAGAGATAGACCAGAAATAGATGATCGTCTAAATTTTCAAGTACCCACTGCTAACGTACAAAATTTTGATCCAAATAATCAAAACCCACAGATGTCGCAGCAGGGTGACGGACTACACACGCCGGGCTACCTGGCCTGGCGCAAGCTCCAGCTCAGCCGGGCCAAGCTCAAGGCCTCCAGCAAGACGTCTGCTCTGCTCTCGGGCTTCGCTATGGTGAGTCGTTCATATATACAATATTTCACGCTTCGGAGCTTTTACTATTTTGTTTGTGCAGGTGGCCATGGTCGAAGTGCAATTGAACTCGGACACGAAGGTGCCCAAGTCGATGCTCGTTACGTTCGCGGTCTGCACCACTCTACTCGTTGCGGTCCATATGTTAGCCCTTATGATTTCGACCTGCATATTGCCCAACATCGAGGCGGTGTGCAATCTCCATAGCGTCAATCTGGTGCACGAGTCGCCGCATGAGCGGTTGCACTGGTACATAGAGGTCGCTTGGGCTTTCTCCACTCTTTTGGGCCTCGTGCTTTTCCTCGTCGAGATCGCCATACTGTGTTGGGTCAAGTTCTACGACTTTTCGCAGGTGGCGGCCTGGTCGGCATGCATCGTCCTCGTGCCTGTCCTCATTGTCTTTGCGGTATTTGCAGTCCACTTTTATCGCAGCCTCGTGACTCACAAGTACGAGGTGACGGCATCGGGTCTGCGTGAGCTAGAGGCGCTTAAGGAGCAAATTGACGCTCCGGAGCAGCAGGCCGACAGTCGCAACGGCATGCACATGTTGACCCACAACGCGTTCAATATTGCCTCGGTCGTTTGAACGCTTACGAGCGGAAACTCACCTCCGGGGTTCACACTGTGTACAATATTATTATATTATTTGTAGATAAGCGATACGAATCGAGCATGAAGTACTGCGCATAAGCGATTCCACGATACGCAGAACTGACGCGGCCTGCGACGCACCACGTACATTTATTATAATTATTTATATTGAAGTCATTCAATGCCACACGTGCACGCAGACAGATACACAGACAGACTTAAATCATTATTGTACCTACATTTTTACTTATAAGAACGAGACGTACATCTCTGCGATGTATGACGTTATATTATAGCTTTACAAGTGATCGACGCAGACCAAATATTCTGTTCAGTCCTGATGATATAGATCTGACTTCCTCATCCATCCTCAATCATACTTTTATGATGTTTTTTTTTTTTAAATATAAGTTTGGACTACCGTGTAATCGTGTAGATAATTTATGTGTACTTCAAACGGCCTTGTTCGTAAATCAAAATAACTACTTGGACTTTTAACCCGGATCATTGGACAAGATGTGTCCGGGACCGAGTCCGATTACTTATTTTCAATGACAGGGTTACTCTGTCTCTCTTACATATTGTATTATTACTTCTACGATTGCGATTACATTAATTATACTTAAAACTAGTACTGTACGATAAAATAACGTTATTGTTATAAGATTTAGACACTTAGTATATGAGCGAAAAGACGTGCGTATGTAAAAAAAAAGAGATGCGAGTAAAAGAGTTGCGTACTGTAAGCTCTGCCACGTCGGATACTATATTTAGATATTTTGCTACGTCTGATTGATGTACAATATCGAAAACTACGACTTAAGAATTTTTTTTAGCTTCAAGAAACTTGTATTGAGAAAATATTGTACTTTTTGATAATAAAAGACGACCACTTGGCTAAAAAAAAATGTTTGCTGTACGAATCTGTTATAAGTCATAATCTGTTTCCGCAGAGATCTCGCGCTCGACCGGGGCACTTCGGAGAGCAGAGTAACGGCTCGGAGCCGACCGTCGAATCTTCGTGCAGACGTTCCTCCAAAATCTACCACAGAAAAAAGGAGACAACCAACAAAAATGGAACACGATAAAAAGGCCAAGAGAAAAGCTCGTCTCACCGGTGGAATCGGATAAGGCGTCGGAGCGCGCGCGTGTTGCCTGAACGACGCGTCCCTCACGACGCTGCTGATGCACGAGTCGTTGGCCCACTCGCCGCACTGCAGCTGGCCGCTGGCCAGATGATGATAGCTGCCTCGGCCGTGTTTCCGGCCGCGCACGAACTGGCCCTTGTAGCGATTGCCCGAGGCGTCCAGGAGCAGACCGACGCCGTGCTGCAGATCGTCCTTCCAGGCACCCTCGTAGCGGCGATCGGCCCACTGCATGCGACCGTAGCCGTGGCGCAGATTGTCCCGGAAGTAGCCCTGGTAACTGCTGCCGTCGGGATAGTAGCGGACCCCGAAGCCGTGGCGTTTGCCCTCGCGCCAGCAGCCCGCGTAGAGGACCCGTTTGGCGCCCGACTGCCGATCGACGCGCACGAGTACGCCGATGCCGTGTCGCTTGCCCGCCCGCCACTCGCCTTGGTAGATCAGCTTACCCCTGCAGGTTTACGCGTTTCAATATATATTTAGACATGGAGCATCGCGCGACATCGTGTATACTAGCCTCCAATATTGGATGCCGAAGCCCTGCTTGGCGTCGTTTTCCCAGTTGCCGATGTAGCGGCTTTTGTCGGGCGGCAAGCCGTTGTCGTAAATGGCGCAGCGCCAGCCATTCCTCTTGGATCTCTCGATGAGCCCTTTTAGTCGACTCTCCTTGTGACACTTGAGGAATGGCATTGTCGTCGCGTCTTATGGCATCTTTTTGGAAACGGCGACAGAACTCCGACGATAAAAATTTAAAAAGAAATAGTTAACCAAGCTTTCCCTCGCTCTCTCTCTCTCTAATTTACGCGTTTTTCATTTGTCGCTCTTTTCTCTGGCAAGCGGGTGCGATTCTTGTAAGCGAGCGAATCACGATCGTTGCGCAGATTTTCCTCTTTCGATGCATTGCATTCGTCGTCTCTATTGTATAACAGAGTCGCTGTTGCCGCCACCTCGTGCGTTGCACACATCCATATCCGGAATGACGTCGAGCGATGCGAGCTTGCAAAAAAGAACGCAGCTCTCGTCTCGTGCCAACTTTGCGTGTCTGTGTATAATACGTGCGTACACACTGCGCTACGGTGCAGTGCTGTCTGTGAATCGGCTTTCGAAACTTCGAAATAGCCGATATGTACAAAGCCATGCTCGACCCGGCCGAACGCCGCGAACCTATATACCCCAATTAAAAGCTCTCGTTTCCGGCCAGACTTTCGTACGCGCGCGCGTTGTCGACAAAATCAAACCGAGATTGTTCGATTGGCAAAAATTTGGCGGGGAAATCGGTCGAGTCTTCTGTGCTTAAATGTTATTATAAAGTACTTACGCATTCGATTTGTGAATGTAATATGGTGTGCTACGTTACGTTTTGTTTACATACCTGTTGATGTGCTCATAAAATTCATTCCTCTTTTTCCTTGACACTGCAAGGTGTACGTGTACACAATAAAAAATTATATGGCAAAGAGGGTTAACTACAATATAGTAATGACATTTTTATATGTTTCTCTTTCCTTTTTTTCGATAGTGAGCGGAGATAAAACTGAATTAAAATAAAAATAATAAATGAAGCCTAAGAAAATTAAAGAATTCTCATTTTTTAAATGTATTTATTGGAATCCAATGGAAAATTTTCAATATACAACACCAGATACACCAAGAATATCGTCATCTTCATAGGGAGTCTTGACCCATAGCCGCCAAGCAAATGTGGTATAAATCTTGGTTCATCAACTCTTTGATAATTTTATCGCAGCAAAGAATGGGTAGTCGTTGGCCCGTCAACTCCAAGAAAAACTCCAGCGCCCATCGCCGAAAAAATCCTCTCGCCATCGTCTCGCACAGTTGCTCGGTGCAGGCCTCGCTGTGATAATTGGAGAAAAGTAGAGAAATATCCACACGCGCAATCTTGAAGTATTCCATGTACGTGAGTAGTTTTGCCGGCTCATCTGGTCGGGACTGAGTCAAGTCATAGAGCGACAAGCTCGGATAATCATCTATTAGCATTAGCTTTTTCGCTATTCTCGCGATCCTTTCGTCGTCGTACCAAAGCTTTTCGAGATCCGCCGACTTGTCGAACAATCCGTACTTAGCGAATAGTGCCAAGATGGTTAGGACGTCCTTTCGATCCATTTCGTATCCTCTTTTTTCTAGACGCTCGATGACGGCGAGGGCGCCAGAAGCTAGCCTCAATTTAAAATTAAACGAAGAATCATTTTCCGTGTTAAACATCACGCGAAAGTCATTTGCAGTTGGGAAAATGAAGCTAGACAAATCGGCACCATGATCCAACAGTAACTCGACTGCATCTGGCTTGAAATTAGCCACAGCCCATTGAAGGGGTGTCCGGCCCAATTTGTCTTGAGCATTGACCTCAATCGACTGATGTTTATCGTCATTGATCTTGAAAAATATTTCAGCCAAATCATCGTAGTAAAATTTCTTGCATATAAAGTGCAGAGGAGTCGATCCATCCACGTTGGCCACGTTGGGATTGGCGCCTCTTTTTAGCAGCGATTCGACCATTTTTTTGTAGTTACAGCTTAGAGCCCAATGTAATGGTGTGTTATCAAACTTGCCCCGAGCGTCGATCTGCACAATCTGTTGGATGTCATCGCAGATCTCAAATATCATCTCCTCTAAGTCATCGTCGTCGTCGTATCTTACGCACATAATATGCAAAGGTGTCAGTCCCTCCAAGTTGATGACATTTGGATCGGCGCCATTTCGCAGCAATAATTTAATCACTTCGATTTCGTCTTTGGCCAGAGCCAAGTGTAGCGGTGAATCACCTGTTTTTTGCACGAGGCAATTGACATCCTGTCCAAACTCGAGGAATTTTTTAACGATGTCTTCGTATCCAGACTGACAAGCCACATGGAAATGCGTTAGGCCTGAATCGTCGATGTAATTCACGTCGAATCTGCAGTATATTTTAAAAAGTTCATCGACGCAGTCGTAGTTCCCGTCTCTGGCAGCCCGATGCACAGCAGTGGTGCGCCGCAACAGTGGCTGGCCGTCTTCATCAACATCAGGCTCGTCTTTGTAGCCGATGTCAACTAAAAAGTCAAAAAATGCTTCTCCTGAATAATTCCAAGTTCCACTCAAGTGATCTATGGAATCTGCAAGTAGATGATCAATTTCTTCCTTTCGAAAAATCTGTCGGAGATCAGGATGTTTGCCCTTCCATTTTCCGAATAAGGGATAAACTTGTCGGAGAAATTCACATCGCTTTTCTTTGCTCTTCCAATTGACCGTTCCTCGTAATCTTTTTAATCTTTCTAATTGTTCTTGGTTAAGACGATCCACTTCTTCGGAGTCATAGTCAGGCAAATAGTACATCATTCAGAAAACGTATACACACCACACACTGTCGTTGATGAAATAAAACAATTTTTACTTTTTTCACGAAAATGCTTTAGTCGACGTAATCTTTTACAGTTCACGCTGCAGCGTTGTAACGCGTGTTCTGACCTGCATAGCAACCCGCATGAACACGCACAGCGCAAGCGAAACAAGTGAGCGCGAGATAAATTTTAAACCCAAGCCTGCTGTTAGTGAAAGAAAATCTCCTTATTTGAAATTAAACTTCCGCACTTGAGATGTCCCAAAATATCAACTTATAGCACTGTAACCTAAAAATCTTAACACAAAAAATGCGAGGATTTCCGTTACACGTGCGAATGCGTTCAAAAAAGTTTACCTTCAAAAAAACGACTGCATGAACGGCTTTATTATATGTTCGAAGTTGTAACGATTTGATTGTGCAGCACTAAATTACGATGCAACAATGGATCAAAATCCGAAGCTGAAACGATATATACAACGATAATAACACGCAATTTCATTGAAGCACGTGCAACAGTGCATCATCGAATGCGAGATTCATTCACGAATCGATCTTAGCGACATCGAAAAGTTTCGATATATATCGTGCGTTAGCTTCAAGTGCATAGTGCATATACCAGCATGTTTTACACCTGTCGAATCCCTATCGAGTTTCGCTCGCTCTAGAAACTTATTAAACGTTGCGAAAGAATCTGTTACGTGCATCTTACAGCAGGGAGCTATTTTAGCACACTCATAAACTCGCATATACCTCAGAATACATTAATAATTAAGTACACGTACTCAAACTCGCACTGTACATATATAATATCATTGCTGCCACGTGTAAGTCGCTTGTGCGGTAGGTGTAGTGTAAGAGAAACTTGTTCGAGAATCTTGGGGCCACGAAGTATGAAATAGCATGAGGTTCGGCAGTCGCTACCAATGCGCGCAGTTGACATCTCGCTATTCAAAATACGTGTCCCAATTGTACCACTGTCTCGAAGATCGCTAGAGATTCAGTACAACTAAATATTTTTTCGTCTACATGGTCCTGTTACATGGGCTAAACCATAATTAGCGAGATAGGATGATTATATCAGTACCCGTCCAGCCCATAAGTGGAAAAAACCAAAGTGGAATTTTTATTTTATTAATTTTACTCTGCTTTATGAGGTGAAATTATTTATGTAAACAAATTCGATGAGGAATTCATACTTATTATATATCAGGAATTTGAAAGCCCCACGTCCAATGATTCGCGCGTCACCTACCCAAATTTAATTATAACCAATCGCAATACTTTTATTTCAATTACAAAATCAAGCTATTACTTTTTAAAAAGTGAAAAAATTTCAATATTTTTCTACTTACAAACTAAGTACAACTCATATCTACTTACAAAACTATTTTTAAACTTCACTGTAAAACAAGTACTCTTACCAACAAACTTAAATGCGTAGAATATATCTGAATGGATTGTTATGTAAATAGGCAAATGAACTACTTGGTAAAGTGACCATTTCGTGACAATCTACAAAGAACTTACGCTACGATTGTTCTTAAATAAATATTAAATATACTCGGCAATATTGTAATAATATGAATGAATAAATAAGTATATAATCAACCTGCAATGAATGAGCACTTGTTAATATACTTAGTTATTGAATATACAAATTATTAATTCATATCAATAAATTTTAATAATTAAACTTTATACAGCTTGAGTGGTATCAAAAAATCGTGATTTTCAATAGAATTTTGTGTGACATCATTACAATTTTAGGAACAATTATAATTGCGCTATTTGTATTTTAAACTTATTAAAATGGTACTCGTAAGCGTTAATTTTGGCCGGTCCAACAAAGTGATGGAACGTGAATAAGAATAGGAAAATTCGGCGTTCCATCGTAAAGAATCACCACTCACCTAGTGTCCACTTTGAGCCACTGCGAGCGATCGTAGCGGTGGACTCACAAACAAATCCATCCATGTGGTTTCCAGTGTGCATATCCCCACCACAAAACGCGAGATCTAACTGCGCTCAGACAATTTTCATATGAGTCTAACATCTCAAATAGAAAGTCAGAAGCGATCACTTCCATCTAAGAAGTCGAACTGAACGCACGTGCTCCAACTCAGATCTTAGTCTTCAATTTATAGAATATTTTCTACAAAGTTATTACTTGTTTGGTGTACAACAGATTCCTGTGCAGTTAATCACTTCAGACTCCAGATACAATTTGGAAATTATCAAATCCTAAATAAGTGAGTAAAAAACTAAGAATATTTATTTTTAATATAAGAAACCGAGCCAGTGCTCTAATTTAAATATTAAAATTCCAATTCATACTTGTCCAATGATATATTCGATGATTTTCATAAGAATTTATAAAAACTTAAAATTGAAATGTTTATAGATTTCCACGTGATCTCTCAAAATAAATTCCAATTTGATATATTTGTAATTCCTAAATGGTTATTTAAAATGAATTTTTAAATGTGAGACATTCGTAGTTTCAACGTCTTTTTTTTAAATAAATTTAAATGATAGATATTCATAGTTTTCCACCTGATCTTTCGAAATAAATTCTAGTTTGTTGCATTTGTAATTCCCACGTGTTTTTTCAAAATGAATTTCAATTAGAGATATTCGTAGTTTTCCACGTGATCCATAAAAATAAATTACAATTTAATATATTCGTACTTTTCCACGTGATCTTTCAAAATAACTTCCAATTTTATATATTTGTTGATTCCCGCGTGATTTTTTCAAAATAAGTTTTAATTTGACAAATTAGTCGGTTTACGGATGGATTTCTTCTTGTAACGACTCCAGGTCAAAATAGGTGAACACACGTGTGGAAATGCATATTAACCTGAACATTTCTAGAGGAAAACTTCTTTACTAGCTTCCGGTGCTGTAATTGGTCGGCGCATGTATCAATGATGTCATCTTCCTTTCTCTAACTCACTAATTATCTCTCTGACGGATCTACGTAGTCACGCGTGTTGAATGGTCGAAAAACAACACTTTCTCTTGTATTCATCGTATTTATTTAGCTTGGCGCCCATGTTTACAGTCATAAATAATAGTGTATGATACGTTTTTATGCATACATGAAACTAATTTTGATTTAGTGTCAAATCCATTTAATTATATTCAATTGTATATTGAGATACTCCAAATCGTTTGTGAAATATGTTTTAAAATCTTTTAGATTTTTTATGTTTTTTTAACAATTTTTTTTTATTAATTCTTCTAAGAATTGCTTTATTTACTTGAGTATGAATTCTCGAAATGAACTGTTATCTTCATAAGGGTACATTTCTTACATCTCACATGTTCAGTATATAAACAAAGACGGACTGGGGCCCTCTTACGGCTCAGGAATCTTGGAAAATTCGGACCTTATACTACATATCAATGATTTTTTCATTTCATAATTGTTCTAAAACATCACTTTCAATCGACATTAACATGAATATTTCGAGCTTATCTTGACTCATGCTATTTCTAAATTTACTCTTCATATTTTTTAATTAATTAAAACTTCTCTCACAAGCTGCTTAGTTGAATGACAATGTCAACGTATACTTATAAAAAAAGCTGATTTTTAAAAACCCCCAGCTAATAATCTGTACTTTTTTAAAAGTAGGTAGACGCGTATAGAACAATTTTTACATGAGCTTCGTTTTTTTTAGCTTCTCCATTTATTTTCTCATCAATTAATTTGTCCGATTCATATTCATCTAATGCTGATGACGTTGTAATATCCTAATTATCGATAAATATTCTTGCCACCGCGCTCTGCGGCCGCTTTTCTCGAACCCCAGACCACCCGTGGGTCGGAAAAAATTTCTTGCCGACAAAACCTAAACGAGTTAACATTTCTTTATATAAATATAAATGGAAAATGGATAGTTATTGGTGACAATCATTTTTAGACTTATTTATGAGCAATTTTTTTACTTTTAGGGGACTTTTGTGGGGAGAGTTCACGAATCTGCCCCAAAATTTAGTATGTTATTTGGGTATATGAAAATAGCTTTCAGCAAAATTTTTAGCCCTCTAGCCCTCTTAATTTTGTGTATTCTTTAAAAAGTCGTAGCTCAGGCATTGAAGTGTATTTTTTAACCCGGAGGGTCGCATTCTTTAGGTCGAGACATGTACTTTTCATACAAAATTATGCAGAACTTGACAACCACACCCTCGGCGATGGGGTAGTATTGAAGGGGGACGAAAAATCGCAAACTTGTCGATTTTCAGCGATTTTTAAATAAATGCAGAATACGATTGGATTAAGCTAACGATTTCTGTGATATCTCATACAAAAGGTATTTTTATCAAGGTCTATTTTGAACGATCGTTGACCGTCTTTTTCCAGGTCTTTTTTGAAGAAATGTTAACTCGTTTAGGTTTTGACTTCTTAGCGCAATTTGAAATTTCACTTCTAAATGCTGTTCTTTCTCAGCTTTTCATTGATTTTTAATTTCAATACAATTTGTTTAATACTTGCATTTAAATTTTCAAACTAGATCTGTTATTTCAATTGTATTAAATTTTTAATTTTTCTAAGTTTTGTTACTTCATATTAATTTAAACGCATTCTGTGATTTTTTTCTCTTTTTAGTATATATCTTAATACCTTAAGGAGGTACCTCCGAGCAGAACTACCAACTGTGAAAAACTCAATATTTTTACTGCTCGGCTGGTGTCGTTAATCTCAAGAAGTTTATAATTAAACTTATAAAATTTTGGTATTTTTCAATCATATTTTATAAAAAAAAATGTTTATATTGAATAAAACATTATTGATATAAAATTAAACAACCCATTATTTATTTAATTTTGAATTTCTATCAATGATCGGTCATTATAGTCATCGTTATAAATAATATAAGATATTTGCGTTTCGCTGAGAAATTCAAAAATGTTAGGTTATGTCATCCGCTCCCGCCGGCGAAATTCTGGTCAAATGTCCCGAGATTAGTGTCAATAAATTATTATTAATTAATTGAGCATTAAAAAGGTATCCAATGTCTACGAAAATTTAACCGTACGTTCTTTGGTAGTTAATTATGATACACATAAAATTTTACTCGAATCTTTTCGGTAAATTTTGAGATATTCTCTTGTAACTGACTTTCTCATTCGACTCAATGTTAAATTGAAATACGAATATCTTCTAAACGAAGTACTGAACTTGCATACAATTTTGCAAGTTCATTTGTATCATTAAAAAGGATTAGTGTACGAAGTTTGAGTCGAATCTTTTCGGTAAATTTTGAGCGGAGGTACCTCCTTAAAACACGAGGAAATCGGAAAAACGGTATATTTGTTTAAACAGGGCTATTCCATTCTGGTCGCAGGGCTGAAAAGATTAGCTTCGGTTGGGGTGGCATGAAAATAGCTTATTTCACGTTCGCTATATAGGACTTTTCTGTTTTTCCTGACCTAAAGCAGTGATATACTAATTTGGCTGACGCATTAGATCCGAAATTGTATTCGCGCTGTTTACTGTTTGCCGCCGTCGCCACCGCCGCTGCTGCTGCTGCTTGTGCGCGCTAGAGCCGCACGATATCTATCGTCTCCTCGTTTGATAGTAGTTCAGCTGCTGCGGTGCTGCCTTACTGGTAAGACCGAGCACTTGCACATAACCTCTTCAAACAGTTGCCCGTCTATTTCGGTGGCGTTTTACATATACGAGTGTCTTCGACTACATAGCTCTTTGGTTTGGCAGATCGACTGGCGATTCTCTTTTACAATAATCGCACTAAGTTTTCTTCCCAGTGTTAGATTTAGGTAACAAAAATCTTTCAAGTCGTACTGCGTCATTAATATTAATATATTAAGTCTTGATTAATCACGCGCGATTACGAACTCTCACTTTACCCATCGGATATTGTGCAAATATTTTCACGACTACGACGACAACGACGACGACATTGGAAAATCCGTTAATGAAAGTTTGTGTGTGTGTGTGTGTTGTTGGGAATTGTGAGTGTATTCCGCGGATTCAATCGCGTGTGCCTATACCTGTGTAATTCACAACTTTTTATTTATAAATCATTTCAATATTTGGTTAAATCTGGGTGAGTAATAGAAAAAAATTTTCCTCTGCTTTTTAAAAGGCGAGCGTTACATAGTAACGAGAGCCTCGGTCCATTCTCGGCTCATAATCATCTATAGACGCAGCAGCGGGCAGGTCACTGATTCGTGTCTGTGCGTGAAAACAGATCTAATCGTACAATAGCTGGGCTCTGCTGCATGTTTATATCTATATTCGCGTGGCCAAGTGTGGGCATCGATGTACATATAAGTAGCAGGAAAGAGAGCCAAGTCTTGGGGTTCTTGGACTTTTCTTCATAACGCAAGATTACGACGTTTCCGAGAGAAGGCGATCCTCTGCTTGGCGAAGAGCTAGAAAGGGCAATTTTTCGTGCATGATTCGAGGGAGAGCATCAGCAGTGGCCGCGCGAGAGTTAAAAAGAGACGGGACCTCGCGATGATGGCAGAAACATGGGGCGAGGGGGTGTGTGGGGAGGCCGAAGGGGGACTTTATGCTGCTGCTTTATAATGTTGGCCGCGGCACACAGCGAAAGAGGGAGACACTGGCACTGGCCTGCCACAAGCTAGCGCGAACGACCAGCTCTATAAACGATGTACACACACACGACCGTGTATGTAGTGTGGTTCATGCACACATAGCCAAGAGAGTCTGTAACACAGACACGTTGATCGAAAGAGAAAGAGAGAGAAAGAAAGACAGACAGAAAGAAGAATTGCTATACTAGACTGGACTTGGACTTAGCGACCTGACAAGCAGCTATATAGACAACAGAAACGCACATATTATACATTTGCGAGTGCGAAAGAGGTGTAGGTATATATAATGAAGAGTGAGCGAGCGAGAGAGAAAGAAAAAAAGGCAACAGCAGCCGCAGCAGCAGTGCAGAAGGAGACCGAGTGCAAAAAGCTACTGTATAAATGAAGCAAAGATTTCGTGTATGTGTGTTGCTGCTGCTGCTGTTTCACGATCTGATCGTGTCGTCTCTGCAACAGGGGCCTCCCTCGACAAGTGAATAAGCAAAAATACCCTGTCGTCGTGGTCGTTGTCGCCGCCACCGCCGCCTTTCACGTATTCACTCGATCGGGGCTAGGCTAGGAGGAGAGGCGCAGAAGCTAGGCGCGAAACCACGTTTTTTTTCCCAACGATCGAGAGACCAGCTCTCGCCTCGATTCATCATTACGTGTGCGTTGCATGTATGCGTATATTCCCACTCGATAAGCTGACTCAATTAGCGGATCTGCTTCGACTTGAACATCGTGATAGAGGACAGGTTTGTCGTGTGACCTCTTGAAAGCTTACATTGCATAAAAAAATATCGCGATGGGCTCGCTCTTAGCGTTAGTGACTTCTTTTTTTGTTTCCTGTTGATTTTCGTCATCGTAACAAAGCAGCCTCGTTCCTCGAGGCACGCATAATTTTAAGAATCCTGTGTGTGCATTATACAAGCTCGTTTACATCGCCTACCTTCATACCCTTTTTTGTCTTAAATTGGAGTAAAGGCTTGACCACTTCATGAACATTCACAATTTTCTTCTTTTTTTTACTCATGCATAACTAATGTTAATTTATTTTTCAGATTTTGTCAAAATTGCAGTGATAACATTCATTTGAATCTATTCAAGTTAACTGATTGGTAACGACTGAAAAATGTCTTACGGCAGAGGAATAGCTGCTAATAGTCCAGCTCCCCCTGGTCTGAAACAGATAGATTTAGACCAAATATGGGGCGATCTTAAGGGTGGCATTGAGCAGGTTTATAATAGACAATGCATGTCTAAACCTAGATACATAGAACTGTACACGTATGTACCAAAGTTACATTTATTTTATCCTTGAAGTTATCACATCTCACATGATTACTGTATGTACATTTATTGATTTTCAGACATGTGTATAACTATTGTACTAGTGTTCATCAGCAAACTAATGCAAGGACAAATTGCCCACCAAAAGTGAAAAAAGGGCAAATTACAGGTGGAGCACAGCTAGTTGGTCTCGAACTCTATAAAAGAATAAAAGAGTTTCTGAGAAATTACCTTCTAGCTCTGCTGCAGGTAAAAGTATGATCCCTTTTTTTTTACTTAACCCATACCCATAATCACAACTTAGCATCAATATTAATCATTTTTTCAATTATTGTTAGAAAGCAATTGATTTGATGGATGAGGATGTTTTACAATTTTACACGCGTCAATGGGAAGAATATCAGTTCAGTAGCAAAGTACTCAATGGTGTATGTGCGTATCTGAATCGACACTGGGTACGACGTGAGTGTGAAGAAGGTAGAAAAAGAGTTTATGAAATATACCAGTTGGCCCTTGTGACATGGAGAGATCATTTATTCAAACATCTGAATAAACAAGTAACTATTAGACTATATTTCTACTCAATCAAAATGCTTCTTATAAAAAAGAATGAATACTAATTAATATTTTCTACATAGGTAACAAATGCAGTGTTGAAATTGATTGAACGAGAGAGAAATGGTGAAACCATTAATACACGTCTGGTTAGTGGTGTGATAAATTGTTATGTGGAATTAGGTTTAAATGAAGAAGAGCCAGGTAAAAAACAAATGTTGACGGTGTACAAAGAATCTTTTGAAAATCAATTCCTTGAAGACACGGAAAGATTTTATTCTCGTGAAAGTACAGAATTTCTCCATCACAACCCAGTGACAGAATATATGAAAAAAGTATGTTTTTATTTTCAAAACAAATTATTTTGGAATTTATTCAATCTAACTTGTTATTTTGAAATTTAAGGTGGAGGCAAGATTACAAGAAGAACAGAGAAGAGTACAAGTATACCTTCATGACACAACAAATGAAAGATTGGCCAAAACTTGTGAAAAAGTTCTTATTGAAAAACATTTAGATATATTCCATTCCGAGTTTCAAAATTTGTTAGATTCTGATAAAAATCAAGACTTAGGTAGGATGTATCAACTTGTTGCAAGAATACCAAATGGCCTTGGTGAATTGAGGAACTTGTTAGAAACCCACATTGCTAATCAAGGCCTGGAAGCTATTGAAAAATGCGGCGAACCAGCAGCTAATGTATGTTGTGTTACTTTTTCAAATTAAACACTTCAATTTATAATAATAAAAAATATCTTCATTATTTTTAATACATTTTTTGTGGTTAGGATCCCAAGATATATGTTAACACCATATTAGAAGTTCACAAAAAGTACAATCAACTGGTGCAAGAAGCTTTCAGCAATGATAGCGGATTTGTAGCAGCTCTAGATAAAGCTTGTGGGCGATTTATCAATACCAATGCAATTACAAAAGCAGCTAATAGTAGTACTAAATCTCCAGAACTTTTGGCCAAATACTGTGACGTGTTGCTTAAAAAGAGCAGCAAAAATCCAGAAGATGCTGAACTGGAAGAGACTTTGAATCAAGTTGTAAGTATTTTTTCTGCATTTTATTAGTCAATAAAAGAGAATCAAACATTTAACGAACTATTTATGATTTTAGATGGTAGTATTTAAGTACATTGAAGATAAAGATGTGTACCAAAAATTCTACAGCAAGATGCTTGCTAAAAGATTGGTACAGCACATGTCTGCCAGTGATGATGCAGAAGCATCTATGATTTCAAAATTAAAGCAAGCTTGCGGATTTGAGTATACTTCTAAACTTCAAAGAATGTTCCAGGTAATGAGAATTTTCTATAGCATATGTTTTATATTTTTTCATGAAAAAATGAAAATTATCTTAATATAAAAATTTTTTTGTAGGATATTGGAGTTTCTAAAGATTTGAATGAACATTTCCGTAGACATTTGACTAACTCAACTGAACCCTTAGACATAGATTTTAGTATACAAGTTTTATCATCTGGCTCCTGGCCTTTCCAACATTCGCTCACCTTTTCATTGCCAACAGAGGTAATTTATATTTTCATTCTCATAATATTAATAGTTAATATGGAAAATAAATAATTGTAAATTAATTTTGATTTTTTACAGCTGGAACGCTCGGTTCATAGATTTACGATGTTTTATAGTAGCCAGCACAGCGGTAGAAAATTGAACTGGCTTTATAACATGTCAAAGGGAGAATTACACACAAATTGCTTTAAAAATCGGTACACTCTTCAAGCATCCACTTTTCAAATGGCTGTTTTATTGCAATATAACACTGCAACCTCTTGGACCATGGGTCAACTCATGGAATCTACGCAGATCAAAGAAGATTATTTAATTCAAGTAATTATTAAAACGTCATATTTTTATCAATTATTACTCTATATATTAAAAATAAATTTTTGTCCTCTCAGGTTATTCAAATTCTATTGAAGGCTAAACTTCTTGTAACAAAAGATGATGAGACCAAATTGAATAGCAATTCAGTAATAGACCTGTTCACCAGTTATAAAAAGTAAGTTGTAAACGCAAAAAAATTTTTCGAAATTGATAACTAATACCGTATTTTTTACACAGTAAAAAGCTGCGAGTCAACATCAACATACCTATGAAAACAGAAATGAAACTAGAACAAGAAACTACTCACAAACACATTGAAGAAGATAGGAAACTGCTGATTCAAGCTGCTATTGTAAGGATCATGAAAATGCGTAAGACATCAAAACATCAACAACTAGTTGCAGAAGTATTGAATCAGTTAAATTCGCGATTCAAACCGAGAGTACACATTATTAAAGTAAGAATTTATTTTCAATATTGATACTACATTTCAATTGTATTTATCTTATACTAAATTTATATTTTTTTTTGCAGAAATGTATAGATATTTTGATTGAAAAAGAATATTTGGAACGTACGGAAGGTCAAAAAGATACGTACAGCTATTTAGCGTGATCTCTTGATTTGAAGCTGCGATGCAAATTTACAAGAGGCACAAATACTGTACTCAAGATTTTTCTACAAGCCTCGAATTTACGTTTACATCGCTATTTAAATTTGGAAATGCGCCTTCTGGTCGTGTTATCCTTCTGAACGCATTTAGAACTGGTTTTTATGTTATAATAAATTATTTGATAGTCACGTCGTTAGGTGCGTTACAGTTTTTTCTTACAAGGCACAAACCGCGATGTTTGAATAAATTTATAGAGTTTCATTCAAACTCACAACTGCAATGTCACTGACTTGTGCTAAATAAGGTAACACATAATTGAGGAGTGCAGCTCAAAACTACAAGGGAATTAATTTTAACTGTTTTATTTATAAGAAACTTTAAAAACTGATAAAAACTCACAACTTCTCAGAAGAGATTCTGTCAACTGTTTAGAAATGATAATTACCTTGATTAAAAATGTCAGACTTCAACGATCAAAAACAAACAAAAAAAACGTGTAAAAACGAGGCGATCGACGTGACTCGATGGCTAAAGCGTTGCTGATGATAAAGTTAAGAAAAATTTTACATCTGGAATCACAATAGCTTATATGGTTGTTACCGCACCAATGAATTAAGTATGCCAAGAGACAACTGTCGATTCCTAATTATTATCATGATTATTATTATCATTTTAATTTTTTTTTATTCATTTTTTTTCAAAACTTTATCGTCCGTGTACGTCCGCCTTAAGGCTGTAATTAATGTATAAAGTCTCATTTGAAGCTTGATTGTCTATTCTTACATTTATAATCCAAAACTTGTCTTAGATAGTAATTTAATTAATGACATAAACTGTTGGAAAATAAGTGAATTAAATTTTCAAAAAAATTTTTTAAATTTGTGTATTCGTGTATTTACAACCCGTCCCTCTGATCTCACATGACAAACGTGAAATAAGTCACGAAACCGCGACGCACAGCGGGATAAAAAATGTAAAAACTAGATCGAAAGATACAAGGATATTTTGCGGTAAGTTGTTAAAGTTCTCATTTATCGGGTTTCCACTCGAGCAGTCTCGTAAAGTCATCCTCCGTGAATTGAATCGCTTTGGCGGCTTCCAAATAGGCCTGCAAAAAAATATTATCAAGATTATGAAAAATCGCGTTAGATGAAACATAATGAAGATCGAAGTAACCTTCTGTTTCCGGAGATTATCGACGAGCTGCGTTTGTTTCTTGAAAGCCTGAACGATTTCAGCGCGTTGCTTTTCCGAGTTCTTGAACGCGAGTCTTTTGTCTTCTTGGATCTTTCTCACCTGAGCTCGCAACTCCTGCAATAGTCGAACGAAAAGTCGCAAACACTCGCGCATTGATCGATGAAAAAGAGAGAAAAAAACCCGATTCTGGCTTGTCCATACCTTTTCCTCGCTCTGACTGGCCTTCAATGCGTTTTTCAGCTTGTCGATTTCCTCGAGGCTCCTGTTGAGGCGCACCTCGCTGCTCGAGGCCAGCTGAGCGAGCGACTTGGACTCTTTCTTGAGCGCCTCGATGTCCTTGCGCAGCGCCGACATCTCGGCCGACTGGGCCTGAAGCTTGGCCTGAAGTTCGGCATTGTGGCCCTCCGCCCGGACGATGGTCTCCTTGTGCTGGCTTATCTGCGCGTAGAGCTTCTCTTTTTTCTCGTCGTTGCGCTTGATCTCGGCTTCGAGCTCCTTGATCACGTCGTTCTGCGAGTTACGATCGAGATTAATGAAAAAGAATTCGTGTCCCGATTCGATGCTGCATATGTTTGAAACGGCACCTTTTTCCTGGCGTCGAGTTGAGCCGCTTGCACGTCCGTCTGGAGTTTCGTCACCTGCGCCTTGAGAAATCGTATGATGGTAGCACTGGTCGAGCGACTTTTCCCTCCCGTCCCATCGGCGTCGTCGTCGACGTTGTCGTTGCCGTCGTCGTTTTCCTCGTTATTATCGCCACTGCGTTGGCAAAAAACAGAAAAAGAAATGAAGCAGTCAAAACACGTACACTGCAACTGTGATTACACGCGCCAATTACGCTATCCTGTAATCGTATGCAATAGACACGTGTCGACTCACGAGTTGCTATCGGAGCGCTGCTTGGCCCTCAAAAGGCCCCGACGCGCCTGGTGTATGTCGGCCGAGCGTCTGCCGTGCCTGATGACGTCCTCCTGCCTGTTGATGATGCCGTCGACCTCCTGCACCAGACTCTTGACTTTGTCCTCGAGCTCGCGATTGAGCTCGAGAAAATCGCGCTGTTTACCGGCGAGCATGACTGTTGTGAGTTTGTGTGTCGACGGGGAGTTCGGGGGGCGGCAGCAGTTGCCAAGCGTCGGGCACGTTTCGCGAAAGGGTCGCTATCGTAACGAGCCACTTCCGGCCTAAATGATACACAGAAATCTCGCATGCATGCGAAATTGCGCGCCAACGGGGGCTAATCGCTCGGCTATATAAGAGCCGTCCCCGAAGCTCCGATTCCTGCTCACATCGCTCATACTTTGAATTTTTTCGTCAAAATGACGCGGCTACGTATCCTTTTGGCATTCTCCTCGACCATGGTGATCCTCTGCTCGAGCAGCTTCGGGCAGGCCGCCGTGACATGTGGCAATTCGTCGAGCGCCGGCAGCAAGATCGTCGGTGGTCTGAGCGCCCTGGACGGCCAGTTCCCGTATCAGGTGTCGCTGCGCCTGAAGAACCGTCACTTCTGTGGCGGCTCGATCCTGGCGCCTCGCTGGATCCTGACGGCGGCCCACTGCCTGAGCGGCTTCAACGACACGGCCATCACCGCGGTGACGGGCAGCCGACTGCTCAGCAAGGGCGGCAACAGGTACAAGTCCGTCAAGGCGATACCGCACGAGCTCTACAACTCGCTGCTGATACGCAACGACATCGGCCTGCTGAAGCTCGAGCGCGACATCGAGTTCGGGCCCGACGTGCAGCCGGTCAAGCTGCCGACTCAGGACTTTGACAAGGCCGATTATCCGGCCATACTGTCCGGTTGGGGTACCACCTCTGTAAGTATGAGAAAAAAAAGAAGGAAAAAGTCTTTCGAGGCACTCCAAGAGTATTAACTTGTCGCGGGGGTAAAAATTGCAGTACCCGGGCGACGTGCCGAACGAGCTGCAGTGCATCCAGCTGAGGGTCATCGACCAGCTCGAGTGTCAGGCCGTGAGCATACGCGTGACTCACCGCAACATCTGCACCCTGAACAAGAAGGGCCAGGGAGCTTGTCACGTAAGTCGCGAGGCAATTATTCTTGCGCTCGACGTTCTCGGAGCGAATTAAAAGAGCCGAGTCTCGAGTCGTTATTCTTCTCATTTGGGAACGTAAGTATTTGTGTGCTTGAATTTCGTTGCAGGGCGACTCGGGAGGACCGCTCGTTTCCGACGACGTGCAGATCGGCGTCGTGTCGTGGGGCACGCCCTGCGCCAAGGGCCGTCCCGACGTGTTTACCCGCGTCTACAGCTACCTCGACTGGATTCAAGAATACGTCGGTGATCTGAGCAACACCGAATCGAGTACCGGCAACAACAGTACTGTCAGTAACAGTATAAGTAGAGCTGGCTAAGCTTCGCAACGATTCTCGATGTCGATTACAGTTTTATTTTTCTCTCATCGATCAACTTTTACGATATCTCTATCACGAATAATCATCATATTACAATTAAGCTCTAACGTCACAACAATTATTTTATGCCGTAAACGCAATGTAATTTGTAAATCGTTTTTTATTGCTTATCATGCGTACTAAAAATGTAAGTCACGCTTTCGATGCGTCATTACAATAAAATATCCAGCGTTTGATGCACTAATAGCCTGAGCTGATTATTAAGCAGACCCACTTGGACGTGTCGTATCGTGCAAAGCTCGATCGGGGCCGCCGGCGAATTCCATGAAAGCCGACGCGGCAGCTCGACGGCGTCGCGCGATAACGATATATTATAATAATGGGGCTTCCGGCTGTCGAAAAAGCTTCGCGGTCGTTCTTTGTACATGATATATATAAATCGGTAATCTATTCACGTACGCGTTCAAAAAGTGTGGCAAACCGTCGTCGTCGTCGTCGTCGTCGTCGCAGCGAACGATACGAAGCTTTCGTCGTTTGATTCGAGCTTCGAATAAGCGGCGGCGACGGCGCCTGCGCCCTCCAGCACCTGAAAACAGTTCCAGCACGATACAAGCCACTGAGTGTGTTAAGGTTTCGAGCGAGCCAGAGAGAGAGAGAGAGAGAGAGAGAGAGAACTATATAATACACATCAGGTGAACTACTCGCGAGAGCAGCAGCAGCAGCAACCACACTCGCGAACGTGACTCCGTGCGTATATGTGTGTGTCGCGCGCGAGCAGTGTCAGTCAAGCTCGAGAGCCGCAGTGCATATCGCGCAGTTAATGCCGAGCCACACGTATTACACACATTATATTGGTGCAGTGTGCAGCAGCAGCAGCGCGACTTGGCCCGAGGAGCGCAGCCGAGAGACGTTGTACACTCTGCGGCGCCGCCACCACCACCAGCAGCTCGCCTCCCGCGCGACCGTCGCATTATCATTGTATACTTCTTTATGAGTGGCACCATTGTAAAATATAATCTCTCTCTCTCTGCCTGTGATTGTGAGGTGCGAGAAGGTATGCAGGATTCCTCGGGTCGCATCCTGTCTCGGCTCCGCGCGATATACCCGTAAGAAGCTTTAGATGGCAAATTGTCCTGCGTCGTCGTTGTGGTGCAATCCTTTCCTCGCGGCAGCGAATTCGTACGAATTTTCGTCGTTGGCTGCCTTTTCTCTGGACGACAGTGAGTATATTTTATACAAATATAGTTTATACGCGTCATTATAATGGACAGCTACTGCGACGCGTAACTGTATTACTCTTTCGACGTTGCGAGGTCATGTACTCTGCGCGTAACGTACGTTATCCTTCGTGCTTCGTGCGCTATATAGGATGCTATACGATAACGTACGGTTACTTGGATGTCATCTTATACAGCTGGTCTGACTTTTCCGAAAGGCGACGACTTTGTGACTTAATATCGCGTCGCGCGGATATGAATTACACGTAGACATACGCAAAGGGGGATTCGTTACACGGTACACCTTGTGCCTAGTTTCGCTCGATGATTCCTCTACGTGACTACGCATACACGCACATCAATGAGAAAACGGGAAAACGGGATTTTTCCCGCGAGCCCGCGATTCGTGCCCCATATAGTTTTCCATAGGCAAGTCGAGCTTGCAAGCTCGGCTCGAGTTCAGTAAACCTCGAACCACATACACACAAGCCCACAGCTGCTATACAGGACACATCGCGTTATACAGCATAATCTTATATATATCGGGCAAATGATCTTTTATATACACACGCATAGAGAGAGAGGGTGTATTACTGTTATATATAGCAGCTTGCGCGCGCACGTGCAGCGTATAGAATTGCGAGATATATAAAGTTTTAGCGATCGCAAGCTCGTGCGCGCGCGCATATATAAACGTCAACAAGTCCAATGTGCGGCGGTCTTATATTAAAGTCGAATATTCGTCACCATAAAAGTATACTTGTGCGCTCGAGATCGGTGCATCAAAGCTCGCGCACGTGCGCGAATACATAAATAAATACGGAAAGAGAAAAACTCTCGCGAGCCTATACATCGTGCGTTACGAAAGAGAGTAGAGCTTGAATACGAGATCACTGCTGTGCACCGACTTTTGCGAAAAGAAAACATCTCTTTGTAGTTAATATGACATTATCGATATGGAAGTGCGAGTAGAAAGCGGCGTGTCGGTTTATGTATACGAAGGCTCGCGCGATCGCGATGCCGCGATGTTATGCATAATCTCGAATGGCATGAATATTTTGTAAATTATCATCGGATACGTGCGCCGGCGGCAGCCTATGTAAGAAAACTGCGCGCGCGAAAGCTCGAGTTTATACCGAGCAGAGAGACTGCAGGTAATACCTATGCCGGATGCACACAGGCGCGCGAAGCGAATTCGAGACCCGAGTCGAATAGCTGACTCGCGAACTGTATATAGCTGACCTGGCGCAGAAAGTATATACACCTTTTTATGCTATACATATAAGAGCGAGTTATGCAAGTGTCCAGCCGAGCAAGCCCAGCTAGCGCTTCAAGAGAGTAATCCTATCTTAGTCTGGCCTAGCGCGTACGTGTACACGCATATATACGTATATATCTGGACGGGCGTATTATATAGATTCGTTAGGTAACCATAAGTCGCGTCGAGCTATATAGCTCGGTCGTCGTCGTCGTCGTCGCGATTCGGTTTCAAAAGGCACACAACCGTCTGGGAAGGCCCTACCACCCCCTTCGTTCTTGTATACGTTATGCGAGTCGAACATATATGCATATATGCACGTAGCGAACGCGTATATTACTTACGCAGGTATACCGTGCGACGCATTTTTACAAACTCGATCCGATGTCGCAAGCTGCCGCGATCGTGCTTTTATAATTGCCGCGATACGATCGTGGAACCGATTCGTTGTAAATGTACGATATACCCGAGCGCGGCTTATCGCGCGGCGGCCACCTAATATGGAAGGCCTAGACGATAACGCGAGTATGCACTTCTTTGCGGCTAATCTCGAGAAACGCAATCGTGCGGAACGATAATACGTACCAGCTCTCGTGTACGAGCCGTAATGCATTGCCGCGACGACGATGACGACGCGCTGCATCGGGACCACTGCTGCTCCAGAGACGAGTGCGCTCGCTATTATATGTAGCTGAACAAGAGTTCGTGGTGGCTTTTTCACTTCGAATCGACTCGCTTATCGCGAGAGAAGCTATGTATGGCGTAAAAATAATGCGGATATAATATGAGCGTGACGTACCTACGAGAGCACCGCGGAGATAAGCAAAATAGTTGCGGCTAATTACCTCGCTGACCAAATTCTATATGTTCGATGTATTACGTAACGAGTCCATTTAGTCAATAAGATACACATATTTGCGAGTCTTTGGCCGCAAAAAAATTCTCACTTTAATGCGTATATCGGGCTTTATTTGGCGAATTTATTATAATACACAAGGTACGAAATCGGCTCGCGTATACATGTACAATAAAATGCCGCGAGAGCGTCGTGTCGGCTATTTTTGCCCCAGCTATGACCAACGTGTCGCGCATATACACGATATTTATATATAATTTAATTCGTCGAGCCGACTACACACACACATGACTTGGATTTGGCTTACATTATAACGTATAGTTATAATATCGTACGCGTTATGCGTCGTTATTGAATTAGCAAGCATACATAGGCGCCTCCCGATGCGACACTAGACTGCAAATTTATTGCGATTATCGCGCGCATTGTATCGCGCATACATAAATGCACAATATCTATGTACTGTGCAGGCGCGTAAAGTATATATTTGGCTGCGAGTCGCTCGAGGCGCGCAGCAGCTTTAATTAATCCGTGAATTTATCGCGTCGACTCGCGCGCTATTATACTTATGCGCGCGAGCTAAGGATTTCGTCTACGCGCAATGTCTATTATTCAGCACGTTAATTCGTATACTTATATTATTCCATTTGCTAAATTCTTTCGTAAAAACAAAAGCGAACGTCGAGTCGCTCGCGCGCTCTCGCGTATAATATAATAACGCAACGGCGTATAAAGTCGTTCTTGGGATAGAAGCGTTCTCGAGAGACGGATGGTGCCTCGAGTTTAATATACAATCACAATAGCGATCCTCGCTTTTATAATAGTTGCTCGAATTGCGTGGGAGGTGCGCGAGGCGAGAGAGTCTTATACTTACTGTATTATACACGTACCATGTACCTATATATACTAGCTGATACAGCTCTCGTGTACGCCGCTGCAAATTCGCTCACGGCCCTGTGTTATAGTTGCAGCTCTCGCAGAGATGTATATAAAACCTCGCCGCGGAGCCCTATATTGCATCTACGGAGTACAGAGCAAGCTCCGTAATACACTTACTACGGTGCATATAATTCAATGCCTCGATGTACGTACACGCGGCGCGCAATATATATTGCATCTATATAGAAAATTGCATGTACATTATCGTGTGCTGCAGAGTATAAGAAAGAGAGAGAGAGAGAGAGAGAGAGAGAGAGAGAGTCGGAAAGTGCAGCTGAGAGAGCACACGGCCGCCGATCTCCGACGAGAGAGAGAATATAAGCAACAGCACACAACACGAGTAAAACGGCAGCGCTGCGCTATGATGAGAGAGGCAACGCTCGGAGCAGCAGTTGTGGGCCCGTGGCCAAACGGAGCGCACGCACTTCGCAGATCGCATCATCATCCATCGCAGCGCACGTTCGAGCGCGAGTGTAGACAGCTCTTACTTCTTTAGTTTCGTAGAATAGACATATAGACACAATTGCTCTCTCTCTTTCTTACTCTTGGTCTTTCTCGAGAGACTCTCTTTCTCGCTCAAGAGTTGAGACTGCTGCTGCTACTGCTCGCTCGCCTTCGACCGACTGCTTAGCCTGCGTGTATAATAATAACATATATACACACTATCTGTCTGTGCGTGTAAGTTCTTGCTACTACTATCTCGTCTGCGTGTGCGAGCAACATCAGCAACACGAGCAGCAGCCATAATGGTCAATCGTGTATAAAAGTTTCTTCGTTCGAGAGCCGAGAGAGCTCTGTACACAACGGAGTGAAATTTGTTATACATTATATCGCCAACGCACGCATCGAGATTGTCTACAACAACAACGCATGACTCTTGCTCTCTCTCTCTTTCTCTCGATATGCACATCGCAACGCAATAATAGTTTGACCTGTGTGCCTGCAGCTGTTCTTTTCTCTCTCTCTATCTCTTTCCCTTTCGAGTGCTGCAACAAGCGAGTGCGTAGTGAAAACACGCGCGCGCGCGTCCTCGTGAAGTGCGTTCCAAGTATATAGCAGAAAAAAATTCGTTTACCGAAACAAAGTATATGACAAGCGCGTCGACAACGACACGCGATACATCATTCATACATATAGATTGGGAGTGTGTTTTGTGTACTGTGCTGTGCATGTGTTCATAATATCTCGTTAACTGCTCGACGAGTCGTCAACGACGACGACGACGACGACCGACGACGCACACGAGGCTGTGCAGCAGAGCTTCTTTGTTGTCGACGTTGTTTTGCTAATATAATACTGCTGCTGCTATCTGATATATAACGCTGCCAATTACGCACCGCTGCACGTCTGACACTCAGCTGCTCCGAACTACTGCGGCCTGCTCGCGCACGCGTGTGTGCGTATAGCAACAAAGCATCATTGCGTTGATTATAACAGTTTGCGGACATGGAGGCTCTTCGATTAGCCATTCAGTGAGTCCCTTATTACTATACTCGTCCCTTTAGCCGCCGACGTCAATTGACGATCGAGCTACTAACTACTTTCCCGTCGGCCTTATACTCGACTCCCTCGTAGCCATTTCTCTTTTCTTACGCTCGTTTCTTTCAAAGACATTATAAAAGAATTATATCCGTGCTATTAATAAGCATCCGTGCACTTACGCAGAAAGAGATAGGATATATTTGGTCACGAAACATCAACGCGCCTCATCTCCCGCAATGACGTACGTACGCGAATAGATAAAGCAAACACGCATGACGAATTACGAATGCGAGTAACGTCCCATCAGGTGTTATCTTTGCGATGCATGCAATATATATGCGCGAGCCAGCACACAATGCAATTTGCAAACGCGTGCATATATATCATATATATGTACGCGCTGTACAATGCAACGCGATCCTCTCGACCATGGATCGTCGCGACTGTCGAGCACTACAACGACAACGACCACCACCACCGCCACCCCTCCGTTTTATGTCTTTCTCCCTCTCTCGCAAGAAGTGTATATTCGCGATCCTCATCTCTTCCTTATACGTACCTACTTACCTTTTTTTTTGTCTTCCTCTTTATAATGCATTATTATTATCCGTAGCTGTCTCTGTCTCTCTTTCTTCCCTGCCTCTGCGTGCCTACTTTATTACCTCGGCGTTTTAGATTATACGCCGCGCGCGACCGAGCTAGACGTTATTTGTATGCCCGTCTCTCTTTTCCTTTACCTTCCTCCACTCGGCATTGTCGCATACGCATTGCTCTTGCTTATTTATGCGACTTCTCTCCCGACAGCTCAAGAGATTGTCCTGCACGCGCACGACATATATCGCAGACGTCGCACACTATACAACTACTGACGCAGAGAGACAAGCGAGACTTGCAGAAACATGACGTCGTCCGGTATTCTGTGTCCGTGGCTACATATTTACGAAATTTCTTAGAACTATCCTCCTTACTTAGAAGTCATTCGACTCCTCGACCAAGGGATTTCGCACGCTCTTAACATCCTTTGTCTTTTTGATTGTTCTTGCAGAACGAGATTAGGCGAGAGAATGGTCAGCATGAGCTCCATGCTTGTGGAGACTGTCAGCATCAATTACGAGGACTTCAACGAAAGCTTCCTGACATGTGGGACCTGTCTCTGTGTATACGATGGTAGCGAACACACTCCAAAGCTATTGCCATGCTCCCACACGGTATGCCTACACTGTCTCACCAGAATCGCAGCTTCGCAGACTAGAGAGGCAGGAGCTTTTCGATGTCCAATTTGTAGGGAATTGATCACCATTCCCAGAGGAGGAGTCCCAGCACTGCCACCAAGTTTTCTAGTTAATCAGTTGTTGGATTTGATGTCTAGGCAGCGTAGAGAGGTTTGTTTGCAGAAATTCAAATATATGCTCATTACCTTAAAGCATAAAACATTCATTCATTATTTTTTACAGGTCATTCCAAAATGCTCCATCCATGTGAATCAGGAATTATTATTCTGTGAAACTTGCGACACAGTCTTCTGTTCAGTCTGCACAGGTGGCAATCATGCAGGAACATCTCCTGGCTGTAATGAACATACAATAATACCATTTAGTATAGCTATTAAACGTATGTCAGAAATATTATTGTACAAAGCAAACGAATGTATATCAAAGGTATGTTTCATTGATCATAAGTGTTACTGATCTCAAAACTACTTGTAATATTTTCATTTTTAGTTGACTCAAGCTCAAGAATCTGTAACTTCAGAACTCCAAAGGTTAGATTCAACAAAACAAAAATGTTTGACAGCCATCGATGCTCAATTTAATGAAATCATTGCAAAAGTTGAAAAGAGAAAATCTGAGCTATGTGCTGCTGTACATGCAGCTGCAAAAGATAAAAAAAGAATTCTTGAAGAACAACACACACTCATTGAAACAGAAAAAAATAAAGTTCAACAAGAATGTGAGGGCTTACAATATCAGGTAATAAAAATATTCACAATTGAAATAATATAATTAAAGCAGTCATACATGTATAATATTCTTCATGAGTCAATTAAAATTTTAAAGGTTGAAGTACGAAATATTACTCAACGGATTGGTAGCTTGACAGATCAATTAGATGCAGCGGTAGCTCTTAATGAACCACGAGAAAATGCCTTTATCACTTCAGAGTTTGATCACAATAAAGCTCTAACAAACTTGGAACAAGCACTAAGTAATTTTGGAAGAGTAAGATCCAGTACAACTTTACCAGGTATGCTTTATATAATAAGATGTGAATAACATTTGGTACAAGTATTTATAAAACATAATTTTATTTTTTTTTCAAGGGTTGTGTCGAGCGAAATTAAAAGACACCGCTGTTGTCAAGTTAAAAACATCTGTTATAGTCGAAACTGTAGATTATCACGGCTATCCTCGAAGTGTTGGAGGCGACCCAATAAAAGCAGAACTTCATCTCATTGAAAATAATCAATCCCAAAACAAAAATCTTCCTATTGAAACTTGGGTGAAAGATTTAGAAAACGGAACTTACGAAGTATCGTTCAGGCCCATGAAACCGGGCAGTTATGCTTTGAAAGTATCCGTTTTTGAAAGATCAATCAAGGATTATCCACTAACTTTTGAAGTTAGTGAACACAATGAACCATTGAAAGTATATGGGCAAAAAGGTTCTGGCAAAGAAGAATTTAATCAAGCTGTTGCTGTAGCTGTTGATGATGAGGGAACAATTTATGTCGTAGATACTGGTAATTCGCGAATAAAAGTAAGTGATTATTACCTACACAATATTTACTGAGCAATTATAAACTTACATCTAATTTTCAATCATCCATAGGTTTTAGATAGTAATCTTGAATTTCAAAAACATATTACGAATGAGGGATTAGAGGGACGAAGTTGTACGGGAATTGCAATATCTGAACAAGGCTTGGTAATAATAAATTGGAGAACCAAAACTGTAACTGAAATGAATAAAGATGGTGATACAATCAGGTCTTTTTCACACAATACTCTTCAAGTACGTTACTATTTTAATAAATTATTGATTCTATTATTATAAATTCATAATTTAAATGAATGTTTATTTTAGGAGCCAATTGATATAGCTGTCGATCGTAATTACGGTCACATATTAGTTGCTGATAACGGACAGTGTGGTGTAGTTGTGTTTGACTGTGATGGAAAGATGTTATTCCAAGTCGGTAAACCAACTATGTTCAAATTAATAACATCGGTCGCAGTTGGTCCAGCTGGTGAAATTTTGGTTGCTGGAGAATCGCTTCACGTATTTTCCGCTAAAGGAGATTTTACAGAGGAAATAAGCACTGGATCAAAAGGTTTGTTATCCATTACATTTTGAATAAATATTTAAAAATTGGAAGAAAATAAAATGAATAATTTTAATTGTTGTATCAGGAAAAGGAAAATATGCCGGAGTCACTATTGACAATGAGGGTAGAATTTTAGCAACAAGAACAGAAAAAGGCCGAAGTTTTATACAACTACTGAAATTTGGCGGTGAAATTTTATCAGAAATCGATTCTCACAACTCGAAATTGCGGCGACCCTCGGGAATTGCGGTGTTGCCAGAGGAACATCTCGTCGCAGTTGACTTGGGTAACGATTGCGTAAAAAAGTACAGATATTGGTAAATTCATCTTTTGATTAAAAAGTCCATGAATTTATCGATCTAGTTTTTACTGGATAAAAGATTAGTTTCTTAGGGCTCCGATCTGCCAGTATCGTAGTGGCCATTCGAATATTTATTGGTATACTAGCAGCTACCTATTGATTGCGGCAAAACAATGTGACATAAAACACTGCCATTACTATATGAAAAATTTGTGTAGAACACGATCGAAAAATTAGGCTCCATAATCAAACAAACTTAGGCAATTTTTTCTAGTTGATAGATTGCAGTTGCATATAGATTGTAAAATAATTAAAAATCAAAAGCAACCATGTAAAAAGTTATTTGTTACAGCTTAACTTGAAAAGTATTGTAAATAGAATGTGTTCAGTATTATTGCGTCGCAATAAGCTAAATTTTGACTACAAACTCTATGAGGCGCATTGAATGCAAAACAATCTGTACGAATGATACTAGTCTTGATGAAACTGATTGCGTATTTTTAAGTTGATTTTGAAAAATACGTTAGATTGTAAAAAAAGCCATATATTTTCCGGAGATTTTAATCAAATTTGTATTTAGATTCGTTTAGATCTTCGGTTCATTAGCTTATTCTCTTGTTTTCATCGTCGATAGGTTATTATTTCTTTTTGATTTAACAAGACTTACCCGCAGAAACCGAAGTTTCATTTTAAACTCTAGAAGAATTACGGCAAAGCATTACTTACGCTCGAACGTGAGATCATTTTTTATTTTTTTTATTAAATTTTATTATATTTTTTCGTTCGGAAACGAAAAAGGGGCCGGAAATGCTGCAGCAAGAATAGAAGAAAAAGAAAATTTTTCGGTTCAAAAGTACTCTTCCGAATGTTGTTGCATTTATTAGCGGCTAAGTCAAGCTTTATTTTTCTCCCTTACATTCCTAAGAAATTTTCTTAACGAATGTTCACTCGATTGCATATACGAATAGAATTACGATTTTAGAGAGCACGAACGTGAGGCGAATTTTTCTTATACTTATTCAAATACTTATTACGAAATAATATCACGTTGTATACAACTTTTATCGATTAGTTGCAATGCAATTACGATGTTACGAAGATATTTTTATAAACTCGTCTCACGATATACCATGACAGCCATCGTTGTGTCTTTTGGCGACATGTTTTCTTTTTTACAATTTATACGATTCGCGCGCAAATCGCACATATAATACGATGGGCTTTAAACAATCGATATACGAGTTTTTGTTTCTTCTGTTTTCATTTTTTTTTTTTTTTTTTGGTATGCGTGTATGTCCGTCGGAGATTAAAAGTGCAGTAAATATGTGCGAGTGCCGGGCGCGTAACCCACGATTAATTATAACGTCTAGTCAGCCTATAATTTTATCATAAACTTATTCATTAAACGTTGATTGTACTTGGTCTTAAATTATAAGCGTGCGGTACGGTATTATAACATAACGCATACCCAATTGAATGGACGAAGGAAAAAAAATGAAAAGAAAATGAAAAGAAAAAAAAAACGTCATCAAGCCGTGCTGTAAGATAATAATGTTGTACTATTGCTTTTACTCAGCTTGTAAATACTTTGTACATGTTATATACTGTATAATGCGTGTTAACGAAAAAGAAAAAAAAAGACGAAAAGCAAACAACAAATTTGTATGTCTCGCTTTTTAAAACTCTGCGAAAATAAATAAAGTTCCTTTATATAACAAAAAAAAAACAAATAAAATAAATTTTTCTCTGCCTGAACGAGCCGAGCTTTCTTATACATAGATTGGATATGAATAAGGCGCTGCGAAAAGCCTACCCTTCTCATTTCTCTCTCACGAAATTGCATGCACATAAAGTCTCGAGTTGCTGCCTGCTATAGTATGCAAGCATAAGGGAGCGAGGGAGTAATACACACGTACATAGGTATGTATATATCGGAGTGGCGTTTTGTGCAGGCGTCAGAGGCTGAACGGGAGATAGGAGGAAAGCTGCTGCTGCTGCTACTGCTACTTCTATGTGAGCTGTGCACGAGCGCGAGAGGTCGAGGGTAAGTATACGCGCGCAAACAGCAGAGAGAGAGAGAGAGAGAGAGAGAGGCAGGAAGGTCGCCTTGAGGTCGGGCAGGGGTGAAACTCGCCCGATTGATACAAGTTCCGTGTGCCGTATATGCATACAGCTATACTACTACTACTACTCGGGCCGTGGCGTACGTGTGTGCGGGACGAGCTTGCGAGCGTGTGAGTGCGATACTACTACGAGAACTCGTGGCACGTGGATGGTCTGAGTCTGCGCGATTCGCGCACCAAGAATTGCAGGCATTGGCAAGTTGCTATATACCGAAGCAACGTTGTTGCCGCTGCCGCCTCGCATAGCTGCTATATGTCACTACGCGCTGTGTGTGAAAATTTTTCGCCAATGGTCGGGCTACGAGGGAGCGAGACAGAGGCATGCAGACACTGAACTGCACACGGAAAGCTCCTCTCTCTCTCTCTCTCGCTCGTATAGTAGTCGCACGCGACTCGCGACTTGCGAGCGTAGTAGCAGCTCGTACACAGGCGATACACATAGTAGTAGTAAGCGCGTAAAACGGGAAGGGAGAGTGGGTGGCTGGTTGCTCGCTTGCAATTGTGACTCCGGCCGCGCGCACATGAATATATATGTAGCCAAATATACGAAGCTAAGCTCGCTCGCGCGCGCGCGCGTATCACACAAACGCAGCAGGCACACGCACACTCGTCTACTCTTTATGCTCGCGAATATATATGTACAGGTACTGCAATACTACTATTCAACGGGAGCCTCTCCGTGTAGTACTCTGCACGCGAATTGCATATACAGCACCTCTCAGGTGTCTGTGTGTGCTCGTGCGACTCTGCGCCTTCTTCCCTATGCGCGACTCCGAACTCTTCCGAGTCTCTTTATGTAGCTACATACATACTCTCTGTACACACGTACAGATGTACGCACACATGTGCTCTTGTCGCGCTTACGCTACTACTATACTGCTGCTGCTGCTGCCGTTGGCGAGGCAGCAGAGCTGCTCACTGCCTCGCTCTTGGATTTTATATGCGTGCTGAGTCTCGCGCGTGCTATGCTGCCCGATGCGAGTCCGCCATCGGTTCTGTGTTCCGCGCGCACAAAGCCACTAACTGTTGTGCCGTACTACTATACTACTACCACCAATATAAAACCTGCCGTATACGCGATTTTACGTGTATGCGATGTGCACGGGTGTAGGTGCGCGTTCGAGTCCGTTTTTCGCGCAAAAATGTGAGAATAATGCTTGAAAATATGAGTGCCCGCCTTGTATTGTAGTGCGCGCAAAACAGTGGAGTGAATAGAGCGCGCATTGTAATACCGAACGTTCCGCGTGTATATACGTACGACCGCAGCCGAACGCTTCATCCTATATACACACATGCACACGCATGCGATCCGTGCGAATATAATGTAAAATAAGTGTATTCGTGCGCGTGTGTTTGTCGGGCGCGCGTAAACGTACGAATATCATACACACATCGAACCGTGCGCGAGTCTGTGCTGCGAGCTGAATAAGCGAGGGACCGATCGCCGACCAACGCTCACATTCAGCGAGGCGAAAGAAAGAAAGAGCGAAAGAAAGGAAGAAAGAGCGCGCGTACATACACAACACATACAAGTGCGCGAGTGAGCGTGTGTGTGCGCGTAAAAAAAAAGGCATATAGCTGCGAGAGAATCGACGCAACGCGCGCGCGAGCAAAAAATTCAGCAGTATAATATAATACCACGCTTTGGCTCCGCTTTTGCGAGACACATACAGTCCGTGCCTGGCGTCCGATTTATTCCGTGCATTTCGGAGCACTCCGTGTCTCCTGCTGCACCGACGTCGACGACGATCGGATCGCATTCTCCGAGATAAAAAATAAAAGAGAGAGAGAGAAAAGAAGCGACTTTACGACATTCGAGCCCTTCTTTATTCCTGCGTTCGCCGAGCCTGTACAAGTGTGTTGTAGTATTCCCTGCAGCGTACGTATCGGGTACGTACATTGGAGTATATAAAATATACAGCAGCACGCAGTGGCAGTGGTTTTCAAGGACTCGGAGTCGCGCCAAGGCGAGAGCTGCTCGCCTTCAACCCTTGCCTGCGTTGGTGTAGTGTCGCGCGTACGAGCCCGAGAGCTAGGCAAGAACGTGGAGGATCAGCAGCCCCGAGGAGTCGCATGCGCGACCTCCCGGCGGCCTAGGCATCGTAGCAGCAACAGCATCAGCATCAGCTACACATAGTAGTACACGAGAGTAGTGTATAACGTAGCCGATCGAAGCCAGGAAGGTCGCGCGTCTATCTGTCTCTCTCTCTCACTCTCTTTTGCTGCTGCTGGCGAGAGAGAGAGAGAGAGAGAAAGAGCGCAGAGTAGTAGTAGCAGTAGTAGTATAACGCGGTGCTGCTGCTCTTCGTGCTCGTCTCCCGCGACCTCCTCCTGCTCGCCACCTCCTCGTCTCGCCACGACTCGTCGCCCCGTGGCCGCATCACCAGCCTCGCAAAATACTCCGTGTGTGCGCGCGTATGTGTACCTATATACATCGGTGTATGTAAGAGAACGGTCTCTCTCTACGCGCGTGTATACCTATATGTATGTAGACTATATACATGTGTCTGTGTTGGTGCAGTGTGTGAGAGAAGCGGCCCCCTCTTTAACCCACCCACCCGCCGCGCGCGTAGTACTACGCGGAGTACGCTAGCGCGTACGTTCGAGTGACTACTGTGACTAGATGCAGCGCATATATATACGTGCGCTATTCAACATATATACGCGTATATTCATACATACGTGTATGTGAGTATACGTATTTAATATATAACTACACATTTACGCAAAGCGCATACGTGCAGAAGTGCAGTGTCTATATCTATGCATCAAAGCTGTTTTGTGAGTGAGTGCGTTATTTGTGTGCGGTGCGTGTGTACGTTTTAAGAGCTCTGGCCAGCCAAGTGACTGCTGTAGTTCTTATATCCATGCATACACATATTTGATACATTAGGTGTGTGTATATAGAGGACGAGAGAAAGAGAGAGAGAAAGAACGAGGCACACTCGCCAGCTCCGCAAGCATACAGACGCTCATTATAAGAGCGGCGAAGAATCGAAAAAGAAGCGAGCGAGAGAGAGAGAGAGACTCACTCACTCGCATAGTGTGCGAAAGTGGCCTAACTCCGATCGAGTCGAGCATATTGTGTGCAGAGAGGCACACGCGTCGTCGTCGCCACACCGACGCCACCGGGCCGCAAATTGTACAACAAAAAAAATACATACAAAATAAAATAAAATTACCAGTGCGGAGTAGCGGAGAGCCACAGCAGCATCATGTCGGCCAGTTCGTCCCAGCGGGTGCGCAAGTCGCCATGCTCGGGCTCGACCAAGCAGGGCCCGATGCGGGCCACCCTGCCCGTCAGCTCGCTACTGCGACAACAGAACAACACGAGCGGCGGCTCGGCCGCGGCCACCACACAGACCAGCAACAACAAGCAGCAGCAGTCCAACGCGGCCAACTCGACGTCGCAGACGCCGACCGACGTACATCGCTCGACGTCGGCGTCCCAGACCACGAGCTCGGTGGCCTGCAACGCGCCGCCGCTGTCACCGACCCCCGGTTGGAGATCGGCCACGACCAGTCGCATCTCGCCGGACGCCTGTTCGGGTCAGCGCAGCCCCGGAGCACTGGCCTCCGGGCCCACGCGGGCCTCCAGCGGCTACTTCTCCAAATCCAAGACGCTGAGCGCGCGCGGACCCGATGGCTGCTACCTCGACGCCTCGGGCAACGGCCACCGCATCATCAGGCGCACCGCGTCCCTCGACACAATCTACATGCAGGGCCAGTGGCCCCGGGATTATTTACAAACCAGCCTCCTGCTCGTTGACAAAGCCACTCAGGTAAACATCCATTGTTCCATTCTATATTGTCGCGCTTTCTCGCTTTCATTGTCTTTTTTTACAACTCGTATGTTTATGTGTGTCTTTGCTGTGTTTCACGAGCAGACGGACGAATGGAGCAACACCGTGCCGAAGGTTTACGGTCCGCGACATTCGGCCCCGTCACCGGTCGCTCCGGTCACGGCTACAGCCGCTGATCAAACCATGACCGACGAAAAGCTCGAAAAGTACTTTAGACATCGTCTGCAACGCACCAACAAAGAAAGCACCAGTAGCCGCGAAAGAACCGCAGCTTTTGGACTCATTACTCCGGGAGGACCGGCCCTACCCGCCGATCATTCCGTCATTTTGCCCAGCATCGCGTCCCAAACGTCTGCCTGTAAGGGCCATCAATTTTCCTTCTCCGTATCATACCCGCTTCATTTTGTAATAATTTAATTTTTTTGACAGATAACCATTTTGGCTCGAGTAAGGCCATCACAATCAAGCCCATGAGACCTCCAATGCGATCATCAATTGAAGGTTTGAATCAGGAAATTGAAGGTTTGGTTCTCAAATCCACCTCAACTTCTTGCGATGATCATCACATTGAAGACAAGGTTTGTGCCATGATTTGTCATCTGTAAAAATTATTGAAAACTCAAACTTGACTATTATTCATTACTCATCTATCAACTCTAGTATGCCAGATTGCGAGATCAAAATACACCTGAAGGACACCGTGCACCTCTGGCTGATTTATTCAGAGCAAAATGTAGTGTCAACAGTGTTAATACTCAAACTCCAGCAACTGATCTTCCTTCCAGTTCTTACTCGTCAGGTAAAGTAACAAGTCCAAGTTTTTTAATCATAGTTTTATATAAAATCTTTATACAAATATTTTCATGATAATAAACTGAACTTTGAACTTATTTCTATAAATAAATTACTTTTTTAACCCTTATGGATGCCTGTTTTAAAATCAGGCCCTCCATCAAGGAATTCAGAGTCTCCACCATTACCAGGTTCAGTGGATGTATCTCGTCCATCTAGTGACCTGTTACAAGGTTGGACATTATCAAAAAGTTCAAAACTATTTTGCATTAACTACACTAGATCGTTGAACTTGATCTTCTGTTTGCAATGCCTGCTTTATTAGTACTATAATTTAATTACAGTATTGCATGAAATTAAAGCTGCACTACTTTAGTAATTACATAGTTTGATAGAAGCATTTTAATTGTAGATATAGTTTATAATAATTTTAAAACTTTTTAGTATTATTTTTTAACTTAGTTATTATTAAAACTTATTCAGAAATTATAGTGATAAATTTTACATATCATTAAAGACCTATTAATGTATTAATTTTTTCTAATGGTTTGAATTATTAGTTAATTTAAGTTTATTTCTTGAGTATTATATGAGTATCAATCATGTAGTCATCAACATGATGGAATATAAAACTAGTTTTGAATAATTTTTTCAATGTCACAGGTGGAAGCCGTGGCTCTACGCCAGACCATGATAGAGAAGGGCGCTTGGGTACATCTCCTCATATTAATAGATTTTTGGCTAGAGAACCACCAGATGGATGTGAAAAAGTCAATACAAAATTCATAGAAGAGGCCAGGTAAGATGCATTTTAAGTTGAAAAAACAAAAATCTTGCATGATAGGAAGAAAAGATAAACATCTTTCAAACCCAGTAGTACCTCTTTAGTTTTTGATTTGTATTAAAATATATTTTTTATGAAGTTTTAATACTGATCTGTTTTTAAAATACGTATCATTTAAAATGGATTATGAGTGAACGTTTTTTTTTGTATAATAGACACCTAGTAAAAGTCCAGCTTTTGGTTTGCGAGATTATTTTTCAATGCTGTCTTATACTTGAATAAATGGTTCACGTTCTGTAATTTATTTCATTTTGAATCTTCAAAGAAGTTTTTAGCACTTATAATAACCAAAAATATGAAATTCTGTGATTTGAAACTACTAATAAATTGGAAAGTGACAGCTTGAAGATAAATGTATTTATGCTTAATTTATTTGAGTTCAAATGCTTTCTCTTGAATAATTTTGATCCAAAAATTCTGTTTAGTCAAATATTTGTCTTGTCTAAAATAATTTAAGTGTTCCTCATGTATCAAGTATTTTCATTTAGGCCTTGAAAAAAATAATAACAATAATATTTCAACAGGCGGCCAATGATAGACTTGAGTAAACTAGACTATTGTTCAAAGCCTAGTGTAGCATTCCAATTAAAACCAAGTTTGGGATCGGCATTCCTTCCACTTCAACAACCAGTCAGTCCAACAATGGCTACTAATACAACACCTTCAATGCATACGACACCATCAACACCTTCTCCAAATCCATAGTCCTTGGATGCATATAGCATGAAGCAGTGTGTTAATCTGGATGGTATTAGTACCATACTCACAAATACAATCATATATATTTATGTGTATATGAACATTTATACATATATTTATATATACAAAGATATATATAATATATATCTATATTTTTTCTTCAATAAGACCTAAATTGATTCATCAAAGTGTTGAAAAAATGAATTCTTAGACAGGTAAATCGACTATGTTACAAAAAAATAGTAGTTTGTTCCCCATTGCAGCTAAAATTGATAATCTGTGGCCTGAGCAATCATACAAATGGAAAAATTTGAATGCATCAACTTATAGTAAAATATAAGTGCATGAATATTGAAAAGTATTTACATAGCTCTTGAGTTACGTTAAATGTCCACAAAATAATATATTTATAAATCTACGATAATAAAAATACGAGGAACAATAATTTGTGATAATTAATAAAAGACATGTAGAAATATGCATTGTGTTCTACAAAATGTAAGATTTACGAAATTATGTGTATTCTAAATTAGTGCTCAAAGTGTCCTAAATGACTTATTTTTTACACAGGGATACAAATATTCTGAAAACCTATTAATGACGAGAAAAGTATTAAATTTGAATAGAGGTAGTGTAGTTACAAAAACTCAAATTGAGTGAAAAAGTAAGAACATGTATTCACGTGTATGAATGGAAAATTGCAAATTTGTACAAAAAACTCTGACTTGTAAAGAGTTTTTGCAGTGTTGCTGCAATTAAAAATGTTTACATTTTTTAAATACTTTTATGTTCATTCTGTATTATTATAAAGTTTATTACCTCTTACATAACTGCAATTATTGCTATCTTTTATAATTATGGTTAATATTATTTTTATAAACTCGAATATTACATTTTTTATGTCACAATATTAAGTCAATAAAGGAATGAGGTAAAAAGATGATTTATAAAAACATCATCATCCTCAAAGTCATCAAAATTTAGATATCAAATAGCACTTGCTGTCTAATTTATTTTTTGGTAATTAATTTTAACAGTAACAATACGACGGCAAAACTTACAGAAATGCTCAACATTGAGCATGATACTACTTTGAACTAAACAGTTGTCTGAACATGATCTCGTATTTTTGAATTTTTCTTTTCTAGTATGGATGTTTCCTTCAAGTTTGTATTATTTTTAGAGTTTTACCACTCAAATAAGTGCAAAATGTGCAGTGCCCAAGTGTGATTGAAAATCATGCCAGAAAAGAATGATAGAAATATTTGTATATCGATTTTATCTCATAAGACGGCACAAACATGCAGAACCCAACTAATGTATTTGACAATATAGTGGTATTATGTGTGTGAGTGTGTGTATTGTACGACAATTGAAAATATGTGGAGAGTAATAATGAAAACAGTTTAGAAATTCATAGTTGGTCGACAAATAATTAAAAACAAAACGATAACATGTTCAACAATAAAAGAGCAAAAGTTCAAAAAAAAGTTTTATTCACTGGTAACAAATTAATTGAACTAGCTTATTTATTCGTCTCTGTATTTTTTCTACGAATGCTTGAAATAACAGAATTTTAATTTGATTTTTTAGTTTCATACAAACTTTGGACGAGTTTGCAATGTTGATAGATACATTAACATAGAATATGTTCGTTTACCGATGAAGAACAAAAATGTTATTTTCACAAAATAAAGATGTAGTACGTAGACGCGCACAGAATGGTTTTAAAATTGTATAATAGAATTGAAAAATACTATTCTGTAAATTAAAACGTGTAAGCATATATTTTTTCAATTGAAACTTAAAGAAATAGTACGTTACACATACGTTAAATGTGACGTTCAACATTGCAAAAAATTTTGAAAATAAACAAATCTTAACCGTGGTCTAATGACCAATCACCTAACGCCAGAGAAGTAAATGCAGTATTTTTTCACATCATTGAAGCGCACGTGTTATTCAATAAAATCGAACAACTATTGTTTTAATATTCATTTCAAATGAAACTTTTTTGGAGTAATCAACGATCGATCAAATTTTTAATGTCAGGATTTTCATTAAAATTGTGAAGAGCACTCAGTTCGGTGTTAAATTCAGAATTCAATTTAAATTTACGGTATTAGGCGTAAGAAATGTAAAAAAAATTTACCTACATGTAAGTACCTGGCTCTAATCTATGCTCTCTTCGTTATTACTAAGTAGATCAAAGACTTTAGCCTTAACAAATATAAAATCTGAGTGTCATGGAGTTACATAAATATAGTTGTAAATACTGAAGTTGATTTCGCAAAACAAGAAAAAAATTATGTCAAAAACTATTAATGGCGGCCGTGAGTTTAAAGTAAAAACATTGAATGTGCAATAATATCATAGATTAGCATCGAATAATCTGAGAATCCTGACCGATGGGATGCGGCAAAATTTGAAATGTTACTTTTTATTGAGACACACGTTACATCTCATCATTTATTGAAATTCCGTACATATTGTCCATTTTAAAAATTATGTGAAGCTTGAAACGCGCATTACAAGTACGGGATGTTAACATGCGCATGGTTCTTTATCAGACGGCAGACTATAAAATGTAATTAAAAATAAAAAATAAACGTTTCAAGTAGAAATCCTTAGGGTCAAACGTATAGATAAATAGTTTATTAAGAATTGTTAGGTGAACATGTGTTCAATATTTTCGGTATGATCTTAACATATCTTCTCGAAATGAATAAATCTGAGCAGGTTTCAGAAACGCTAAGTGTTTATTGTCAATTAAAATGAAATATGCTCTCAACCCTAGGACCGCGTTTCCAGTAAATTCATGGACAAAAAAATTGTAAGAATAATTCCAGATCAACTTTTTTCCAAAGCAATCTATACCGCATTCGTAGTAATGATCCTAGGGCTCAATTAAATTCATTTGTGAAGTTAACAAAAAAAGAAAAGAAGGAGAAACTAATGAAATACAAGTTGTATGCTAATTATAAGCGTTTCATAAATGCCAAACTGTTGCGGTGTAATCAAATAGATATTAAAACGATTATTCTATAAATGCAAATTGTTTGTCTGATGCATAATTATAAGGCGCAATTATCAATGTTTTGGAACAAAAAATTTTGCGTACGTAGAATGCGATGGAAGGGAATAAAAAAATAATTTCTGCTGCGACACGCGAGTGTGTAAATGTGCGTTGCGTCTCATATTGAAGACTCCTTTAAGAATCGGGGTGGACGCACGCAAGCATCTATCCCCGATTACGCGTCAAGTGTATAAAACCGATCTCACTGACTTTCATGCATTTTCCTTTACAGATTTAAAAGCAGCAATTTATATTTCTAAGACTCATAAGCTGCTCATTAAAAAAGCAGTTGTTATATATATTTTGTATATTGAGATACAAAATGCTACTTTTTTAATTACGATATACTTGCTCCAGTAGTAGTGGTAACTTGTAAGCTCCTTTTGGTTATTTTATAATACTTATGATGTAAATTAAATACTGTACCTTTTATATTATCAAGTCGCCTTAAATAAATGAAATTTCAAAAACTTATTGATTACGAAGCATGCATTTACCCTATCAGCTTCCTATAATGTTTTAAAGTAATATGTGTACAAGGAAATAATGAAACTTGATCAAATCTAGTTTAATTGTATAAAAGTCCAGCTTTTAATTAATAATTTTTTCCATCATTTAGACTATCTATTAATATCATTACATGTATGATGTTATTTCAAATAATTATTTATAAATAATAATAATGATACAATCCATATCAATAATATCTTATAATTATCATCTTAGGCACTATAATAATACTCCAATTACAACGATGAAAAAACGTTGCGTAAATATGTATAAGAAACACGGGAGAAAAATGAAAAAAATGGTCTTGTCACCAATCAAATCACCCAGAATAAAAAATACATCTTCCAAAAAACTTAGAAATTATCGCGTCTCCACATTGGAATACCATATACAAGGATTGCACTAACTATAAATTCTCAAATTTGTACACGCAGTTATACTACTAATGGAAAAATGTACTTATGAATAAAATAAGAGTCGTCCTTCTGTATTTACAGTACACGTTTCACGTATATACACATACACAATCACACTTACATACTAAAGAGCACAAAAATGTCGATCGCAATTACAAACCCATGTATTGCGGCGAGGACGAGTAAGCATTTCTGGCGGACCTTGTCTGTTTGATGTCTGGTTCGTCTGGCGAATCGCTGAAAATGAAAGAGAAAAAAAAAATATGTGAATGGAAATGAATGCAAGTTCGGCGCAGGAAACGCGCGCGCGACTAATCGGTGACAAAGCCGGAAAAGAATATCCTCGATTTATGATTTTTACCCGAAGAATGGCAGGAGCATAACGAGAGTTTGTTTGACTGGCTGTGCCGTGAAGGCGGCTGAGCAGTGCGATATTCGGTTGACGATGCGTCTCAGCCAGAGCTGCAACTTTTGACGACGTTCCTCCACGAACCTTGGGTCCTGCGATTGGATGGAAAAGGCTTAGAATCGTATTCGTCAAACATAAACGATAATTAATAATTGGCGCGCTCGACTCACCTTGTTGCCGATGGTCTTCTTGGGTGGAAACTCGAAAGTCGAGACGACGGGCTCGATCTTTTTGAGCTTGCGATTGAGCGCGTGAAACTGCGCGTACCTCCGGTAGATGTTCCACTCGGTGCTCTTGATGCGAATGTAAATCTGGTAGACGTGGTGGAGATCGGACGGCTGGCCGGTGAGGAAGACCGAGGGTATCCAGATGTGGATGAGGCAGGCCGGCTCGAGGGGCCGCAGGATCCGGTCGTCCTGGTCCTCGACGGGTCCGCGCAGGCACTCGAGCTCGGCGCGCAGCAGTCTGACCTCGTGCTCGCGCTCGCCGAGTTGGCGCGTCAGCCGGCCGTTGAACTCCATGAGCTCGGCGTGCATCTCGGCCACCTGGACGAGCTTGCGCTCGTACTCCTTCGACTCGTGGTGATAATCGGGACACTGCTCCAGGACGGAGCGCGATTGCTGCTGCTGCTGCTGTTGGTCGTCCTCGCCGAGGGCAGCCCGGTCGTTGAGCATCTGCACGGCGCTCACGTACTTGCGCAGCTGCTGGCGAAGCAGCTCGTTCTCGCGTCGCAAGCTCTGCTCCTGGAGCTCGTGGCGGTCCAGGTAGTTCTGTTGCTGGCGCTGCAGCCGAGCCAATTGCTGTCGACTGGCCAGAGCGTCGTCGCGCGCCTGCTCCAGCAGCTCGGCCAGTGCGGCTATCCGCGGATTCGACTCGGTCTCGAAACCGGCCGGTGGCGAGACTTGATCCTCGATGGCCTCGATGGCCGGCAACGGAGTCGGTGGCGACTCGGCGTACGGTATCACCGGCTCCAGACTGCCCAGGTGCTCCGGATCGGCCAGAGGCGTCAGTAGCCGCGCTTGCAGCACCTCGTCGTTCGAGGCCGTGGCCGTCGCCAGGGCTCCGCTGCTGCTGTCGTCTTCCTCGTCGTCGTCGTCGTCGTCGTCCAGACGCACCAGACGCGCCGCGATCTGACGTCGTGGCTGCATCGGTGGCTGCAGCGTCGGCGCCTCGATCACCGGCTCCGGGGGTGCCGTCGTCGCGACCTCCGGCTGATCCAGCAGTTCGAGGTCGATGCGCACGGCGAAGAGGACAGTGGCCAAGTCGGCCGCCATTCCCGGCAGAGGCTCCGTCAGCTGCGGGTCCAGCAGCAACGCTCCGGGCAGATAGTGCTCCAAAAGATCCGACTGCGGCAGAGCCAGCAGACCCAGAATCTGACGCTCGAGGCTTCGCTCGTTCAGACCGGAGCGTATCCAAGCTCGAGCACGGCCTGCATCCGTGCGTACCTACAGCGAGTCAACAGTCACATTATAGCTTCAATGATAACAACTAGGATGAAAAAGCAATGAAAAAAATTACTCACGTGTCGGAGAGTCTCGAAACGCTCGCGCTCGTGCCTGGTGATCAAATGATCCCGCGCCAGCTGCCAAAAGCTGGCCAAGCTGCCGGGCCTCGAGGAGCTCGCGAAGCCACTGCTGCCGGCGGAACCGACGCCCACCAGCTCGGACAGCTGACCCAGTGCCGAGGAGACCAAGCCGGGCGCCGGTGCGGGCCGCAGTCCGTGTCCCAGGGCCCGCTCCAGGGCGCCGCAGAGCCTAGCCACGCATCTGTCGGCTTCGGTGGCCAACTCGCGCCCGTTGAAGCGCTCTCGGACCTGTTGCGCGGCTCCGAGCAACTCCCGCTGCACCTCCTCGCGTTCTCGCGCCAAGGCTTTGTCCTGGTGGCTGCTCGACGACGACGATCCCTCGCTGTTGCTGCTGCCGTTGCTCTGTCCTCGTCGACGAATCGCCCCGCCGCTGCCTGAGAAATTGTCGTCCTCGACGGAGAGTATCGTCGACATTATGCGGAGAGCCTGCAACATTGCACCGACTTTTATCGAACACGTGCACCACTGCTACGATTGCACTTTTTATGCCTTATTTATATACTTTTAACAGATTAAACAGCTGCGGGTTGGAGTCGAATCGTTACATAAATCTGCAACGTACCATGTCGATGCGGGCCCGAGTTTGTTTATAAAAACGAGTTCACTCTTACGAAAAAAAAAACACGCAGACGCACAGACACGAAATTAAGGCGCGTTAACGGTCATTCACCGGTAGTTGCGCGTTACAGGCCAAAGAACAAGTACGATGAATTCGCGGGATCGATTCTCGCGCTATACTCGATGTCGCAAATAAATATCAACTGCGTCAGGATAGTATAAAGACGACGTGCCGTGAACAGCACACACGAGACATAACTCTTCTCGTATGAACTAATATCGCTGCGGCATGTGTGTTGATTACAACTTGAGATATCGATGAAAATCGCAGTCGCGCAGACCTCACGTATCGATCTAAGTGCTCGATTACCGACGTGCTCGGCAAAATCATAATCATAATCTCGAAGCGACAATCAGCTGCGACATTATTATGAATTTTGTATATAGACGCGAGATTGCGACGATCGTATTGCCGATCCATCGCAAAAACTATAAAACATTTTTTTACAGCGAATAATTGTGTGCATGTAAAATTGAACGCGGATATTATATTCGAATCCGCAACTTGTCTGTCAGCTGCTGCACACGAGATCGCTATACACTCATTATCAGTTATTACGTGCACAATATTATAATGCGTGTATAGGCGAGCTCATGCTTATTTATGAGTTAGCAGACAACGCGTCGCGCGCGCGATACATATATTTTGAGATTGCCAACTTTTGTATACGTACACACACGTGCTGATATTGTACCCGATCACTTCCTCATAACTATATGTATATACCTAGAAAGAGAGAGAGAGAATTGCTAAACGCATGTGCTGTATTATTGGATACGCCGAGGCGCACGATGACTGATAACTATATAATATTACCGTACATCGTGTACAGGTCACTTCGTCGCTGCACAAAGGCACACGTTGCTGCTGCTACTTTATTCCGCGCGCTTTGTGCTGCAGTGAGCGGTTTTTTTTCAACTCTTTGTTATGAATATTTATCGCGTATCCGCGTGCGCGCCTTCGCGTCGTTCGCGCGCGCGCGCATGCGAGCGACAATGACAGGAACAGGAGAAAAAAAACGGAGCTCTGTATCGCGAAACGAGTGAAATTTAATATTATAATGATATTTTTTACGAACCATTGGTTACGGCGCTTTGATGCAGTTAGCTGAATATCGAGCTTGATCCGTAAGATTTTTCGAATTGCTATCACGTGCTCGTTGCGAACGAGCGATGATGCTGCTGCTGCTGATGATGATGACAGTGATGATTTCGATCGTCAGCTGCTGCTGCTACTGCAGGACAATGCCGTTTTCGTTTTCTTCGTCGTCGTCGTGGTACTGCTGCAACGGCTCGTTTCGTCAATTTCATGGGGCAGCTCACTCGACAGTTCGCACTTTTTATTCAATGATCTGTACAATTAATCCTAATGCGCTGTCCCGCGAGAGCAACTACTTGTTTCGGCTGCGACCATTTGAGCTTTCGAATTTTTTCGAGATATAATGCGTGCTATGATCGCGAGAAAGACTCTCGAAATCCAGAGCTATCTCTCGACGTCGTACATCTATTCTCCGTCTGCCTAGCTACGAGTGCATTTAGGCGCGTATTGAGCACAGAGTCAGTTGGCCGTGTACAGCTGGCAGTTTTCTCCTCGGCAGTCTACGTCGATATATTCAAATGATCATTCGACTGTATCGCACTTTCGTCATTGACGACTGTTAATCCTGACCATTGCAGCTGCTGCTCCTACTGTTGTTGTTGTTGTTGATGTCGTCGTTGCATACGATCCTAAATGCCATTGGCAGCGATGCACTTGGGCTCCATTGCAATTTCTCTCTCTCTTTCTCTCTCACTCACTCACAAGACGCTCGACTGCACGCTGCTGCATCTAGCGCGCATTATATTATGTATATGAACTGTCGTCGACGCTTCTGCTTCTATCCCCAGCACTGAAACTGCAGTTTTTTGGTTTCACGACACGCGTTGCTCTTTTCATGGGTCCACTTGTATACAAAGATACTGACGCAATTGCGCGGCTTTCACGCACAAGGTTCACCTATACGGACAGGCACGAGATAGCTCGCCACCGAGTCTCGATGAAAAACTGATCGTCTGCGTTATATACACACAAGAGCAATACTGATCTTTTCTTTTGTGTGTGCGTGTGTATAAAGTATATACTCCGCTGAGCTTGTGTGCTACGCCTGTCTTTCTTTCTCTTGCACAGCTTCAACGACGAGACGACTCGCTTCTTGCTGTGCTGCTACTGCTGCTAATAATGCCTCTCGCTCGCTCTAACGCAGCGCAGCGTATACCACTGCTCCCTCCTTCTTTGCTGCACGAGCTTTGAGGCTGGCTGTGAGTACTGAATACTAAATACTCGGGCTTTCCAAAGTCGCCCACATTTGCGCATGGCTTTTTGCTTTTCGTTGTTCCTGATCTCGCGCTTTTTCATGTATCGCAGACTGTCGTGCGTTCGGTTATCTAAATTACCGTAGACTCCGCTTTTTTTTTTGTGTTTGCGTCTATCGTCGCCGCAGTTGAACGCCAGACACGCCGAGCAGACGCTACTGTGTATCGCTGCGCTGTTATTATGTGTCGTCGCGTACTACAACTTGACACTTGACAGATGCGTGTACGGTACGCGACGAGCGAGTCGCTGCTGCCTTTACATCGACAAACAATCACGACGAAAAAAGTAGCTACACTGCCACTGTAGCTGCACTGTACCGCTACACTAACTGCCTCTACAAGGCTAGACGTAATACATGTGAGTTGCAGTCATCGCTGATCATCGCAAATTGCTGGCCTCCATCATTGCTGTAGCCGTTGATTTTTCACGCAGCAGCACTAAAAACAGCAACAGCAATAATAATGGGATCATTCACGAGTCGACAAAATGCTGGCGTCGAAGAGGTCGATATCGTCTCTAACCATGCATACAAATATCCACCTCGAACAGGTCAGTGTCGATTTGTGCGATTGTTTTGCGGTGCGATTTTTCCTCGATTATCCACGCCCAGTTTCGTTTCTCAACGAGGTCTTTTGTTTTTTTGTTTCACGTGCAGGCAACTACTTTGGCAGCCACTTCATTATGGGAGGCGAGCGATTCGATACCCCTCAACCCGAGGCCTATCTTTTTGGCGAAAATACCGACCTCAACTTTCTCGGTAGCAGGCCAACTCCCGTGAGTCCATGTTTGCATTTTTTTTATGTTATTTTTTTATAAAATTTTTATAACCATGGCTGCAATTTACTTCTGTTTTTTTAGTTTCCATATCCACCCCCTCAGGCAAATGATCCTACAAAAACTTTGAAGAGTTTAGTGAATATTCGGAAGGAATCTTTACGTCTGGTTAGAAATGTTGAAAAGTCATCACCGGTGCAGCAAAGCGCTGTCAAGCAATTCGGTGATGGAGATGTTGAAAAAAAAACCTTTAAATTCAATATTGAATTTACTTTTGACTGTGATGTTAGGTGTGCGATAACCATTTATTATTTTTGTACTGAAGAACTTACTCCAAAAGGAGTGACGTAAGGACTTTTCAATATTGTAATGTTACTTTAAAATGTAATTGATAGCTTTTAAGAAATAACATCCTTTGTTTACAGTTATGTACCTAGGAATCCAACTATGACTTCAGAGACTTACTACTATAAAAAAGGAGCAAATCAATTATTTAGTCAACCTTTGCATGTTTTTGATCCTTCACAATTTAATGAAGAGGAATTATTGTACAATAATGAACGAGAAGTACATTTTGAAAATATTTTCATCTGTATCATACAGCACCATTACATCTCATACTAATTGAGTTTTATTTTCTTAGATCATTCCTATTGCTATCCACTGTGTTGCAGAAGAAGGCTCCGATGAACCTAAGCAATCCCACACAACAATTGCTATTGTTGAAAAACATTCCGATGGTTCTTATGTTTTAAAAGCTTTAAAACAAAAACTGTATGTTGATGGTTTATGTTATTTGCTTCAAGAGATTTACGGAATTGAAAACAAAAATACTGAAAATTCAAAGGTTCAATTATTAAATTTTTTTTGTCGATAAGTTTTTTCATAATTAATTATATTAAATTATAATATTTTGCTTTTCATGTTTCAGCAAGGAAATGATGATGATACAGAAGATAATGGTGCTGAGTGTGTCATTTGCATGTGTGATGTTAGAGATACTTTGATTTTACCCTGTAGACATTTGTGCCTATGTAATGGTTGCGCCGATTCCCTCCGTTATCAAGCTAATAATTGTCCTATTTGTCGAGCTCCATTTAGGGCTTTACTTCAAATCAAGGCATTGCAAAAAGCAACAGGTTCTGTAATAGTCAATCCACCTTTACCAGAGGTAATTAAATGATAATTGGAAGTTTATTCTGTTAACTGTGCTTTTCATAGTTGGACTAAATATTTGATTCAAATCAATGTTTTTAGGGAAGCTGTGAGAATATACCAGCTGGATATGAAGCAGTGTCTTTAATTGAAGCACTGAATGGTCCTTACACTCCAAGAGCTACAATTTTACCACCTGAATCTCCGGAAACGCCAGATACTGATACAGCCAGTGCAACACAAGCTGCAGAAGTATTGAATAGGTATGTATATTATTGTTTTAATTTCGTTTAAATATTTTCTTACTCAATAATTCTACTTGATTTTTAGATCCAACGAACGAACTCCAGTATCGAAGCATGCCCTATCAAAAGACAGTGATTCATCTCAAAGAACAAATAGTACTTCTTGTCAAACTCCCGAGATTCGCATGTCTATTCTCCTTGCAAAAGGAGAAAATTCTGGATCTCAGAAAGAACTTCATAATCGATCACCAATTGTCAGAAATAAATCTTCCACCAATCACTCCCGTGAAAAAATAAACATTAGAACTAGGGATACATTGAGACTTGTAAACGAAAAGCAGCCTTCATCTGTATACGAAGTAAGTCTTGATATTCAAGAAAAGTTATTTTATATGTTTGCTTTATAATTGTTATTTTTCATTAGGTACAAAATCAAGATGAAGATAGTGAGGCTGAAAAATTGTCTCCTCTGTTGAATGATGCAACGAGTGGTGTCGATGCGATTGACGCACCAAATCGAAGAATTTGTGACATAGATACGGAAGATGAATTGCCAAACAATGAAACTGAAAGCCCAGGAGAAAGCACTGGTAATTCTGGTTAAATTCATATCCAAATTATGTGCAACTGGTAGATACTTTTTTCAATATTATTAATTTTTTAAATAAAATTACTTTTATAAATCTAATTTTTAAAATTAGATGTAAGTTAAGAATAAGTTTTATAAGACTAATTAATATTATGTATATTAAAAGAGAGATGCTAATCAATACGTAATTATAGTTTTAAAATCATTAATTATAATAGAATATAAATTGTAAAAAGCTAGAAAAGTATTTGAAAATTTTAATTAAAGAAATTGTTATTCTTAAATAATTGATTTCATGAAATCAATATATATTTTATTGAGTCCGTAATGTGAGTGCTTTATTTATTCTAAATCTGAAAAATATCATTGAACGTGAAAATTGCAAAGTACATCAACCGTTTGTTGTGTATTTTTGATTGTCACGAATTCAAAAAAAGTTCATTCCTTAATCCTCTGTATATATTGATAACTTCGACGTAAACACGAACATCATTTAATTTGTTGGTAAATTGTGCTCAAGAAAATTTAAAAGAACAATAGTCAAACAATAGTTTTTATATGTGTCAGGAATTGTGAGCCAATTAAAGCTTTCTGTTATTTGTTAATAAGCATAATAATAAGAGAATTTGAGAAGTAATTTAAAAAGTTTAATGGTTCAAATGTAAATATAATCAAGCAAACAAAGTTGTTATTCAATAATATTTATTCGAATTATAGTTGTATTTTATTTTACAATACATTTCAAATTTTGAAAAGTACTTTGTGCAGTATTTAATACAGCTACTGAGACTAATCTGAGATTTAATTATAACGTAACGAATTCTTTAGAAAATAATTTTTCACTCTATCATTGTTTATTATCATGAATTCAATACCATTAAAGAACCATACATCCATCATGACACATTATATATAAATATTTGTATCGTTATAACTTATGATTAATAATTTGTATATAGGATATAAAATACCAGGTATTGACGAAATTCGTAAAAGATATTCATACATTTTAAGTTTTTACAGTTACATACTAGATTTTGTAGCAAAAGTAGGTGTATGTAAAGAAAAAATTCTCTTTAGACTCACAGAGCCTTTCATGTAATATAAATTAATGAATGAAAATGATGCTTGAAAAGTGATAATAACATAAAATCTACACCATAAACTTTCAAGTCAATATTTTTTCAAATATTCGTAGATATTGTGATCTCGTTAATTTCTGAAATTAAACTGTATATGGTGATTCTTTATATTTTCAAGCTATCACTTTGAGTAGACCTTGGTGGTCATAATTTAAAGGATATTTAAAAAAATGAAAATCCTTTTGATGCATTTTGATGATAGTGACAGCATTTAGAAAGGATTGTAAGGAGATACAGTTTAAAAAAAAGTTGATTTTTGAGAATGACCACGATTGGTATTTTATAAACACAGGTGTGCTGATTGCTCTTAATTATTCTGGTGATAAAGTTTGATGGTCTCTTCAAACATTTGCTGGAGGATTTTGCTCTGAAAGTGGCTGTACAATAGCACCTGTAGAATTCGAAGGTCTTCCTCCTCTTCTTCCTCTACTTTTCTTAGCCACATTCGATCCAGATTTTTGTACTGTATTTTCGCGTTTAGCTGTTTGAGTTTCTATGGTATTACTACTTTCCACGGTATCTAAGTTCTGTAAATAAATTAATATAAATTGTTTATTTTTCGAAAATTTCTATAAAATGTGGTAACGTGTTTGTAGTTACCTGCGAGTTCGAGTGTTGACGAGATTGCTGCATTTTGTTGGGTTTATTCGTTCTTACAGTGTGTGTACTTCCTTGTCCTGAATGAGGGATTAGTCGCAAAACATTACCCACAGCTTTAGTTCGACCTTCACGGAACACCATTCTTTGTCCTGGTTTTATATACTCTGGATGTTTTATGAACCTAAAGTGTACAAGAGCCTTATCTCCAGTCCTTAGACAATCTTGAGACATGGATAAAATCGATGCAGTTTGACGGATACTTCCGCAGTGAACTAAAGTAAAAAAAAAGTAGTTCACGAATTTTAATTTAAAAATATGAAATAATTTTTTGCTTATAATAATGAAAATTTACCCATAGCTTGATAGCGAGAGCTGATCGTTGTTGGGTGGTGTAGCACTAAAATTTCGCCTTCGAATTCCCAACAAGCTTGAGGATTAAGAGCAGGTGACACCATTACCATTCCTTTTCTAATTTGAGATCTTTTAATTTTTTTCAAAGCAAAGCTTGCTGTTTGACCTCCACGAACTTCACGAACAGGCATCCTTTTTCTATGGATGCTTTTTACTGCTATTGCTTGAAAATGTCCCAGAGGGTCAGGTCCTAAGAGTAGTGTGTCATTCAACTTAATGACACCCTTGAGAGTTGTACCAGATACCACTGTTCCGACCCCCTAAAATAAAATGTTACAAAAGTTATTCAGAGTAAAAGATTATTTTAAAAAACTATGCAGACTCATTTTCTTACAGGAACTGAGTATGTGTCATCAATTTGAAATTCTGCTGGTTCGTCGTCGTGACTAGTGATTCTGGCAGTCAAGAGATTTAAAAACATTTTCAGAAGATCCAAATTTTCTCCGTTAACATTAGATACTTGGAAAATTGGACACAGTCTAGAAACATAAGGAGAACATAAATCTATACCAAGTCATAATAAGATTAATATTTTCATGCATGACACTTTACCTTTCTGAAACAAAATTTGTTGCACTAACTACAACATCGTCAGGAGTTTTTACTGTAACAGGGACTTTTCTACAACCGGGTGATTTTAGTATTCTGACCAGTAGTCTCAAATTTTCTTGCAAGACATTTGGTGGGCACATATCAATTTTTGTCACTACTACAAAAACTGGAACTGATAGAGCTAATGCCAATCCTAGATGCTCTTTAGTCATACCTACGATACCTGCATTTGCTCCAACCATAAGCATTCCTAATCAAAATTAAATCATCAATTAGAAGTGAAATTATACTTTTATAAAAATTTTGGTTAGAACATTAAACTCACCAAAATCTGGTGCATGACCAGTCATTCCAAAAACAGTAGTTTTTAAATAACGTTCATGGCCAGCTAAATCAATGAAAGTTATAACTTTGGAAGACTTTTCACAAATTTTAACCCAGTCCAAAGAACCATGTTCAGGTTTATTTACAACATTTCCTGTAAAAAATTGTAAATAAAAATTAAAAATGTCTTCAATAAAAAGTTCATTTTATTATAAATAAATATTACTGACCCACGCTGTCAAAACCAAGAATATCATTTCCTACAGAACTTGTCCGACCAGTCTCAGCTTCATGTTTGTGACGAAATAGTTTTTGCCGTGCTAAGCCTCTTCCATTGTCCAATTCTCCATGTGTTAAAACTCCAAGTAATGTTGATTTACCAGCATCAACATTTCCAACAACCGCAACTCTAAAAAAAGTAATTAAATATTTTAAAAATACTTTTAACTTTTTGAATTATTTAATGTATTTCTCATGCTAAAATTAGTTCATACCTTATTTCCAAGAAATCTTGTTGATCAAGTCTTTTGCGAACTAAGTATTGTCCTGTGAGTCCATGATCAACTTTAGTTTGTCGCAGTAATACACAATCAGCCTCCAATGTAGCTGCAAGTGATTGTAAGGTAGCAACGGAAGCTTCATATTCATCTTCTTTCAGCCCATCCTCTGAGCCATCTACCATTGAAAAGATATATTAACGATGAGTCGACAACAATAAATTGAAGAATAACTAATGAACATACCTTCTCCAATTCCAATGTCAAAAATGGTTTCACTACCTCCATCTTGAATGCGCTCTTTTAATTTTTTAAGCAGTAATTCATATTGATCTTCTGTAGAGCTGACTAAAACATCCTAAAGTGAATGTAGAATTTAATAAGAATAAAAATTATGAATAAAGTAGATCATTTCCAATAAACCTTACTTTTCCTCTGATGCTTGAATAGTCAATAACAGGTCCTGAATTATCTTTTTCTGGTAATTGTTTATTAACTACCATTGGTAGGAATGACGCCGTTGGTGTAGACATATTTCCTCAATTATGAATTAATGGTATCCAAATTCAATGTAATTTGATTTCTTCTACAGATTATATCGATACAATACACTCTATTGGCATGCGTGCTCTCCAAAATTTAAATCCAAAATGTCTTGTGTAGGAAAATGCCTCTGTCATAGGCATCACTGAAGTTTTGAACGTTTGGAATGATTCTTTTTTTAAAGAATGAAGTTCGTGAATCTACAACATTGAGCTGAAATGTGAAAAAATGAATCATTCAACTGATTGTAACTTGTAAGACTGATGTAACATCTTATCTCGCGTACTAAACGATCGCGGATATAGGTATTTGTCAAAAATAAACATGCATGTAGGAATAATTATGTATAACATTAAAACTTTGTTTTAAGCAAATATTGATTAACAATGAGACGAGTGAGGAATTGCGAGGGTTGTAAAGTAAAAGAAAAAAGATCGTAATATCGAAAAACACAGACGATATCTATACGAGGAAACAGCTGCGTAGGCGACACCAAAGAGTGCACAAAGGCAAAGTTCAAGGTCTGTAGAACGAAGGATTTAGTAAGAGCACCTACCAATGAAAGCACTTAATATCCGTTCAGCTTCAATTGGAATCAATATCTCGCGTAAAACAACTCTCTTGGCTTTCTCGCGCGAATCGTCAGATCGAAAACGGAGCACGGAGGAAATGTTGGGAGCAAAACGACGAATCAAATGCTAAAATACGCTGCTTTGTGCCTAAGTATATAGGTATAGGCTGCGCGAACAGACGTGCGACTCTGCTGCACGCGTACATCAACACTCGCTATAATAGGCGATCGCGCAGAGTAAAAGTTCTCTTTGACTTTCTATGTACAGCTGCGAAATTATAAGCTCACGGTACACTTGTACATTCGATGCATGCCACAACGAGTTTAATTACATACGTGCAATATGTGGTCCAAAATCGTGAGTCGATATGTTTGAAAAGAGGCACATACAGAGTGCATATGCAGTACGTGTGTTGTATACAGAAATTCACTGGCAGATGAGAGGTGCTTTTATTAGATTGCGACTCGCGCGAGGTGATTCGACGGACAATCGACGCGCCACTAAAAAGTCCGCCAGTCTACGACGATCTCTCGATACGAAGCTTCCTTGATTCAATGCCGTATACAATTAATGAAACCTCAACTATACCTACACGTTATCGACGACGAAGGAATATTGCTGACGAAACTGTTTGCGAATCGCTGTCGTCCGCATATGCAGTGCGTTCGTTTTCCGTACTTGTATTATCTTGTTCGATCCGAATACGCGAGCATGCAGTATTAGTTGCAGCACACGGTAACAGACTGTGTGCGCGAGTTTTTGACTTCTCTTTCTGGCTAGTACGAATAGGTGTACACAGTGGGGCTGCGAGGCTGAGTGCAATTGCAAATTCACGCACGCACGGCTCATGCGCGTCGAGCAGACAGTTCCCGCTGCTGAAAAGTTCGAATCTTAACTTCGAATGCAAGTTTCGTTTTGCTAATGAAACTTTATTTCATTACGTATGAAACTTGAACCTCGAGAAATAGGATTTAGTTAATTAATTATTCTGTTGCGATATAATGTTTCCACTTACACTAATTCTTCTCTGTAAAGGATTTCAGGGATAAGTTTTGGGTAAAATTTTTCTGGAGGTTAAAAATTCTATAAAAAAGACTCAAATTGTCGTTTCAATTCATTGTAAATTATATTTTCATAAATATTAATTTTTATTTAATATAAATTTATATTTTTACAAATTTTGACCATAAATGAAATCCGCTTGTTGGTTCGGAGGCCGTATCAAAAGCCTCAGTACTTGATGCTTAAAATTATAAACAAATTCATTTTTTTTAATAGAAAAATAAAAAAATTAAATCTAAAAATACTTCATTTACAGAAAGTTAATGATTTATATTTAGTTTACAATTTATTGATTTAAATGATATGAAAAATAAGGAACATTACAGTACATAGCACCAGACATTAAAAAATATTGCTCATCACATTCAGGAGTTTTTGCCTGTAGCAGCCAGGCAAATTCGCCATAAATCTTCGTTCTCCAGATGCTCAAGTACCATGTCACTGCATTCGACTGGCAGCCGGCATCGTGTCAGCACCAAAAAATGATCCAGTGCCCAATTTTGAAAGAATCTTCTCGATAGCTTCTTCCACAAATACACGGCGAACGCCTCTTTAAAACTTTTGGAGTAGCACCAAGGATGAGCCAGGCTCGATCCCCAATCGAAGTAGTTCAAATTGGTGACTAATTTTTTCAGATCTTTGGGTTTTATGTAGGTCATATCCCACAACGAAAGATGATTACTTATATTCAATTGCATTGCTTTTCTTAGAAACTTTTTGTTTTTATAACAAAATTTTTCAATATCCAGCGACTTCTTGTAAAATTCATGCTTAGCGAAAAATTTCATAATTTTTAGGGCATCGCTCAGATCCAGCTCGTATCCTCCTTTTTCAAGACGCTCGACGACGACCAGGACGCCTAATGCCCGTCTCAATTGATATTTAAATGAATCTTCACTCACTTTGCTAAATCTCTTGCCAAAGTAACTGTCGGTGGGAAAAACAAAGCTTGACAGATCGGCACCAAGCTCCAAAAGTATATCGACCGCGTGTGGCAAAAAATTCGCCACAGCTAGTTGAAGCGGCGTGCGACCCTCGTTGTCCCGGGCGTCGATCTGCACCTTTTGATTCTTTTCGTAGATGATCTCAAAAAATATGCGCACCAGGTGGTCATGACGATCTGTCGTGCAAATAATATGTAGAGGAGTCGATCCTTCCTCGTTAACCAAAGTTGAGTCGGCGCCGTGTCTCAACAGTGATTCGGTTGCCACTATATTGCCGCAACGCAGAGCCAAGTGTAATGGTGTGTTGCCGAACTTGTCCCGGGCATCGATCTGCACCGTCTGTTGCATCTTACCCGTGGCCTCGAAAAATCTCTCTATTATTCCATCGTCCTCGTCTTTGTTGCAAATGGTATGCAGAGGAGTAAATCCCTCATCGTCGCTCAAGTACGGATTGGCGCCTCTTGTCAGCAGAATGTCTATCAAGTTGCCGTGGTCACGGAACACAGCAACATGTAGAGGTGTGTGACCCAGACTGTCCTGGACGTTGACCAGAACCCGCTGATTCAATTCGTCGTTGATTTTGAAAAAAAACGTCGCCAAGTCGTTGTCGTTTTCGTGCATGCACAGCAAGTGCAGACCAGTCAATCCTTCCCCGTCGGCCAAATTCGGATTGGCGCCCTTTCTCAACAACAATTCTATTACCTTCTTGTTGCAGCCGTTGCACAGAGCATAGTGCAACGGTGTGTGTCCCGAACGGTCTCGAGCATCGACCTCCACCGGCTGATTTCTCTCGTCGCAGATCTCGAATAACGTATTCGTCAATTCACCATTGTCATCGTCCCGCATGCAAATGACATGCAGCGGAGTTCGTCCCTGTTCGTTGGCGAAATTGGGCTCAGCACCGTGTCTCAGCATTAATTCAGTCAAGCATCTACTGCCAGACTTGGCCACAGCCAAGTACAGTGGCGATTCGACCGATTTCTCCGCGAGGCAATTGGGATTTTGGCCGAGCTCGAGAAATTTCCGAACAACGTCTTCGCAGCCGAATGCGCAGGCTACGTGAAAATGTGACAGACCAGACTCGCTGGTATAATTCACATCAAACCTGTGGTATATTTGAAAAAGCTTGACGACGAGTTCGTAGCTGCCTCCTCTAGCGATTACCTGATGCAATGCCGTGGGGCAGCGCAGTAGTGGCTTGCCATCTACGTCTAGGTCGGGCTCGTCCTTGTAGCCGGTCTTGATCACAAAGTCGACAAGTATATCTCTTCCGTCCATTAAGAAGTTGTTCGTCGCACCTTCTGCGATAAGCCAATCCATTTCTTTCTTTTGAAAAATGTCTTGGAGGTCAGGAAGTTGAACTTTCCAATCGTTGATTAACTCGTACAATTGCGGAAGAAATTCATAACGCTCCTCTTCGATCTCCCAATTAACTTTTTCTCGCAATTTCTTCAATTTTTCAATTTTCGTGACTACGTTATGATGAACAATATTTTCTGAATTATACTGATTTTCGTATCCATCTCTACCATGGAAACTTTCAGCGGATTTCTCGTCGGCGGGCGTGGACATGTTTACGTAATCACATACAACGCACAGTCACTCAAGTATAATATGTAAAAAAAGGCAAATATTTTTCACTTTTTTCCACGTGAATCGTTCTCCAGGGTCAACACAATCTTCCTGCGATTACTCTCTGATGCACTCACTATGCAACTCACAAGCAATGATACGTATTATACATAGCCTGTAAACATTTGTGCGATCATTACGCGTGTGCTGCGCCGTATTTTGAATGAAGCAACATACGCGAACCACGAAGACACTCGATATAGATAGAATCATCCAAAGCTACGTATAGACTTTTATTTCGAAAGTTAGCAGCTGAACGTGAGCCCCCCACCGTAGCAGAAGCGACCGTGGGAGATTCATAGATACTCGAAGCAGTAAATTGATATACGTTGTAACACTTGTATAACAATTCGAAAACGATGTATCGGTATCTTACCATATGCACAGGTCTGTACAGGTAAAATCGAGCAGCTGATAAGTGTCAAAAGTAGAGTATGGTTTTTCGAATATTTAAATAAAACTGATGTTTTACTTGCCCGGCGTTCGATGGGGAAAAACCCATTGTGTTTGCTATGAGAAGACTTTTGCTGCACAGTAGTCAGTCGCTCTGAATCGTCGCTCTGGAGTGGATGTGTATCATAAAAGTGTGTATGTGCAGACAAAAATTGTAAAAAAAAAAAATAATAATAAATTGATTGATATAATTGATGATCATCGATAAAAATTAATATTACATAAGTCGCATATTTTAGAAGTAGTGAGGCTATTGTAAAGTTTGAGTTAGTGAGTGTTAGCAAACAATACATAATGCCGAAAAGTTCACCGTCAGAAATTAGAGAAAAAAAACGAAATTTGTTTACCAAAACATTCATAGAGCACGACGACTGGCAGTGCGACGACCTAGTGGCATTTATTGTAGTTGAATTTGACGGTGGCGTGGAGGATATCAACTGGATTTTAAAAACAGCTCTAGAGCGGAAAAAATGGCCTTACAAGATCGTCAAATTACTCATGGAAAATGGCACGGAGTTGCAAGTACTCAATGACTTGAATCAAACGGCGATTCATATTGCAGCGAAACATCAAGATTGGTCAACTATGGGCTTTTTACTTGAATATTCCGGGGGCGAAAACATCAGCGATAAACAAGGGTTCTCTTATTTACACGCAGCCTGTATGTCTGGCTGTTATGACACGGTACAGAAATACATTCGTAACGGTGTAGATATCAATTGTGTTTTCAATAAAAATGGGATCGATAAAACCCCTTTGACTTTAGCTCTTGAATTCGATCAAATATATATAGCAAAGTTACTATTAGACAATGGCGCCGATCTGGAATTAGTACATGACTGGGGTAAAGCGCCTTTAGGGTGCCTTAAACGTTTAGATGAACGCGATAACAAAAAGCGACTAGATATACTGAAACTTGTGGGTGATCATTATTTGAAGGGGCTGCTAAAACGTAAAATAGACTCAGGAGTACTCGAAAATCACAGCGACGATGAAGGATTTACGTATTTACACGCAGCTTGCATGTATGGACAAATCAAGATAGTGCAGAAATTCATAGATCAGAAAGACAATCTTGATCTCATTTGGCGACGCCTGAATGGTTCCAATGAATCACCATTGACTCTAGCAACTAAATATAATGAAATTAAAATAGTACAGTTGCTTTTGAAAAATGGTGCTGATCCTAATTTGAAACTCTTGGAAAAAAACCCTTTGCACGTTTTTTTCAATGGTTTTTTCCATTGGGTACTCTTTGAAGTACCAGTAGATTGTTACACTAAACTTCTTGAACTTTTTATTAGTTACAAGTGCGATGTGAATGCAAAAAACCAAGATGGTCGCAGCCCATTGTTTCTTTGCCTAAATAATTTATTGCGTATTCCTTACGAGAGTTGTTGTACAAAAAAAGCCATGAGTACTGCCATCAAAAATCTAGAAATTCTACTGATAAACAATGCTGACATCAATGAAGTATTCAATTCTGGGTACGACGTGGTAAAGGATTTTTTGAAATACGGAGACATATTGATAAGTGATGTAGACGCAATGTGCACATTTTTATCTATTCTCGATCTGCTCAAGAGGAAAGGATATAAAATTAATGGATCAAGCGGCTTGATGGTATTAAAATTTCTGCTTGATGCAGTTAGTCCTGACAACGCTCACAACTACAACAGGGATAAGTTTAAGAACGCAATACTGTTCGGTAAGATTTTATTTGATAAAACTCCAATTTGTTTAAAGTTTAACGAGTTTCTTATTTTTACAGATTCTTCAAATCAAATTCGTTGGTTTCTGGAAAAAGAGCAATACGAATATTCAACTCAATATTACTATAATCGGTATTACTGTGGCTTTCTTTACGAACATTTTGTAATCGTAGAAAAAGGGAAAATGTTTATGACAGAGGAGAGGATGGATATTTTGAAAAGGTGGGAACAATTTTACATCGCCAAACACGAGGAAATTGATGATTCGTGTATGAGTGGATGGTCGATGCATGGATGTATTGCGTCAGAAATCGACAGTATGAAAAAAATGATGATTAAAAACGGTGTGTCTCTACTCGATGTTTGTGTGTCTGCTCCTAAAAAAGGGTATGAATTATTGAAACATTCTGAATTCCGAACAGTTATTAATTCAGATGATTTCAAAGAAAATTGCCGTTATTCATCTGAAACCATTAAAGGATACATAATAAAATGTCTTCTGAGGAAAATATATGAAGACACTGGATTAGAATACATGATGTTGCTTCTGCAGGGTAAACTTCCTTTATTATGCTGCGAAAAAGTAATTAAACACTTGAGCAATGAAGAAATACTATTAATTTGTAAAATGGCCATACATGAAATTTGAGGTTCAGGTATTGCGTTGCATCTTACTAAGAAGCAGATAAAAGTAGGTGTAATCTTTGACTTTCTGTGATAATATTTTTTTCTCATAGCTTATATGAATGAAATATGTATAAATTATTTAGTACAAAATATAACATCAGAATATTTTTTCTTAAAATATTTGCGTGATTTTATTCACCTATTATGTTTATGGCACGCTAACCTAAAAATCGCAACTTTGCCGCTACTTTTAGGCTTTTGTACCATAAAATATTGTATGCAACTGATACGGATATGCTTTTCCAACGAAACTCGTTACAGCCCTCGCCTTCGGCTCGTGCTGTAACCCCTCGTTTCGCTGAAAAAGTATATCCGTACCCGTTGCATAAAGTACTATAATGGTACAGTTTGTTACATTCAATTATTAAGTTTAGAATTGATAAATATAATGAGAGATGTAGATTGATAGATTTAATGATTGTTTAAATTCATATGGGCTAATTTAAAAACTCGGAGTTGTTCAATCTTTAATTTCTCAGTGGATCACTGAAATTCCCCTCGAAAATGTTTATACACACGATTTGTAAAATTTTTGCCAGGTCGAAAACATTACTAATTTTCTACCAAAAGTAAATGAAGTGTTATGGATTCGCATAACACAGCCGCAGCTCGCACGTATGTGTGTGTGTACGCGTTGCACGCGCTGCCCGCCAGTGGCGCCTCGCGCGGTGGCCTCAGGCCCGACGGCATACGCGACAGTCAGACAGGCTCGAGCGAGCGATGAGCAAGGCCGCAAGCGGCAGACGCTCTGAGATAAGGCAGCAAGCTGCGAACCAACCTTTTATTACTTTCACTGTTATTCTTCTACCTTTGTTAATTAAAATTAATCAATCATTAACTTTCAAGTGAGTTTTTTTCATTTCGCCACCTGACACCTGACACTTTGGTTGAACCATAATAGAAGGAAGTAGCGCTGCGCGTGAGTTTTTGTTTGACGATGTAAATGACGTTAGTCTATGCATTTATTTAATTGAAGTTGCCAAACTACAAGTTTGATTGACTATTTTTTACATTTTTTGTAAGTTTTTTTGGACTTTAATTTTCAAATTGAATCCATTGATAGGATGCTTGAGTTTTAATTTTTTTAAGCTTTGAGTAACCCTCGGAGCGAGTGGCTAAACCGCGTACGAGGGAGCCTATTGGGGCGGTGAGGCGAGCAGCACTCCACTCCGAGCTCTCATTGGTTCAAGCAGGGAGCTCAGAAGGGTCAAAACTTGTGCAGTCAGTTGGCAAGTGGCATAGGCGAAAACGCGCGCGAGTCACTGTTTGTATTGTTATTTAATGCTGCGACTCTCCGCATATTCTCACGGGGCAGTGCAGAAGCACATGCTTTACTTACCTTTGAAAAGGGGAGTCTGCAGTGCTCGAGTCTTGGGGAGTTTCGGAGGAGAGGTGAAACAACCGTTTTTTAAACGGCTTACGGGTGGCGCTGAAGTTTGCGTTTTGTGTGTCGGTTAAAAATAAACTCGCGTCGTGTAAACAGCGAGCGTTTAGGCAAGCGATACGAAAGACGCGTTTATCGCGATCCGCGGTGTGTCGAAACTGTGGCGTACGCGTGGGTGACAGATATCATACACTTTTATTCAGTGACTGTACAGTATCGGCTGCTCGAACGCGCACCTATATAGACGCCATGTTTGTTGTGCCCGCTGTGGAATAGACCAAGGAGCTGCGAGACTTGAATTAGAAAGTACAGATAATAGGTGCGTCATTTACCTAGCGTCATCCATTGCTTGTGTGGGTGCGTCGTTCGGGCTGTATACGACGCAAGAGCATCGTAATAACGGTATCGATAAAAGTGAGAGGCCCACCGCCAGATAAGCTGTGCACATCGTGGAACAGACAGACGGATCTCGTGTACCTGTGTCAGGGGAGGGCAGACGAGCGGACATTTTGATTTGGCATTTCGTTCAAATACCAAGAGCGCCGCACGTGCAGTCGGAGTTTTGTTTGAAAATATTAGTGAATTAGAGGCTAATTGCTCCACGCCGAGATGGTGACAGAAATCGCGACGAAACCTCCTCTGCAGGCCAATAGCTCGTTCAACATCATGACGGACACGACTTGTTTCTCGCGAGTCACTGTCAACGTCGTGCCGCGACACAGTATAATCGATCAAGCAGCCAGTGAGACCGGTGACTTGTCATCGTCCAAGCTGTGCGAGCCGAAGCTCGATTACGAAAACTGCACGTCCAAGCTCTTCGAGGAGAACGTCGAGTTTATGGAGAAGTCCACTACGCCCAGCAAAAACGTTCCCTTCATTCGAACGACCAAACGCCGACCCATACAACATGGTAAAGTAGTAAAGAGAACGACGGTGCGCTCCAGCGATAAAGCGAGCGAGGCCAATTCGAACAAAACTTTGGCCTGCCAGATTAATTCAACCCAAAAAAAAAACAAAAAAGATAACAAGTTACAGAAACAGCTAAGCGACTTCTTTCCTGTGCGTAAAAGCACTCGAAAACCGCAAACTGTCCTGCTGGAAGAAAAGCAAAAAGAATTGGTCGACAAAATATTGAACCACTGCCATGATGGTTTAGAGGTATATATATTTTGACTTTGTAATATAATAAACAAGAAGTAACTTATTCTATGTTTTGCACAGATTAAACATTTCAGTGGGAAAGGTAGAGGAATCATAACAACTAAAATATTCATCAAGGGTGAATTTGTAGTTGAGTATGAAGGCGAGCTCATAGATAGTCAAACTGCAAAGTACAGAGAAGCTAATTACTCCAAAGATAAGAATGCGGGTTGCTACATGTATTACTTTAAACACAATAATCAAAAGTATTGGTGAGTTTCTATTTGGTTAATGTTTTTAAATTTTGTAATATTTTTACTAAAAATATTTCTTATTATAATATAGCATCGATTCAACACCAGAGACTGGTAAAATTGGGAGATTGATAAATCATTCAAGGAATGGTAATTTAGTTACAAAAGTTATTGAGGTTATGTCTGTTCCACATCTCATATTTGTGGCGAAAGAAGATATAGCTACAGGCAGTGAATTGAGTTATGATTATGGAGACAGAGATAAAGAAACGATAAAGTGCCACCCATGGCTGGCAATGTAGTTTCCATATCCTCACTAGTTCAAAAATTTTATTCATTGTACATAGCCATCGATCATTTAAATTAGTATAACCAAAATTATCATTGTATGACATCGCCCGCTTATACTTAATTGACTGTTTGAAGTAAAAAATTTTGATTATTGTTTTGAAATTATTATGTTTTTAATAACATAATATATAATGGTACTACTAGTTATACTATCACACACATTTACATTGTAAATTTCATTTATTAGATAAATTGCATATACATAATTGTTAATATCTTTAGGAAAAATTGAACATCCAAAGTGTACAGATTGTTATTAATGAGTTACCCACAAGGATCAAACCTTTAGGGAAACTGTTGTTAATAATTATTTAGATAAAAAATAATGTATTTTGTTAAAATGAATTAAATAACTCAATACTGCAAAAGTTTTATTTTTAAAATATGATTATCCACAAGAGTCTGTAATTTTCAGAACGGTCTGATGTATGAAAATGATGCATGATGTTATACTACTACTTGTATTAGTGATTAATTATAAATATTAAGTACCCTAGTGAAACTGCTTTCAATACCATGAAAAAAGTATAATGACAAAAATCTCTTAGCCTTAGGTAACCTTCTTTTGCCTGAATTGTATCATCTTGATGACCTATTACTTGAAAATATTGAAAAAAATGTATTGCTTTCATTTTTACAACAGAAGTAACGAACATTTTTTTTCTGTTTGTAACAACTTTTCTGAATCTATTATAGTTTCTAAAGTAGCATCACTTTATTCAATTCTGTAAATTTTCATACAAATCTTTATATTAGCATTAAAAATCATGTAAAAAAACAGAACACACTAATTTTTACAATTTCTTAATACTTGTATATCTGACTAAAAATAAACCACTTTATTCAATAATTTAAACTTGAAAAATTAATTTTTTTTTTAAATTGGTTTTGTTTTTTAATATTCAATTTATTTTAGATAAATTTTTATTGGTATTTGTCTTTTTAGAAAACAAGATTTTAGCTTATTAAATAACTATTCAATACTTATTTAAAATTTCGAACGAAGCTTGGAATAATAAAATATTATTATTCCCTAACTCCATAGACTGTAAACAAGAATTCGAAAATCAATCACATAAGTAATTCTCAATTTCGGATTGTGCGCGCAGTTGCTTTTCAAGTTCGGTAAGATTTTATTTTGAATGTGTATTTATAACGTTATGAAAATTTATTGTGCCAGAAGGTGAACGTTTGTTGTGATTTTAGGCTTGCTATTTCCTAAATTGTGTTCAGAGCGGAGAGTGAGTCTAACTTTTTTGTTCAAAATATAAAGTTGAAAATGGCTAGAAAAACAAAGAAGAATCCAAAACTTAATCCAATTGCTCGAGCGGCCGCTCAAGAACATGAACAAGAATCATATGTGCCTGGCACTATGCTCGACGCATATTTATCCGGTTCTGAAGATTCGGAGAATAATGCTACTGGTAATGGCACAGAAATTACCGATGAACTTCCTTCCCTCAATGAACAGGAACTAAAAATTCTAAATCCTGAACCTCAAAAGCCAGGTCTGTATGCTAAAAATGGTGATAATTCTTTTAAAAACTTATTAACTAAAGAATCGACTAGTTAACTAGACGAACATTTAAGTACATGACATGCTTTAATTTTTACATCTAAGACCTGTAACTTGAATGATACCTTTCAGAGGGCGAAAAAGAAAAGACAGACGGTGCAAAACAAAATGATACATCAGATCAAATTTCCAAAGATGAAAATGGCTATGTCGACGATTGTTTGTCAGAAAAACAACCTATTGTATTGGATCAAGCTAATTCAAGAATGCAAACTAAAGCTGGAATTAAAAGAAACAGTCCGATGACTCGCTCCCAAAGAAAGTTAACTGCGGAAAAAGTATCAAAACTCGATCGTGAGAATAAAAAAAAAACTGATAATAGTCCGTCAACTGGTCAAATAATACCTCAAAAATTCGTCGCCGTTAAAGATGAAGATAAAAAAAATATATTAAAATCACAAAATAAAACGAAAAAAGCATCAACTCCTGAAAATAATAATGGTGATGGTTTGTTACCTACTCCACCATTAAAACTTGATAATGTTAACGAAAAAGATACTGTTAATAGTCAATTAAATCGTCAGAGAGCACTTCAAAACGGTTTCGACGTTAACTCTAAAAATCAAATAAATCCATCTAAATTACAAAATAAAATGAAAGAAGCATCAACTCCTGAAAATATTAATGGCAATGGTTTGTTACCTACTCCAAAATCCGAAAGTGTCAAAGGTAAATCAAAACGGACAACCCCTTACAATAATGTTGCAAGAAATACGAGGAGTTCAAAAAAGTTAACAGCTTCAGCGAATGAAAACCATTTGAACAATATCTCATCACCTATTGAAAAAAATATTTTGACTACTGATAAAAATAGTACTGATCTAGAACCTAAAATAATTCCAAAAACTCAAAGTCCGATTGATAAAGTTTCCGTGAAAAAAGAAAAAATCGATGAAAAAGAATTAGGTAAAGAAAAAATTGATGAAAAAGAATTAGGGAAAGAAAACATTAAGAACAAAAGAAAGGAAGAAGCTTTTTTCTCAACTCCGACCATACCAAAAAAGGAAATAAATTCTTCCGATGCACAATTAATTATAGATATGCAAAAGCTCCACGTAAAAGATGATCAAGATAATAAAAGGAGGAGATTGGTGAGAATAAATTCCACCTTGCATGCATTTTCATTTGTAACTTAAATCGATACACTTTAAAACTATTATTTCCTGTAAATTTCAGTCTCACTGTATTGTAATAAATGAAGAAGTTACTGAGGAGGCACCACTCCGCCGGAGTGCTAGAAATAATAGACCATCTCCTGAAGAAATTATGAATGAAATTAGACGTAAGGTTACTGAAAATATAGAAGAGGGATTAGAGGTATGAAGTATGAAAAATTATGAAATTAAGTTAAAAAATGTTATTTCTTTAATAAAAATCGTTACCCTATAGGTGGCTGAGTTTGGTGTCAAAGGAAAAGGAGTGGTGACCACTAAGGACTTTAGCAAGGGAGAATTTGTTGTTGAATATCACGGTGAACTTATTGATAATAACGAAGCTAAAAAGAGAGAAAAAAAATATTCTAAAAATAAACGAATCGGTTGTTACATGTTTTATTTTCAATACAAAAATTCCACATTGTGGTAAGTTTTTTTTACTGTTTTACTGATGTGTACAATAGTGGATACATTGTCATTAATAATACTTTGATCGATAGCGTTGATGCTACGAAGGATACCGGCAGATGCGGGCGACTTCTCAATCATTCACAAAAAAACAAGAATCTCAAGCCCGAAGTGATTGAAATCAGAGGAAAACCTCACATTATCCTGTATGCCTGTAAGGACATTCCAGCCGGCACTGAACTTTTATACGATTACGGAGACAGATCTAAAGAATCTTTAGCACACTTTGCGTGGCTCCTGGAATGAATATTTAACTTTTTGACTCAATCGACGAATTTATTGTACATACACGTCAATGCACTGAAGCAACATAACTCCAAATAATTTTAGCATATTTTTTTACTGTGATTTTGACTTATTTAGATATGCTTTTAGTTAAGAACTTTAAGAACATGTCATAGTATCTTGATAGGTCGTTGTGTAATTTCGTTCCTCGACCGGATGAACTAAATAGTAACAAAAAATTAAATTAAATCGTGCTTCAACGACGCATTAAATATTTGATTAAACTAAAATTTACCCAATCGTAATTTTTCAAACGAAGGAAAGACATATTTCCAATTCAGCAGATCCAAAGCTTTCTCGTAGCGTATATCGTTCCCCTCGATCCAGTCGAATATCTTCAGCAGGAGATTGAACATTTTTGGATTCGGTTTGATGTTCACCGTAGCCAGAGCCCGATAGAACTCCACCGAGTCGACGACCTTACGTTTGTCCTGACAATAATTGAATTTATGAGCGACGTGAAGGAGAATCGCAAACACATCGCGTGCCCGCATACTTTATCGACGCAGTTGTAGTGATCCATCAGCTCTAAAAAAATCAAATCGGAGTCGCGTTTTTTGATTATGAGGCGCAGACTGTTGACGTGCGCCAAGGCATTTTTCACGTCGGTCAAGTCTCTCTGCACCGGCGCCCCGTGAAAGACCTCGTAAATGTTATTGGAGCTGCTCTGGGCGACGATCCGATCGAAGATGTCTTCGCTTCCGCCATCGGCGAGTAATTTAAGACGATCATCGCCAGTTTTCCGATCCGCCTCGCACTCGCATTCGCCGGACTGATATTGAAAGAGGCGTTGAATTCTGCTGCTGCGAGGATCCAGTCGCAGAGATCGGCCGAAAGTTTGACAGCGATCGAACGGACTCTCGTAGCGTCGCGTCAACTGATAGCCGGGCTGCTTTTCCGCTTCGTAATTCGCGTCGTGCTCGTACTCTCCGTGAATGGTATTGTCGACGTTGTTGGCTGGGGGGAAAAAAATAAATAAAACGAATGAATTAAAAATGATTAAAATTATTTTCCGATCTTGTAATGAAAAACGACGTATTTACGATCTCTGGCTCGATATCCAAAATCCGAGTCGACGAGGTGGCTGGGAAGATTGGCGAATTTCGGACGGCTTTTACCGACGGACCATTCCTTATCGCTGTTTTTCAGCACCAAAATACTGCGGATCTGAGTCATGCGCGCTTGAAACTCGCTGAGACTTTCCGGCTGCAGGCACTCCCTAACCTGTGCTAGATCGCAGTGCACACATAACAACGAGTAAGCGAAATAATTAAAAATCAAAATTGTTAATGTGAATTTATAGAAATGTGAAATTTAGTGGGCTCATACGCTTTTAGTCGTGATTTTGGGTTGTCTCGGGGGTCGTTGGCAGTCGCTGAATCGATCGCTTACTATTTCCATGATTTCCGATGCTTGGTGTGACAGATCTCATTCGCGTAAATATTTTTTTTTAATCAAATTACCCGATGAGGTACAGAATGAATTTTTCTTTACCTTGATATTCTTAATTTCGGAGTTTCTATCACCCTTTTTTAATTGAATAACGTGCTTACATTGGGATTAATTAAACGAAAAATTCAAGTGTTTGTCTTCAATATTATTTGTTATTATTATTGTTTTTTTGTTATTATACTTTTAATAAGAATATTTTTGTTTTCAACGCTTTATCTCAACCGAGTATTTAATATAAATACTATTTACATTCAAACGAGATGTGAATTATTTTTGACAACACTTTTACAAATTATTTAATTCTAAATTTATATTTATCGTTCCACGCATCGTCATAATTAATTACACGAAAGAAAACAAAAATCAATTTCAAGGAGAATCGTATCGTTATCATTGCACAGGCGTACAAAAATAACTGTATACGTGTTCGCGTTAGGTGGGCGTCGATAGCTGCCAATTCCCGATCCAAGTCGTATTGGAGCTGTCCAATTATTTCGCGCGAGCGAAGCCGCGATCGTCGTGAGAAATAATTCCGCGGATCGTGATCGATTGGCGCGTTGCGCGGCTATACATCAAATTGCCGCGCGCGACTGCCAATGGGTAATTTACGTTGAAAAGACGATGAAAAAAAAAATAAACAAAAATGTTCTAAGGCGATGGAACTCGATTTTTCGATAGAACTACATACAATCATTTTATAAATCACACATATCGTGGTACATGTAGAATTGTTAAAGGCTATTACGAAGACATGCCGCAGCTTTATCTCATCGCGGCGATTCTCCGAAGTTGGCCGTTGATATATACTTATAAAGCGAAGGTGGAATCGGCAAATTAATACATAAAAGAAGGTGCTTGTCGGCTGACGCTGTACGTACAGCTATATAACGCGTGTATATAAAAGCGCGTACTACCGCTTCTGAGTAAAGGAGCTCTAAATACTGGATTGTCAACGCGAGATCCAGTTTATTAGCGATCGACGCGCGTTCGAGTCGCCGCGCAAATGACAAACGTGCTCGGCCGTCGTGTGGCGTGCCTCGTGGTGCGCGCCTCCGTTTACAGGCACAATCTGTCCTTAAATAGCCGGCACAAATTGCACACCGATCGTGTCGTAATAAATGTCTTTTCATCTCCGGCCCAAAGTGAGCTGTGCTCGTAGCTAAGATGTAAGTTGCTGCTGCTGCTGCTATGCGTCGTGCGGCGCGCTAATGAGTGTAACCGACGTCGTCGCGCGCGGTGACGTTAAACTTGCTTTCGATGATATGTTTGTATTACGACGAGGATCGGTAACGTGTAATACACACGTCGTTATTTTATTTAAATAATGTAAGCAACGAGCACGTCTTTCAAATTCTACTGTAATTTCCTCGCTGCATACGATTACGTTTTTATACAAAAAGCAACGATTCCCGATAGATAGATATCGTGTTTTTGCGCACGTTTATTCGCGAATTTAGTTAACGAGAGTCGATAATTTACTCGCGTCTCGACACTCACTTTTCCAAGCATTTATAAATCGCTACGATCACACGTGATCGAGTCGATCTCGTGCGCGCCGCGTAGTTTTTCCCATAGCTATAAGCCAGCGGGTTTATTATCTCTACGTGTGTCTACACAACAGCTCGCGAATAAGGCCAATATTCGATTCCCGCATTATTTTTATACTGGCCGAGTTTTTGTTCTTTGCTGTTCGCAGCATTTTATGAACTCGAGTGATAATAGCACACACGAGCGGGGGGCTTTTTTGCGCTCTCCGTACGACGCGAAGGTAAACAACGATTTATGGCAAAGTGACGTGTTACACTTGGGAGAGAAAGAAAATAAAGCTGCACAGGGAGGCAACTGCGAAAGTGGAGAAGACGAGTATGATTTTTGATTAACCTCGAGAGCGATGCTGCAACGCAATTACCGATTTCATCCGAGAACAAAAAAACGATGAAAGAGAAAGACGATCTTATCACGTGCACTGGCTTGAAGATGACGATCGTCGTCCCACAGGCCTATATTTATATACGACCTGCATTCGTACGGCGTATAAAAAGTGCAACAATGAAACTCGTATTTGGACAATTTTACACGATGTATACTCCGTCAAGTTGCGTAAGACCAGCTCCGGGATATAAGTTACACTTATGCACAATAAAACAACGCACGTACATTACATCGATCGCTGATCGAGCTAAAGCGGAGAAGATGCTGTACGAGCTCGACGACGATGATCGCATACGCTCCGACGTTACATTATATCCATTTTCGACCGACTTTCGCGGTCTGCAGCCTGTGTACCTGTATAACAAACTTGTTCACGTGCATGTACGTCATAACGTTTTACATGAAAAGCAAGATGTATATATACTGGCATTACACGCGTATTATACCGATCGTCAAACTGGTATACAACGTAACGTATATAACAGCGAGTCGAGTCCGAATTATACCATCGTGCGTCGATATTTCGCAACTCGCGTTTACGAAAAAAAAATCGGCAAGGATGCGAGATCGCATCCTCCGGGCGCTCGCGCACTGCGGTCGACCTTGGCCCGCGCGTGCAATTGTAATCGGAACAAGTTCGCGGCTCTCGAAGCATCGCGGGACCAAAAATAACGATAATACGTGCATTAAACGATATACTTGGTCGATTCGGCACGTCTTTCTCTTTGTCTCTCTCTCTCTCTCAGACAAGGCAGTTGCACGTATCAATGTTGGAGCTTAAGCGTTCAGTTGCAGTCCGCGCGCAGCGAGCGCGAGACACTTGGCTGCGCAATTATAAGCTCGCTCGCGCGCGTGAGCAAAAACCTTTAGGGGGATAATTTAAAATTAATACTTGGTTTTCTCAGCGAGCTGACAGTATAACTGGCTATTATACGGCTTATATACCTTGTATGATTTTGTACTGCAGACTATGTATACCTATGTATACTAGACTATGTATATTACTATGTATACTAGACTATGTATACCTATGTACGCGAATATTGCGATGCCGCGCTTATTATAAAAGCTGCGGCGCATAATTCGCATAAATCACTTGACGCGCGTACTACGAGCGCGCGCGCGGCCCGTACGGCAAAAATTAAAAAATTGAATGAAAAAAAAAAAAATACTCGTTGGCAACTTTTTCCATTCTCGATGGATAGGAACATTTACGCGTGTACACGTTTCAAAATTAATAAGCGCGAGCATCGGTAAAATAACAATTTGCCAAAGCTGCCGCTGCTGCTGCCGCTGCGTTTGCGGATCATTGCGTATATAATTCCATAGGATATATAATTATCGTATTTTTCGACCATTTTCGGGATAGTTTAATTAAAGCTGCCTCGTGGCTTATTTTACGAGATACATAAGCGGCCATTAAATTCGCGAGCAAAGGGAAAGGAGAGCCGCTCGACGAATAGATATAAATCATCGCCGCGGCGCTGCGATATCCACGCGTATACGATCTATACGCACATATAATACAGCTCTCTTGTGCATGCGTGCATGTATAAGCCTGGTCCCGCGCGAGCTGCCTGGCTCAACTATATACCTCGAGTGGGAGCCCAACTGCGGCAGCAGCAGCATCGCACTCGGATAAAGAGAAACGATTAGGCAATAAAGATGCGCGGAAAAAGATATACGCGTGCATTTACAGTGCCCTGTTATGTCTGTCTCTATGTGCATGTGTATGTGTACAAAGGTACAGCGCGCATAATATGCGATTCGCTGCGCAGCGCAGGGCTAAATTAACGGAGGATGTCGAGTGATACGCGCAGTCGTAGTGGTAGCAGAGACGCGGCGGCATACATCGTCCCGTAGCGAGACGTGGAAATGCGCTTTTCAACAGTGCTGCTGGACGTACGTTACACGCTCAACGACCCGTGTATGTACCGAGTCCAGAGCTCGCAGCCGAGCGCACAGAGAAAGAGATGCCCTCCACCTATATATCAGATACACGCACGGAGACGGACGGACGCGCGCATAAGTTAGTGCCTCTCGTCGAGCAATTATTCTTCAACCTGTGCACGAATTTCGCGTTATAACGAGCTGCTCCCGACGCTGCGCGTTGCATATTACACGCGCGCAGCTAGAGTCTTAACAGGCCGCGTTTATACGCGCTTAGCGCGGCTTTTATTAGCTCATCAGACTGCGAATTTTAAGTTGGACTTGACGCTCGCGTATCTATATACTTTATATTACATGCGTCTTGCGACCTGCACTCGACTGCCGCTGCCGTATCCCCGATCTGATATTACTGTATATACTGTACGATTGTGCAGATTGAGCTTAGTTAGCGCGGCTTTATAAGTAGCTCGCGGTCGAGGTTTAATTAGCCTTACTTATGTGAGCGTTGAGTGCTCTGGCCCATCTATTCTCCTTGTACTAATACGCATAAATACGTCGCGCGATTGATCGATCTTGTCAATGGTAGACCCGCGATTGATGCACGTAAAGCTCATAATGTACTTCGCTGCTGCTGCTGCTGTGCGGACAAAAACAATCCGCTGCTGCCCTCGTGTTTACGAACTCGGCGTACTTGTAATATACGTAAGAGACTTGGAGCAGGTCGATCGAGTAGGTATATTACAGTGCACCGGCTGTGCTACGAGTCGGAGAAGCGATTCGTCTTGCGGTCACGATTTACACTCCTCCGCGCGTGATCTGTAGCTCTTTATGTATGGCTTACAGCTACATACTGCATGTATTTGTGTGCAGCTAATGGCGATAGTAGTAGTTATAAATGCCGATCGCGTAGCCGCTCTAATGCCAATATATATTATGTATCGTTTAATAGGTACTACTACCCGAGCTACCGGAGCTCTCGTGCCCCAGCTACCGTTCGGCAGCGCGACTGACTGGACTTACTCAAATTGACACACGCGTACGAGCTCGAGCAACCTGTATCGATACGCGCAGGATTTTTATTTATCCTTTAATTGCTTTCGCGAGTAGACTCGTGCACGCGCCGGGGCCTCCAAAGCTACGTCTACGCGTGAGCGAGCTTTAGAGTCATTTTTTAAAACACGTGCAGCAGTCGCGTATGTACAGCTCGTCGTGCATGTATGCACGCGCGTATGTACGCATTAACATAAACGATCGTTCGAGATCGGTCTCTATGTATATAAAATCAACGTACACGGCCGTTTCGATGTACAAAGAGAGCCTGATACACGCAGCGTCTGGTACGCACGTGTTGCGCAAGTTGCAGCTACGATACACCTTAATGTGTAGGTGCAGTGCTCGCGCAGCTAATAGCTCCACATACACACGCGCGAGCGATTATAGCGCAGTAGCAGTATACGGATAATAGACGTTGGGCTCCGCGCGCGTGGCGAATCGCGCGCCGATTATTATTATGTATTAGGTACACACACGGAGCCGCGGCGATCGGCTGAATCGCGAGCGATGTGGTGGCCGTCGATTGTTGGAAACAAATAACGCCTATTAAAGGCCCCGGCCGATCGCCGAGCGGCTAATGTGCCTGCAAAACTTGCCGATCATATTTTCGTGCACCGACCGATCGCTAGCAATTAATCTACGTGCATTTAGCTATGCAACGGCAGCGGCAGATCGCCGTCGTGCTCGTGCGACCGCGAGAGGATGCACTGCAGCATCTTGTACGTCCTATACAAAACGTCCTGTATTGTGTACATATGAGCAATTCTGTAACGAATCCTCGGAATTCGAGGCCAAATTTGCGACTTAAATTGACGCTTGAAGCGTGTAACGAAACGATAATTGTTCATCAATGTCTCAGAAACGTATTTGACAATGTCGAAATGGTCACAGACTCTTTTCTATCGATCTCTCTTTAACATTAATACAATTAAAGAGTATTCCACTACGATGCGAAAAAAGAATTTATATGGTTCATAATTTTTGGTGAATATCGATCCATTTAATATGCAAAATCAAATTCGAGGTTTTCACTTGACAACCGTCAATTTAACTGTAAAGTGTTATAAAAAAAACACCAATTGAGGAATTGGGGATGTAGACCAGGAGTTGAAAAATCAAAAATATTCAAAATATATTTTAAAGTTAGGTGTGTTATTTATTATATATAATTTATAAAATATAAAATATAAATATATTTTATAAATATATTTTATATTTATAAAATATGGGACTTTTCACAATCAACATAAAACTGATAACAGTTGAAAATACTGCCAAGTTTTTTCACAAAATTATGTAGAATATTTAAGTCAACATTTTTCAAATACTATGATAATTATGTAAATATAAATATATTGCCTCTAATTGTTTAGGGAATAATCTCATTTTTTAACAGATCTGCTAATAGAATGTTTCTCTAGTTTGTGTCTATTGAGGTTACCGTTATTGCTAAATGCTTTGTCACAAATCTTACATGGGAATGGTTTTACGTGTTTTCTTTTAATGTGATTTTCAAGTTTTTTTTTCTCTTCAAATCTTATGAAGCAAATGTCACATTCAAACGGTTTTTCCAGATCATGTACTAATTTCATGTGAGCTGTTAGCTTACCCCGGAAGTAAAATGACTTGTGACACATATTGCATTCAAAAGATTTTTGACCATGAACTGTATGTTTGTGTTCATAGAGGCCTTGCTGATATGAAAATTTAGCGTTACACTTGTCACAATTAAAGGTTTTACCCTTTTTATGTACTCCATTCATGTGAGTGACAAGGTAATTCTTGCGTCCGTATGACTTATGACAAATCTTACACTCGAAAGGTTTACTGCGAATATGTACTCCAACAATGTGAAGTTTGATGGAATTTTTGTGGGCAAACGTTTTCTTACAAATATCACACTCAAAGGGTTTGCTGCGTTTATGCACTGCATTTACATGAATTCTCACACTACATTTTCTTGCAAATGATTTGTCACAGAAGTCACATTTGAAGGGTTTGTATAGATCATGTACTGCTTTTATGTGCCTTATAAGTTGACCTTTGTATCCAAAGCTTTTGGAACATTCATTACACTTGAAGGGTCTGCTACGATCATGTACTGCGCTCACGTGACGTTGGAGGTGTTGTTTTAGTCCAAATGATTTGTGACAAATATCACATTTAAACGGTTTGAGGTGATTATGTACTGTATTCTTATGAATTGTAAGGGTATTCTGGCGGGCGAATGACTTGCGACAAATTTCACATTCGTAGGATTTACTACAAGTGTGTACTTCATTTATGTGAGATATAATATTACGTCTACTTCTAAATATTTTGGAACAATTGTCACATTCATACTGCATAATTCTTCCACGTGTAGTCTTTGTACGCTTCTTCCGACTTGCTCTTGCTGTGTATGTTTCTTGACACGATTCTAATTCATACGATCTTTTTTCTTTACAATGTTGAAGTTGCTCACAATTAGTTAGTTTGAAGCGAGAGCTCACATGGAAGTGACAGTTATTGTCATAATTAAATCCTTTTTTTATCAAAATTATGAGACGTTTTCCATTCAAGTTGATTGGATTTTTATTTCCTTTTCTCCTGATAGATTGAAAGCTTGAATGCTCTGATTTGATGGTTGACGATAAAGATTTCGGATCAGGTTTCACATCGTGACACTCAAAATCAATAAGTATATTTTCATTAGTGTCATCTGTCTGATCTACGTTTTCTTTTTTTACTGTTGGTTGAATATTTTTATACTCAGATTTGCAGATTGTTGTCGATAGACACTTTGGTTCTGGCTTAACCTCTTTGCACTCAAAGTCTATAAACACATTTTCATCTACGTTGTCCTATAAAATTGTTAAAATTGTTAAAATTGTGTTACAATTTTTGATAGTGAAGAAACAGAACATAGTTTAAATCATTGAACTCACCGATGATTTATGAAATGGCAATGTTTCAGATTCCACCAAATTGGAAACATATTCGTCAGCTGCATTCGTTAAGGTATCCATTGGCTCTTGTTTAACCCTGAAGAATAATCGAGTTTCATTAGAAATTGTTCAATATATTATGGCATAATGACACAAACAAAAATCATACCTCATCGTGTCTTCTACGCTATCCTTCACGTCCTTGACTTTATGTATTAATACTTTAATTTTTTCACTGTGCACTCTAAGAGATATTTGAAGTTTTAGGCCTCGAGTAGACAATACTATACTTCGATTTAAAATGCAGACTCGTACTATATTATTATACTCACAGACTAATAAGCCCACCTGTTGTATAGGTTAGAAATGTGATGCTGCAACTGCTATGGTTCCTATGCAAAACTTTTCTCCTCTATTTAGTTACAAGTGTCAACCAGCGTTTAAAGATAGTTGCACACGTGTGTCGCTTTTTACTCTGTAGGTATTTACACCGGCTAATCGAACGTATAGCTTATATATATAGTATAACCGTAAACACGTGGTTCGTAGTTTCTCGACGTCTGCGTTATGTTATATAAGTAGGCTGCGTGCAGTGTGTCTCTCACTATACAGTATCACGAGTCACGATTCACGTCACGGCGTCACAGCGGCGGCCTCTATGTTTTCGACCCGAGTGACCTGCGCAGAAACGAGTTATCGACTGCGCTGCATCTACACACCCACGCGTCAAATTTGACTTACCGCAGAATCAGAAATAATAAACATTGTTTCTACATATAACTAGATTATATCACAATACAATTGTTAGTAGAAAATTCCGCGCACATCGCATGTATGTGTTATATTATTTATGTACTGAGTTGATGTGGATGAGATAATTCTTACTTTTGAATTTTTCCAAAATTATCACATGCATGTTTAACGCCTATATGTACTTTATCATTTTTTAATATTTTTCCACGAGTACTATACGGGTGATTGATACTAATTGGTTTTGCATCGATTTGAGTTTAGAAACTAATTTTTTTATTGAATGATTTTCTGCGTGTATTGCATGGATTGGTGATACCAGTGTGAACCTCGTCAATGTGTTTTTTAAGATTGCCCTTTGTTGTGCATTTCTTTCCACAAATATCACATGTATGTGTGACACCTTTTGTGTATCGCATCGATGTGAGTTTGGAGACTGCTTTTTTGTGTAAATATTTTGCCACATACATCACATGGATAAGGCATAGCACGATGCACCGTATCAATATGGGATTGGAGATTACCCTTTCTTGTGGATTTCTTTCCACATATATTACACGCATATGTCCTACCATTGTGAATCGTATCTATGTGGGTTTTGAGACTGCTTGTTTGAGTAAATGACTTTTTGCATTTATTGCATTCATAGGCGATACTAGCATGCACCCCATCAATGTGTTTTTTGAGATTACCTTTCGTTGTGGATTCCTTTCCACAAATATTACATGCATATGCGTTACCATGATGAATAGTATTCATGTGGAGTTTTAGAGAGCAAATTTGTGCAAATGTTTTGCCACATATATCACATAAATGAGTGAGTTTATTGTGCACTGACTCGATGTGGACTTTGAGTGAACATTTGTTTGATAATTTTTTTTCGCAAATATCACATATAGTGATATTTTAAGCATTGTACCGATGTTTGCTTTGGGATTGTATTCGTTGATCTTCTTTCTGGTCAATCTTCTACTTTTATTTTGTTCGATAATTTCACAATCAAGATTCAAATTCAATAAATCAGCAACATAAATGTCTTTCTTCAATTCAAGATTGGGCTTCACGCTTTTAAATTCAAAAACTATGTATCTATTTTATTATTAAATTCACTTTCTTGATTTTCATTCACTTTAATTAAATACGAGTTATGCATAATTACATTATGATTTATATATGGGCTAAGCCATAGTTAGTGTGATGGTCAAAAACAATTTTTTTCTCAAATTATGTAATTTTAAAGAGTACATTGAAAAGTGAAAATCTTGAAAGTTTCAGCTCTCTAGGTCCAACCGTATTGGATTTTCAGGGTCTTAAAGTTGAATTTTCTTTTTCTGCTGATATTTTGTTTGCAATTCTGATTTTCTGGGGTTAATATAAAAAAATTGTTGAATCATGGTTTTTAATGTAAAATTTGATGTAGAATTCAAATTTGTACTTAAAAATCATATCAAGAAGTGGAGTCCCCATAAAAATGATATTTTCATGTCCTAATCATATTACTGTACTAAAAAAAATGTGTTTGTATCCTTCGATTAGACCCATACTGTAATATGTTCATTGATACATCAAATTACAATTTCTGATAAATTTTGGTTAATGGCAGACAAACAGAATTCATTATTGAGCTTAATATAAATCAAAAATCAAGGAAAATGAGAGAAAAACCATGTTTCTTGACTCATATTAAGCTCAATAATGAATTCTGTTTGTCTGCCCATAACCAAAATTTATCAGAAATTGTAATTTGATGTATCGATGAACATATTACAATATTGGCCATATCGCTGGATACGAACATGTTTATTTTTGCACAGTGACATGATTAATGCATGAAAATATCATTTTTATGGGGACTCCAATTCTTAATATGATTTTTAAGTACAAATTTGAATTCTACATCAAATTTTACATTAAAAACCATGATTCAACAATTTTTTCATATTAACCCCAGAAAATCAGAATTACAAGCAAAATATCAGCAGAAAAAGAAAATTCAACTTTAAGACCCTGAAAATCCAATACGGTTGGACCTAGAGAGCTGAAACTTTCAGGATTTTCACTTTTCAATGTACTCTTTAAAAGTCCATAATTTGAGAAAAAAAATTTTTTTGACCATCACGCTAACTATGGCTTAGCTCATATATTTATAATTATCAACACTTCCTAAATTTTCTCGCGGAAATAGTAAAAGTTGAAAGTTTTTAGGATCGGGCTACTTGTCAATCAATTTGAAATCGTTTCCAATAAGCGACACATTATTAGGTTCTTGTTTCACAATGGAATATCTCCAATAAGATCAAGTATTATTTTATAATATTTTTATAATTTCATCGTCATTTATTGATAATTATCTCACAGCGCAGTTAAATAAACCACTGAATTCTATTCTATCTTTCTCACTTGGAATTTCATTAACTAAACTTTCTGAGGTAATTTTACCCATCACACTAACTATAGATATGCGGACAGACTGGCGAAGGTTGCTATGCTATGCTTGCTAAATTTTGAAAACCCGACGTATCTATATGCGAATAGCATCAAATCCACGCACAGTCCCCCGTCTATAAGCCATGGCAAACGCAGCAAAATACCGAGCCAGGGCCTAGGCAACACATGGAGAGGTCATGCATGTAACGCACAACGTAAACAATGGAATGAGCACAACTCTATACTTTTTGCCAGTGTTTTATGTAGTTTAATAATATGTACAAATAAAATTAAGAAACTTCGTAGTTACCAATGTAAAAAAATCAAAACTAAGTCATTATAATTATGTGTATAAAGAAATGAAATTATGTATCTCACGTCTAATAATTCGTAAAAACTCTTTTATTAATGATTTAATATTACGGGAAAATGAGAAACTAAAAAATTGTACTACGATGCGTACAAGAATAAGCGAGTTTCATAAAAATTATCACGTCATAACAAATTTTACTACCGTACTTCATCATATGGTAAAAATTACGTCTATACGCGGTTAAATTTGTTATAACAGTGTAATTTTTTCCAAGGTACTTTTCTCAGTGTAATACGTAAATAAAATTATTTTTTACTTGTCAACCATAAAAAAAAGTAAAAATTCTATGAAATAATAGATAAGAGCCACATATTCGTCCTATTCTTTATAAACTTTTTTACAACATTTCTGATCGCTGGAAATTAGAAAAAAGCCAATGACGATAAATTTCGACAGAAAGTAATATTAAATGTTGAGCAAATAGAAGTTCATAAACATCTTTTTCAAGAGTACAAATGTACATAATAAAAATTTTTACCGAGAAAAATGGATTAAAGGTGATAAAATTGCCTTTTTAGATGTTTAGCCAAAAATGAATGGGGCAGTGCTAGCCAAAATGAGAAATAAAATCGTTGATTTTGAGCTTAAAAATTGGGATGAAGATATGCGAAACTGGGATTTTTATAGTATTATGGAAAATGACCAAGAATTAACATCTCGGGACGATTATGCAGAGTACATGGGCCGAGACAGCGTATATAGCCAAAGTTTGGAAATTAGTATTTTCGGAGAAACTGTTGTCAATTTGGTCATCATACATAGAATAAAAACTGATCGATCCATAGACACTAGTCTAATATATATAAGAGCCATTGCGATTATAGATCGAATTGAACCCTCTTAATTTCATTTGTTTGATTGATTGTTTGATGATGATGATATATGAGCATCGGGTGTTTCTTCATCTCTGTCTCTAATCCTCCAAAATTATAAGCGTTAATGTTTTACAGTTGTTAGTTGTCTGTGCCGTTTTCCACCAGTATCAGTATAATAATATATAAAATATAATTATTCAACGCAACGCAATGAGTTTCACGGATTATGTGATTTTAGACAGTTACTTCCAGTAAATGTTAAGGGCTTATATACACCTTAAACTTAAAATTTTTTTTATTGAAATTTTGAGTAGGATTTTTCCTCCTCTTTCCATTGCATCGTTCAAAACTCCAAAATGTTGATGCTGTACTGAGATACAGCTATTTCCGTGAGCCTTTTCCCTATGCTACAAGTGTTAAGTTTTTTCTTCTTTTGCGTTTTCTGGAATGTCGTGTTTTTGGTCACCTATCGTAATATTCAGAGGGTACCAATTGAGCTTTCTGCACCAGGTACACTTCTTCAGAACGTGAATGGTTAAGGCCACTACCACGGGTGAGACGATCGAACTCATAGGTCACTCTCAAACAGTAATATTACGACGACTTAAATTTCGTCAAAAACGAAAAATGAAGAAAAAAGTGTGCTTAACTGTTAATGAACGATCAAAAAATTGATCGTAAATTAAAGAGTAACAGTAAACTTTAATCAATGCTGACGAGTTATGGAAGTTACGATCGACGCACGAAAAAGGTTCCGCGCGCGCGAGTGGCTGAATCTCAATGGACAAGCCCATATACCATGTACTTGATGTATACGTAGAGCTTTTTATCGGAAGTATCGACCAAGAGCATGCAAATGTTGCCCTCACGACTGTTGTGCTGTTGCAGCGTGCCATTAGGAAGAACATTAGGAATCAGCTGCGCTATCGGCCACACGGAGCGTCGATGATCGAGCGCACGTGCAGCCACTTTGCCGGGCACAAGCCAGCTCGCGC